GTAGACAGAGGATGCCCTGGGGGTCGGGAAAAACCGCGGGGAGCTTCGCCCCCTTTGTTTTTCCCTGTCTACCAAAACCTCGTAAGCGTGTTTTCTCCAATACGTAAAAAATAGGTAGGTGGGGGAACTGGGTGATTCCATATATCTAATGCATTCGATGTTTATAGGTGGGTAAATATGTATACAAGTCGCACTGGGGGTGGCCTAACACATATGTTTTCACCAAATCACCAACGTTCCTTGATCTGTAAAGGAACTGGTCTCGCAGTATGTGTATTATTGTGTATAGTATGGTAATGATGCAGGGACGGTTACATAATATAGTGGTGTAGGGAAAGGAATGGGAGGGAATAATTTAAATTATTGCCAAGAATATCTATCAATTTATATCCTAGCAACAAGTTACACTCTCATTATTCAATCAGGGTTTGAAAATACTACCCTAGTACACTATTAAGAGATTTACACTTATATGTTGTAACACTTTCGTTGAACTTGTTAAGGTCTGTTGAAATTAGAAATATAACAATATCTAGGGGAAGGTCGTAAAATATAATACACACATTTGAAGGGGGTCGTGGAAATGGGAATTGTTGATATAAAATATTGACTGTCGTTTTGCAAGTTGTCTTATCGGATTTGGGGTGGGGGTGGTATATATGAGTCAGACAATAATATTGTCGGCGATTACTGACACTGAGATGTTGGATTGTTTAATTGATGAGATTAAATCAAATCTCTTATAAGAATAGACACTTCCATGTCGGCTACTACGGTGGTAGTGAGTGTGTATGTAGTCGTTCCTTGGTTAGCGTATTACTATCTTCCTACTTGCATATAAATTAGTGTGCAATGAAGTGGACACGTAAGAAATCCACGATGTCATCATGTTCCCATGAGGTCGGTCTATGGTCGACATATTATGCTCTAAAGTGTTTTTTATATTTCTTGTCTAGTGATATATGAGAAACGGGAAATCTTAGGAAAAGTAGTGTTTACTTGTAGGTAGATAAGATGTGTTAACAGTCACTGTATGGCGGAAATAATGCCGATGAGGCGTTAAGTTTTTACTCACTCAGTTGGGTGCATATATTGTGTAACATACTGTAACAAGGTGAACCTACGAATGATTGAATTAGATGTATTAGTTCATCATTCGCAACTGTGCATTTATTAGAGTATCTATATATATAATATACAGGCATATTATATATATACTCTAGCGAACCCTAGATACGTGAATAGTATATACTATCGGTTATAAAGATGTAGCACATCAAGCACAATCGGCGTTGTGTAATTATTTTGCGAATTTCTTTATATCAACGGTCTCCTCCCATTAGTAAGACAGCCCAGTTGTGAGACACCTTAAAACAACAATGTCATACCTGGTTGCACATGTTACTCAGGTAATTAACCCCTATCATCTATTATTATAGACAAAAGAAATGACTCAAGATGCTTGATACCCTCTTTTACTTTATTTCATTCAACATTTTAATTCATCCATCCCTTAAATCCATTGTTTAGCTGAGTAAAGATATCCAGGTATGCAAGCTGAAAGGGTACATTGGGTAGTTACTCACTGTGTTGTTATACTATCGGGGTTTTGAATTATTTCATATATATTTGTACGCACGCAACTCAAAATGAATTGGCTTGTTAAAAATTGTCTTTAGAGGCGACTAACGGGATCGGGTGGTCAGGCTTGCTGACTTGCTTGATACATGTCATCGTATCCCAATTGCGTGGATAGATGCTCATGACATCAGTCACTGGATTGTATGGTCCAGATTCGATTATTTACAGACCGCCGACATATAGCTGGAATATTGCGGCGTTAAACAACAAAGAAACAAACAACAAAATAAATTGAGTAACGGTGATTTGTTTGGCATGTGTTACACAAATGTGCAGCTTATCTGGAGCTCTGCATAGCCACCTAGAGATGTATGCAAAGATGGGTAAAAATCCTATAATTTTCAAAAAGATAACAATAACAAACATTTCCTTAAGAATACTGTCTAAATAGGAATGAAAACTATAAGACCGTTTTCCTATAGCAGTTCATTTTCTAAACCCAATAATCAATAGAAATTATTATTTTTTACATTACAATAAACAAATGCAGCAAAGAGGGTTTGGGTGATCCTGGCACAGGCTTGTTAGGCTCATCATCAGCTCAGGGCCCTTGCCCCCTCAACACGCAGCCCAGACAACGAATGGGACTTCTCCCAGGAAGCGCTGCCTAGTCGAACCCACCGAGAACTTTTCGATGTGAAGACTCCCCAACACTGCAGTCTCCTGCATTACCCAGATTGTCAGAAAGGCTGTATTCCTGGCAGCAAACCCGGGTACTCTCCCAATGTCAGTCAACAGATTGGGAGGTACCAAACCTAAGGCACCGAGAACAATGGGGAGACGGACAACTTGTTACATGGGATGCGAGCTTGACATTTCGTAAGCAAGGTCCGCATATTTGCCATGTTTGTCCTGCATCTTGTCAATCACATAAGTGTCAAAAGGGACAGAGAATTCAATTATATAAATGAAAATGTCAAAGTAATTTGTCCTTAGATTCACGCATTCACCGGATTGTTTGAGTGTGACTAATAGGGTCCTATTATTAATGAAGTATGAGCCTCATCACCAAATATGAATTACTAAAACATTGACACCATTTTGTTTGACGTCATACTTTTTTATGTCTTACAGGCGACGTCAGAGAATGATTGGTAAATTGATTAATTTATATTTCACCAACATTTCGTATATAGTTTGAAAAATTTCGATTTGTAAAACAGAATGTTACGCATAAACTTAGTGTTTTGTTCACGTAAACAAAAACAGTTTATATATTGGACATATATTTGTTCAGTATTATTTGGTTATTTCTCGTCTCGAATTATACAATAAGAGCTCCTTTTGTATGGATTTATCAGGATAATCGTATAAGGTTCGACAAACGGGGTACATAGCACGGTTTATATTTATGATTTACTGTAGAAATAAAGTATTCAGTTTAATTTCCTGCGCTCGAGTTAGCAAGTGGGATTCGGGGCACGCCACCTCTGTTATAAAACCGCAAACTCTTCGATGACTCTCTCAGTGCTCACAGGAATGTATCTGTGCCCATAGAGAGGAGATCGTGCTCACTAGTAAGCTGATGTCCAGCCACAAAAAATAGTATTTCAAACACATAAACAGATCTATATTTTTAAAAGAAAATGTAAGTGTAGGCACTTGCCTATTGTGCCTATAGGCATCTACGCCCCTGGATTTATATCATCCTCACTATAGTTAGAATGCATTAACTATTTCTTCTTAATAATCTCCTCCACCTTTGATATTATATGTTTGGGGTAGTGATTTTCTATCATAAACGGGTAGCGAATTACCTATCTTCCGGGACGGTCGGGTAGCCTAGTGGTCAAAGGCGTTCGCTCGTCACGCCGAAGACCCTGGTTCGTGTACATGGGTACAATGTGTGAAGCCCATTTCTGGTGTCCCCCGCCGTGATATTGCTGGAATAATACTCACTCACTCACCTATCTTCCTAAAAGACAATTTTTTTCTAACAGATGCCGGGTTAAACCCAAAATGGAAGAATCAAGGCCACACCTTGCTCCTCAAATACATTGTGTATATACAAGTGTGTATATAACATCTTAGGGGTCGTGATAGTCTGTCTCCCAGACCCTAGAGAATAAATTGAAAGAGGAGTCCAACTTATGTCTGGAATGATTGAGCAAGTCTAGACTGGCTCAGCTCCAGGGAATTATGCATTGTTCTGGGCTCCCTTTTTATTATTTTATTTTGTAGATATAACGTTTTAAATAAAATAACTTTATTTCTGGGACTAAATGTCTGTCGAGGGGATGGAAACTTGGCACTTCTTAAACTTTGATGTAGAGATGCTATACACACTTTCAATACCTTGGCACTTCTTAAACTTGGATGTATAGGTGCTATACACACTTTCAATACCTTGGCACTTCTTAAACTTGGATGTATAGGTGCTATACACACTTTCAATACCTTGGCACTTCTTAAACTTGGATGTATAGGTGCTATACAAATTTTCAATACCTTTCATACAAACAGATATATATCATACTGTTGTAAAAAAAGATTTGATATAAGATATAGTATTATATACAGCAACATACTATGTTAAAATACAAGTAGACTAGTGCTGGTGTTTCCTAAGGTCTAATAAAAATAAACACTTCCTGAAAACAAGCGTTTTTATTGTTCCCCAGTACCGACTGGTGATGGGTGTGCCCCTTCTTTCCTTATTTGATGAAACACACCAAACATGTCCAACCAAGCATTCATGATTGGTGTGAACCACGCCTGTAAGCGAAAACCGATGTCCTGAACAGTTTATTAAAAAGATACATCGATTATGGTCTACTGCAGTATATATATTTTTTATATCGATCAAATAACTTATTTTGGAGGTCAGTGGAGATTTTACGTTTGTCACAATGAAATATCAAAACCTTTGAAAGCAGTATTAATATTGTCAAAAACTTCGCATGGGCATTATAGGGGGGAACCCAAAAAGAATCCGATGGAAAATTTATCAATTTGTTGCGTTAAAGGGGCGTGGTTGAAATATATTTTAAAGAATGTCGACCATATTACATACACATACAATAGGGGTTACAAAGGCAGTCTTGAAATAAGAACCGACTTCAGAAAACAAAGCACAAGAAGCACCATTCAGCACGTTTTATTTCACTATACATGTATCACCACTGCGAGCCGCGTGGAAACTGCATTGGTTGTTTACATTCGTACACGTGCACTTCCGTCTAACTTCGTGTATTTCCGTGATTTGGGACGTTTTCAATGTATCTTATTTTGATAAGTTACGTGTTGAGATTCTGCCATTTAATATGTTATATATATAAAAGGAAGATCTTTGTTCAATTATTGCAAATAAAAATAAACGAGTGGTAACCGAGTATGTCAACCAATGAGAAGTCGCCATCTTTCTTTAGCAGTCACGTGACCTTACGTCATGGGGAACCAGCAGCAGTTTTGACAACAAGCACGGGTGTGACAGTGTATTCATCAATTTCTTGGCCAGTTCACTTAATTACAGTGTGTTCTGATTGTTGTTCGTCGAACCGGCAAGCAATACGCTACTCGCGTGCTGAGTGACAGTGATATTAAGTGCGGAAATATTCGTAAATTTGTAACCTTCGATCCTGTTAGTGACCCAGTGGCACCAATTTTCGTGAGAACTCATCGGTGTCAGACTTTCATCATTCAGGACAATCGTGCCGAAATCGATGAAATTGTGACCCTTTTTTCGAATCAGAAGATATAGGTGACGAGGACATACATTATTGCAAGTATGATGGATTTAGGTGATAACCCAGTGACTTTGATTGTCAAAGCACCAAATCAGAGAATTGCTGACCAAACAGTCGACTGCTTCCTGGAATGGACTGTAAGAAAGTTGAAAGAACATTTAGAAAACGTCTACCCTAGTAACCCCGTAAGTATCACTCCACACAAAACTCTGTATATAAACGTGTCAGTGTGTTATCACTTGGGCATGTATACTGTAATGGCTGATGTACCCGGCTTTACTATTGAAGGACCGGTTTTGAGACGATCTTTATCTCTGACAGCGAAGTTATGTAATGTGTTGAATATGTGCGCTAATCACCTGTTGTTACAGCTGGTATTCGGTCCAGTGAACGCATGGATAAAAGCAGCAGGTTATGGGTAGTGCCTCCATCCTTATCAATACCTCCAGAGAATATACATGAACAACATGCACAGATGGTTGTATATCATACTTGTTTATTGAACAGTTCAGCTGTTACCTGTCACTGCTTGTTGAGGACATGCCAAGTTTCTCTTCAACACCAGAATCATGTTATTTCTGTGAATACCTATGTAACACTTATTGCAATGTTGGTTGTGGGTCATTCTTCACTTGAACATTTATAAGTTTGACCAATAACTGTTTTTAATCTGAGTGACAACGAAGAAGAAGTTTGCACATGCAGCACCAAAGAATTAGTCATATTTTTACAATCGTAATTACTTGGTTAGATTTATTTCGTAGTAGAAAAGATATTGATACATTTTTGAAAGGATGGTTCCACTTAATATTTAATTTGGAGATCAATTATTTATGTTTGTCACTGATATTTTTGTAAAATGGACAATGATACTCATTTTCTATTAAGCATGCTAAGTGATGGATCTATAGTTATATTAAACTGTTTGTTTTGTATATTAAGTTTATGAGCTAGGCACTGAAGTTTACACAAAGTTGTTAGGAAATCTTTCACAATGTTTACATGCAAAGATAGACAGATATTTCAAATGTCAGTTTTATAATGCTAGCCCACTGAGACACCAATCCTGCACCAAGCAGGGTAACAACAAGTACCATCTTTTGGTAAGACACTGCCAGGGGTCAAACCACTGACCTTTCACTCTCCGAGCAGATGCTCTACCCATTAACTCACGGAGGCAGTCTGCAAGATAGAAAACTTTGTTATATTATAAAGCCAATTTTGAAGTTCAATACCCATAAGATCCTTGCAGTTTTGTTTTAATAATTTCACAACACAATTCAAGATAAGATACCTGTACATATGAAAACCAAGTTTTAAATAATAGTAATCTTATATAGGAAACCCAATTATTATTGCCATTATCATTGTTAAAAATCTTAAGCATATTGATATTCATTTAACCTAATTAATCTACAAAAATATATAATACAACAACTACAATAGTTTAAACATACTGGAGTTTTTTGTAGTTGTCCTAAAACAGTTCTTTTACCAACAGAAAGATAACTTTTAAAGAAATTGCTGTGTATCTTTTCAATGATTCTTGTGTAAATGTATCTCCAGATTTCCAACCCACATGAAAGCATAGCAGCAATTTTTTAATCAAATATTTTAACAGTAGTAGAAAATGGAAAACTTTTCAACATTCTCAGATGAGCTCGTAACAGACCTTGAATTGTAATAATACTAATATCCATTGCATACAATCGACTTTTACAATATGCTTTATTTCATACATGCTCATATTAATCAAGTGAATAAATGCAGGATATCAGTTACAATAAACATGGCTGAGTTTAGCTTACCTGACATGGATTGACAGTCTTTGGTGTGTCATGTTTGTTTGACATACCCCCTCCGTTTAATCCTCTTCAGGGTGGTGGCAGATTGAGAATTAACGTCTCTATCTCTAGTAGTGGGAGACGAGTAACTGTACTTCATATAAAGTTGTGTAAATGTTATGTGATTGAAATTAACAACATAATATTTGGTCATTGGTCTGATCAGTGTTTTATCTTAAAAAAATTCATTGACAAAACCCGTACCTGGCGACAGGACACAGTGTCACGCCCTAAGCATGCTAAGAGAGGGGTGGTGTAGCAACTATATTGACCAGCATTAGGATTGATATAGACGAGGCAGCAGCAATGCAATGAAGACACCAGATGATTGAAAACAAATGGGTTGTTATTACAAATGTAAAATAATGATTGGCCCAACTGAGATAGCGTTTCCGGATGGATCTGGTCATGTCATAGGTGTCGATAGGAAGCAAAATTGAGCATATCCCTGGATTCCGGGGTCAGATGTTGTTCTTCCTCTACCGAAATGCCATTTATTCATGAGTAGTGATTCAGTTAAGGATCAGTCTGTGATGTTATGCAGTTTGGAATCTATATGGCAACTCTAGAACAGATGGAAGATGTAGCTGTGGTCTAGATGGTACAATCTATGAACATGTTTGATGTAATGAAGCAGTCCACTAAGCTAACTACTAGCACATGTAAGACTCCATCTTTATCACTTATTGTCCTGCCATTAACAATATGTATACACCAACTTTTACATGGTTCAAGTAATTATAACCAACCCCTGTTTACGTTACTGTCCTGCGTGGACCTGTGTTGACAGAAATCATCACACACATATGGGTCACCAAGTAGGATTTACATTTGATATTAGACCTTTCAAATTTTCATTATTACCAACACTACTAATGAAGTCACCACAGAACAATATGTCTACATCGTCTCCATGTTTTGGCTTTAAGATGGCTAAGTTTAACATGTTTGAGTGTAATTCCTCAATACTATCATTATCAGTGTCTGCATTAAGTGAGGACTTTCCTGGAAGAACATACACAGTTCGTGTTGATACACAGGGATAGAGTTAAACCAGGGAATGAATTTGTGTAACAGTTGTGTGCACAATGCTGTCATCATCTGTTCAGACGTTCGGATTGAAGTAAGGAATTTAAGTATTTATCAAGAAAGTATGTGAATTTAGGTTGCACAAGATAAGGATGTAGATCAAAATATCCCCTTTTTCTCTCTCTTAAAGCTTTGCACTCTCAAACCAGTAAATGTTAATGCCTTAACATACATTTGGAAAAATGTCTGCTCTTCTACCCTCTCTATTTTCTAATTTGTGTAGGGGATCTCTTCAGTCACAATTCCTATCACAACAGTGAGGTCACAATAGGAGATGTATGATGATACAGAAAGAATGACACAAGCTGAGATAACATAGTCATATTAAAAGATGCATTTGTGTATTGTCCTACACTAGTTCTTTTGGTAAATTAATTTGGGCGTATATTCAAAATATGATAGTCTTGTAAAGTCTGATCATCCTGTTTGTGATGGTTATGAATAAACATATACATTACATATGTCCTTGGACATGTGTTGGAACCTTTCAAGTTGAAGCAGTTTATGCACAGCTGGTTATAACAGAAATATATATTGACATTTCAGTAAGACAGGTTTTTCAATGACATGCTCCTCCTCTGATTCAGGATACCCCCTAGTGACTAATATTTATCTTGGCCCCAGAACTAATGCAGATCAAAACCATCTTCCTGAGGCAAGGGCTATAAAACTCCAGTTTCGCCTTTGCTGAACTAGGTTGGAATTTCGTGGCTAGATCGTAGCGCCACCAGTGGCTATTATGAGTTAAGTCCCTTCTATGTCCCTCCCACTGACCAATGAGATTCCACTTCTCATATCACTTGCATTTGCTTCAAACCAAATGGCGGCGTACAGCCAAGACAATCTGATTGATAATCAAGGTCTATATTGTAACACCTCGCAAAGTGTATCAAATCATGTGAGCACCTTGATTAAAAAAATATGAAAAGATTTGAAAAATGTCTGTCAACACCCAGTTGATGGTACAAATGTTTTGCAATTCCTGCATTCAACTGAAATCCACATGTTGAAATCCATGTTGTTTATGGAGTGGAAATCTAGTTCGTAACACAAATTTTATTGGACTATGCATAAGACTCATTTGTCCAGCCAAACTGTAATTCTGGAATTGCAGTCTAATTTGGCACAGGTAGAAACTGGATTTTTATACTAAGTTAACGTTAACTCCCTTGCTTTGGGAAGATGGATAATACATGTTGATGAATATTGATGTTGAGACATCACTGATCAGTTGATGTGTTGGGTTTTCTAAATATTAAACAAGCTAGCTCTGGTCTCACAATGACAGTATTATTGATGATTTGTCCTGCGTTAATCAAAGTCATGTATTTTATTTGCAGAAACATAATCAACAGAAGCTTATCTACTCGGGCAAGTTACTACAAGATCACGTCACACTCAAGGAGGTGCTCAGACAGGTGAGTCAGAATAGTTACAAAAGATTGGTAACAGAAATTCAGCCCTAATATGTTACACAACAAGAAGTGATGATCACATACAGTTTACACGGTTTAACTTTATGTACAGCTTTATTTTGACAACTGCATTAGTTCATATAACATTGCAATACAAATAACCCACTCTACTAGCCCGCACTTGGCACTTAGGATCATTTTGGAAAACAAATGCCGTCCATGTTATTGTTATTATATGGACTATTACCAGCCGAGCTTACTGGACCAAACACTTTTTTCTAAACTCGGGCTTCATTCAGGCTAGTGGCTTAAGTTGCAGGCTGATAACCTGTGTCCAAAATATTTTCAAATACTCAACATTGTGTGACATTCAATACATCGCTCAGACATTAACTATGTACATACTCCTGATAATGATGATGTCTGAATAAATGTCTGGATGTTGCTTTTTATGGATTGTGTGGTGGTAGAGTGGCCCAGTGGTTCATGTGTTTGCCCGTCATTATTGAGTAAGTAAGTGAGTTGGGTTTAGCACCGCTTTTAACAGTATTCCAGTTATATCACAGCATGTCAGCTTAATGTGGGAGGAAAGCCCAGAAAAAAGAGGTTGTTGCAGTTTGCTTATGGAGAATTTGAGCTGGTTAGGTTGCCCCACCTCTGAGAAAAGTAAATGTAGATTGTGTTGATAACATATTCACTAGGACTTCAGATCGAAGGCCCAGTGCATCACAGTTCCTGTGTAACATTCACCCTTAGTATGAATTGTTATGTAGCAGTTGTACCTTGTTGTTGTTGCATTAAGTGTTTAAGAGGTCGCCTTCTGCCTAAGCAATTTCGGCTGACCTGTCCCTCTTTGGGACTCCTGTGTGTGAGTAGGGTACACATATCTGTTGTGTGTTTGGTGTTCACATAATTTCTGTTTTTGTATTGATATGATTTCTGTTTTCGTTTATTGATGTGATTTCATTTTTACCCTTGGCTGCTCTGTTTATATACGTTCGAGTAGCTGTCCATCTCTCAGAAGTAGAGTTAGTTTCGCCTTCGCTATTGCATCTCTTGGCTTTAGGAGATCTATGACAGATACCGGATCTAACTGCAATTCTTGTTTTAACCTAGCCCGGGCTGGGGCATGGTCTGTTGTTGTACCTTCAAGATATGTGACTTTTTGTAGCCCATTGTATCTCGACATGGTAGAGGGGAATGAATGCCTCTGAGCAGAAACCATTGAAGCATTAAGATATGTTTATCCAACCATCAGAATGTCAAATGAAGCATGAATTAAGACCTCAAGGTCCAATCACCCCTGAGCATTTATGTAAGACAAGGACTTACTGAAGCATTAAGATAATATTTATCTAACCATTGGACCATATTCAAATTGAGCACAACTACATGCATAGAGAAAAGAGAAATACACAAACACATAAAAACAACAAAGCATTTTTAATAGATAAGAAAACAAGTTGGGTTCATGTTGAAGTTGATTTTTCCCATTATGGTCACCATATTATTCGTGTTGTATACACAGTAGGGCTGGGACAAGTCCAAATGTACTACCCGGGTACCCGATGTAGGTCTCTAGAGTTGAGTACAAAACGTCCGATTGGGAAACGTTTGACCACAGCTGTGGACAAAATAAATTTAGATACACGTATCTGGTCATGAATACACTGAGGTTGACTGAAGTTTTATCTTTATTCAAACATATGAAGGTGAGAAGGAATGGGTGCATAGTCAGAAAGAAATGTGAACATTAGTGACTTGTAGTGTAACCATATAGTTCTAGAACATTTTTGTCATTAAACAATATATCATACAACTAACCATATACGGGTAGTCCAGTGGGTACCCAGGTCCTTCTCAGTACCCATCCAACCCAAGTACCCGAGTTACCTGTCCCAGCTCTAATACACCTATTTACAATGGTTTATGCATTTATCATGTTTATGCTGAGGTTGTTTGATATGTTCTTTTATTAGACCTGCTACCTTATCAAACTTTAATTTATGTTTTTATAATATGTCAATGTGTCATTAATAATGTTTTGAGTTATTTTCATTTTAGACAGGCAAGCTTGTATTTGACTTGAAATTCCATCACCGACTTAAAAGATCAATCCTATAAAGATTATGTTATGGTTTGGTTTTGTTGTTTTGTTTATTTAGATATAACTTGTTCTTTCAGCTTGATGAAGCATCACTTCACACTGTCCACCTCGTCTGTGCTGGAGGAACAGAGGGATCCTATGTTGAAAGTACAGTTGAAACAGTAAGTATGCAAGTTTCAAATCATTGAACTTTGTGTTTCACGAACACAACCCAAGGAAGATTCAGGTCTCAAGTTGATGTGATTTTACAATTTTACAACTGAAGTTATGAAGATACCAGTTGTTTGTTCAGAAATTAGAATAATCAAAATTGATGTTTAAATGTAATAATTCTCTGAAGTCATTTTACAATGTGTTTTTTGCATGTTTAATGTTAATATTCTTGCTCTTTTGATCAGAATGTATTTAAAATCTACATTGATTACAAACGTAGCTTGTTTTCCCCTTGAAGCAGATAGATCCGACCCCATCCAGCTCTAGTCACTCGACAGATTCAGCAGAAGGTATCCGGTATCGCGGACCCACAATGCCAGGCATGGAGCAGCTCCAGCTTGGGTAAGCATGTGACAAGTGTGCCTCTAGAGTAGTCATGTACAGGGTTGTGATACAGGCCTTGTACTGATACAAATGATGTACCAATACTGTTGTGATACTCATGTTGTATTGACACACACATTGTACCAATACTGTTGTGATACAAATGTTGTATTGATACACATGTTGTACCAATACTGTTGTGATACAAATGTTGTATTGATACACACGATGTACCAATACTGTTGTGATACTCATGTTGTATTGATACACACATTGTACCAATACTGTTGTGATACAAATGTTGTATTGATTCACATGTTGTACCAATACTGTTGTGATACAAATGTTGTATTGATTCACATGTTGTACCAATACTGTTGTGATACAAATGTTGTATTGATACACATGGTGTACCAATAGTGTTGTGATACAGGCCTTGTTCTGATACTCACACTGTACCTAACTGTTATAATACAGGCTTTGTACAGATACATGGTGTACCAATACTGTTTTGATAAACACTTTGTACCGAGACACATGGTGTTTTGTTTAATGCCGCACTCAGCAATATTCCAGATATATGACGGCATCTGTAAAAAATACATTCTGGACCAGACAACAACAAGCATAGTCACCATTTAAGGCAAGCATGGGTTGCTGAACACCTGTTCTACCCCGGATCTTCACGGGTTGCACATTGAGTATTAATGCTGTTGTGATACAGGCCTTGTACTGATACACGTTGTACCAATACTCTTGTGATACACACTTTGTACCAATACTCTTGTGATACACACTTTGTACTGATACATATGTTTTACCAATACTGTTGTGATACACAGGCTTTGTACTGATACTCATGGTGTACCAATAGGTCGTATATAAGGTCAGGATACACAGGATGTAACAATATATACAGGGTGTAGCAGTATGATCATATGTGGGCAATATTAAGGCTTGGACGAGTCTAAATTTAGTACCCAAGTACCCAACTCCCTATTACCCAACCCTACCCGGGTACCCACTGTAGGTCTCAAATTGGGTACAAAATGTTCATTTTGGAATTTCTTTACTGGAGCGATACCAGTTGGTCATGGCTTTCAGAGGTTACCAGTGAACTGGAACATACCATGTAATGGTGGTCATAGTTCACAATTTAGCATAGTCAAAGTCAAGGGTTCCTCATCATAACCATGGGATGTTAGAGAAGGTAGCAATTCACAGCATTATAGACAGTGTATAGAAATGCACAGGGATTTAGAGCAACACAGGTTCTAAAATACATCAGGTGTGACAATATGAAGTTGACAAGCAATAATAGGCAATAATGTGTTCCACAAAGTATGACTGTATTGAACATAAATGAGAGTAAAGACAGTTCAATAAAATTGCATAGTCAGCAAGTTATTGTATCGAGGCCTTGTCCTTGTAAATCAGGATCATGTGTGGGCAGCTGACACTTGATATTATTTTACTGTTTGGTAGGTATAATGTTAGGATAATTGTGAACTCACTACCATTTTCAGCTGTTCCAAAGACTAGCCAGGGTAAAGCGGAGTTACATGTTTATTCGGTTGTTACATTTATGGTAGAGAAGCCAGCTGTTTCAGGTTTTTTTATTCTGTAATTACAAGTATGACTATTCATGAAGAAAGGGCTATCGACTGTAAAGAGACAGTCCATTATCAAATTAAATAATATTGATATTAGTATGAATAATAGTTTACATGGTTTAGACATGGTGACTTATCATTTACAGATATACAGTGTTGATAGTTTCTAACAGCGTGACCACTGGTTTGCTAGTTCCTAGCAGTTTTTGCCTGGTCTATTCTCTGTCATCTTGACATAGTATTGATGCTTATACTGAAAATATTCCTGATATTTTGATTCCATCATTCACACAGTGTATTGCTCATACCACCAAACAAGTGTGCATGTGCACAGTGTTCAAACTTAAGAGGGTCCTGGAGTCCTTCAGGTATCCTTGTACAGTATTTGAATCGAGGAACCCCAAATCTTCAACTTTTAACATTAGGAAATGACAAGGAACCTTTGACTATTTAGCCTAATTTCTAACCAGTATGCTGTTGGTGTGCGTTGTTTAACGCCACACTCAGCGATATGCCAGCTATATGACGGCGGTCTGTAAATAAATAAGTCGTGACCAGACAATCCAGTGTTGGATATCATGAGCATCAATCTACGCAATTGGGATATAATGACATGCATCAACCAAGTCAGCAAGCCTGACCACCGGATCCCATTAGTCGTCTCTTACGACAAGCATAGTCACCTCTTTCAGCAACCATGGGTTCCCGAAGACCAATTCTTTACCCAGATCTTCACGTGTCCTAACCTGTATGCATATGATGTGACAGATTGAGAGATTGAAATCAGTATGTAAATTCATAGATTTGTCATTGCATACTTATCATGCTCGTGTAGATGTTTTGTTTAAAACACCAGTAAAGATATTAACACAAATATTGACAACCCAGTTGTTACAAATTTCAAGTCATTACAAGTTATAGACAAAGATATGATTGGGACATGTCTTATGCTGGCATTTCCATTCTGAACTTCTACTTCTATTAATAATCAGATGGATTGTACTTAGAAGTGTATTTGCAAGGCTTGACGTCACAATGTTGTATTGATTCGGAGGCAGGTGTTGCCTTGTGTGTGACCGGCTTATGTGTTGAATGCCCGATAATGGAATTTGTATGACTATACCACGTATGCCTTGAACAAAATCACTTTTATTGAAAATTGTAAATGACTGTAACAATGTGGCCATTACTGTTTTAACATAGATTTGAACATTTCATTGTTCAGTTGAGATAAAAAGATAATTGTGAAGTTTTATATTTTTGTTGGCAATAATTTGTCCTTCCTGTACAAAAATCTACATATATCATTACATGTGAAGAGATAAATTGTTCAGTTAACAGAAATATTGTTTTTAAATGATAGACAGATAAATGTAGATGAAATTCTGTATTTAATATTTTTTTTATCATGTGTCTAGTGATCTCTTTTTCAATATTGAACATGTTGAATTAACAATGATGAAATTTAAAGACATGCCACCTTTAATATTATGAGAACAGAACCTAAAGATATTGTCACTAGCTGGAAGGATGCACTGGTATTTGACATCAGGCACTTTGCCAGGAGCTACCACGTTGTGATAAGGCCTGTTTTTGTCTGTTCATGTTTACCATGTTTACTAGGTATGTTATCAGTGAAAGCTCATTTGGCTTGTTGACATTTTGTATGTGTAACCATGATAAAAATTAAAAATGCACCCACAGGTAAATCTACCACAAAAATAACCAGAGAAGTATGTCAGACCCATGAATTGTCATCAATGGTTGTAAGCGTGGCACTCCTCATACTCATAGGCCTAGCACAATGGATCATAATATCCCAGCATTATGGGACTGGGAAACGTGTGACATGTTTCGAAAGCTGACCAAATATCTTTGGGGAAAAAATGTACACTATTTGACATGTTTGATAAAGAAATGAATAGTTGAAATGCAAAACACGGTTTTGTCTGATGTATTACACTGGAAAGAGTGCTACCTCTGGTTTATAAAACAGTGAGCAACAGTTTACTGTTATGACAGGGGGTGGTAACCAAATGGTTAGAAGCTGCTGGTCATACAAGGACCTGAGGTTAAATCCACACATGAATGCAGTTTATGAAACACTTTATTGATGTGCCTTTTCTGTCCCTTTTGCTGCCTGAATATGGTTGTGATATGGCTAAGGGTGTCAAGCCCTACACGTTTCCCCTTGTACCAGCCTAATGAGATATGTCTGATTGTGTTTCAGCGGCAACGTGATGGCCCCTCCGATGATGATGCCCCCTGGCTATGGCGGCTACAGCCCCGAGCAGTACCTGTGGATGCAGCAGATGTATGCCCAGTACATGACACAGTACATGCAATAGTGAGTAGCTGCCCTGTGCATGACACAGTGCAGGCAATAGTTAGCAGCTGCCCTGTGCATGACACCGTACATGCAATAGTGAGTAGCTGCCCAGTATGTGACACAGTACATGCAATAGTGAGTAGCTGCCCAGTACATGACACAGTACATGTAATAGTGAGTACCTGCCCAGTACATGACACAGTACATGCAATAGTGAGTAGCTGCCCAGTATGTGACACAGTACATGCAATAGTGAGTAGCTGCCCAGTACATGACACAGTACATGTAATAGTGAGTACCTGCCCAGTACATGACACAGTACATGCAATAGTGAGTAGCTGCCCAGTATGTGACACAGTACATGCAATAGTGAGTAGCTGCCCAGTACGTGACACAGTACATGTAATAGTGAGTAGCTGCCCAGTACATGACACAGTACATGCAATAGTGAGTAGCTGCCCAGTATGTGACACAGTACATGCAATAGTGAGTAGCTGCCCACTATATGACACAGTACATGCATAGTGAGTAGCTGCCCAGTACATGACACAGTACATGCAATAGTGAGTAGCTGCCCAGTATGTGACACAGTACATGCAATAGTGAGTAGCTGCCCACTATATGACACAGTACATGCATAGTGAGTAGCTGCCCACTACATGACACAGTACATGCAATAGTGAGTAGCTGCCCAGTATGTGACACAGTACATGCAATAGTGAGTAGCTGCCCACTACATGACACAGAACATGCAATAGTGAGTAGCTGTCTCTAGTAGAGGCTGTTGATGCAGCAGATGTATGCCCAGTACATGACACAGAACATGCAATAGTGAGTAGCTGCCCTGGTCTCTGGTCGAGGATATGTACTACTTCACTCACTTGCGCAACCACCTGCCCACCCACACACCCGTTGAACAAATAAACAATACCGTATTCAACGTAATAAGGTCCCAGAGCGCTCTCAAAATTAGAAATAGGGGGCTCTTATTAGAATATTATTGTGGTGAGTTGAAAGATGGTAAATTTCATGGTTTATGCTGACAGCCTAAAATGTTTATATACGACAGATATATTTTTCCAAAATTTAATTGCCCATAATTGATGGTGCATATAACACACGAGTGCGTATTATACACAAATAAATAAGTCTTGTGTACATTGATCAATCGGAAGGCGTGCTAATTGGGATTGTTCACCAGCCAATATATTAGCAAATGTAGTCGTGGGCACTTATAAGAGCGGGGCCCTTATTACGTCGAATACGGTATTCATATGATTAAGGTTAGTGAGCATACACTGTTATGATCCATTATTATTTAACTACTGCGATAATATAGTGAACCATGCTAATCATGCATATGGGAATGTGTTGAGAAAAACAGCATTGGTTACAAGTCCTGTGTTTTCTCCCCACCAGCTACAACAATGCCTACCCTCAGACACCACCTGCCTCCCCAGCAACTACTGCCGTTGCCGAGGGACGTCCAGCCAATCAGAACCAACCTGCCCCAGCAGCAGCTGCTCCAGCCAATCCTAACATGCGTATGAATGCCCAGGGTGGGATGGTTGAAGATGACGATGAGGAGGATGTGGAACATCGGGACTGGCTAGATTACATCTATATCTTATTTCGCTTCCTCGTCCTTCTCAGCATTGTCTACTTCTACTCCACCTTTAGCAGATTCGTCGCTGTCTTTATAGGATTTGTCATCATATATTTGTAAGTAGTTATCATGGTTAATTCTTCCTGTTGGGATACCAGAGTATACTAGGTCCCCATTATCAAGTTGCTCTTTGAGGCGACTATGCTTGTCGTAAAAGGCAACTAACGGAATCGGGTGGTCAGGTTCACTGACTTGGTTGATGCATGTCATCGTATCCCAATTGCGGGGATCGATGCTCATGATGTCAATCACTGGATTGATCAAGGAAGACATTCCAGTGACAATTGGGACACATTACATTTCTGCAATTACGTGTGCAAATGTTCCCAATAGATTGGAACATAGATGGACTGATATTGTTTCCCTCAGGAATTCTCTGTGAAGATTCCGGGGTAGAATAGGTCTTCAGCAACCCATGCCATAAAAGGTGACGATGCCTTTCGTAAGAGGCGACTAAACAGGAACGGGTGGTCAGGTTCATCATGCTTTCTGCAGTGTGCTTCAGAAAGTGTATTGACAACTCCTGATGAATATGAACAGTAATATTATATACTGCAGTGCATAAGCTTGATGAATTAGTCGTGTGTTGGCTAAGAAAACTATTGTCATCTCTCTCAGATGCTGAAAGTTTCAGATTTTTGACTTCCTGATCAATCATGATAATGCTTTGTTTCCAGTTTACAAAAGGGCTGGTTAAATCTCAGAAGAAATCCAAATCCACCTCAAAGACAACAGCAGCCACCAGCAGCAGCAGAAGTGGTGCCACAGGTACCACAGGTACCACAGGAAGCCGAGCCACAGCAGGAGCAACAGGCAAATGCAACAGAGAATCAACAGGTACTTATGTCTTGTATACATTGCTTCAGCAGGAGGGTTTGCCCCACATGTTAACAGTATGGTGCTGCTCAGTTCATTCCCTGGGATCAAGAAAGGAATTCAAGATTCTAAGGCTAAACTGTTCCGCAGAGTTCTATTCATAGCCAACTTGACTCAGAATGTAATTTTTATGCAAGAGTGACAGATAAATGATAGTTCTGCCCATGGGTCATCAGGCATCCTGAGGTTAAACCAGTGTTTCTCTATTAGGAACAATTAGATCCTAATAAGCCTGGCAATGTTGAACATGTTCACACAATATTTGATGTCCATATTGTAATGATGATGTTTGCAGGAAGTGAATTCAATTTGGATATAGTTAGGCCATGTGCTACTTTAAATTTTCCAGCCTGTTAGTATGACTTGATGTCTATCTCAAGTTTGGGAGACACTGAGCTTTCATGGGGAAAAAGTAAGACATTCCAGAGACAATTGGGACACATTACATTTCTGCAATTACGTGTGCAAATGTCTCCAATAGATTGGCACATAGATGGACTAATATTGTTTCCCTCAGGAATTCTTTGTGACCAAAGACTATGTATGCTGTTTACAAAAGACAAAACAATTTATTCCAGTTTGACCACCCTGTGATTTTGTTACACACAACTTATTCCAAAGCCATTTATGTACTGGCCACTCGATCTCTAAACTCAGTGCGCTTAAATACCTCAAAAGTTTAAATGGATTCAGCACTGACTACATCTCAAACCACTTTCTGGGTGAACAAAACCTACGAAATTGAGCTGTGAAGTTCAACTCACAATTGTTCTAGATTCACTGTACTTTTTAACACATTTTTGCTCACTTGCAGGCTGAAGAAGGCAGTGAAGCTGCCCCAACCCCAGATGTCCCCGGACAAAGCGCCCAACCAGTGCAGGAAGCGCGACAAGGCATTATCGCAATGGTGTGGTGCTTTGTGTCAACATTCATCACATCACTCGTCCCACAACAGCCCCCAGCTGTCAATGGCAACTGATTCTGGGATATAACTGCAGGTGAAAACTGTGGACCGGTTTCATGTGTCAGAATCATGTAGAGAGCCATGAACCCATGCTGTTTTCTACAATGAGAGTGACTTGTGCCTTGGCTTGACCGCTCATCAGAAGAACTGTAGTTTTCCTTTTCACAGCTGGGGCAGTTTACCCTTGGATTTGGAACCCAAATTTCTGAATCTAAATACTGAAATCAGTCTACCTGTACAGGAATACAACTAAACACTTTTTATGTGTTTTGCCATATTAAATTCTTCATCATTTTGTTCCTTCCATCCTAAATTAGTTTGTGCAGAAAAAATGCACACCAAAAAGCAAGACAAGAAAAAGACACACATTGTGTTTTTCATCCATTGTGAACGGTGTTTTGTGAATGAAAGCTTGCCAGACAAACACATACATTTTTCATTTATACAGAATTGTGTGGTGGAATTTTGAAATCCACGTTATTGTGTGTTAAGTGTTTGTTAATGATATCACTAATTAATTGACAGTTTGTGATAGGCCATATTTGGCTGTCCCTATATCCATGTGCAATAAACCCAAAATAGAAGTTCCCCTGAAACTTTCTCTGACATGCTGACAAGGATTATATCCCTTAGAACATGGATCTCATGTCCAAATTTCAAAAAAGATCTGAGAAATTCCATAAAGTAAGTGTAAAATAGTACATCCAGTTCCGGCTTTGTTGGTTAAAGTGTGGAAAGTATGATCAAGAAAAGTAAAGGTGACAGTTTATGCGGAGTCATCTCCCTTTGGTGACTCTCAGTGAGGATGGAACCACTATTTGTCAAAAACTCTTCATCCAGTTCTCATATATGTTGATTGTCTACATCAAAGATAATGTGTCAAGGGGGTGGTAACAAGTGATGTAGTAATAACACTAGTGATAATGTATTCATTAAGCACACCCATTCTATATTTTCATGACCTGAACTCCCATGTATGTTTTGGAAGTACCTAAATAAGTAAGCGACATAAATTTAATTTGAGTACTTTACGATACCACAGACACCTGCTACAAAGTTGGTACAAGGACTCTTTTTCTCCAGATGTTAACAAGTACTAAGTACTAAGTCATATCATTGGATGCAATGATACAGAGCATTGTAGTCAAATTTCAATTGCCAGGGAACAGTTACAAAACATGTGGTATAATTGATTTAGTTTCAGCATTTCTTTATTCATATGTCACTTTGTAAACAAAAATAAATGTTTTAAAATGGCTATTATTTGGAAGTATACAGTAAGCAATCCTTAACATTTCCACTGTTGTATATATGATCTATGCTGTAGCAAGGTGGGAGAACAAGCTTTATCTTAGAGTAAAGAGTTGATGTTTATTGAGCTCACATTAGTACCACAATATTCTGTTGTTCACCTGTTAATCATTTAATGTAATGTTTAGATACTTGATATGCTAAATTTAAGGTTGGGGAAGCTTGCAAGACAAATGTATCAAGGACACTCAGCCACATGAAGAACTTTGACATGGCTGGAGGTATCTATGTGTTAAAATGTCTCATCATCATAGCACTTTCTTCAAGACATGCAAATATCATATATTTGTGAAGACACCAGCATTAGCACTGCAGATGGGCTTCCGTATGACCAAACAGATAGCTGCAGTTTCTATTGGGATATATGTACTTGGTTGTGACGGGATTTTTCTCTTTCTTTAAGGTTTGTCAACTTGATTAGTGTTCAGGCTTATGATCAGTGTATATTGTTATGATATTGGTCTGATGACTGAGTTTATTTTAGTATTTGGTGGTTTTCATAATGATATAAAAAGCATGTGTTCAATTAAGTCAAGAAATTTGTAGGTCTTGAATGTTAAAATTGTATTTCAAAGTTTAAGAAAATGATCATTGTTTTAGTTTATTTCTGTTAAGAATTGTCTCATTTTCCTCAGCTATCCAAGAGCATCACCTCTTACATGTGCTTTCCACCAGCACACTTTTTATACAGACAGCTTTGGGTCATGCATATTGGTGTCCCCATCTCTACATTATCTCCCTCATGCAGGGATTCAGATCTGGGACATTGACTGATTGTCATCACAAGTGTTCTGAAGTTTTGTTTTACATTTGTTAATGATGCGGAATAACCTGTTGAAGTTGAAAAATTATGAAAGTTTCCTAGTACCATTTGTCTCTAGCAAAATCACAGGAGGTTTACATGATTTTTATCAATATTTGATAGGACATTCTTCTGTATGTATTGTCACCATATTTGGAAAAACATCTTTGGACATTTTGGATGTCAGTCATGTCCTGAAGATAAATCAATCTGATCCCAAGTGATGCAACTGTTATGAGTCTGTTCAAACTCAGTGATAGCTTGGTTTAATGCCGCACTCAGTAATATTCCAGCTATATGACGGCTCTGTAAATGATCAAGTCTGGACCAGACAGTCCAGTGATCGATATCATGAGCATCAATCCACGCTATTGGGATCATACAGTTTAGCCTTGCCTCAATGTACAATCACTTTTAGTAGTTTAGAAATCCCAGATCTGCTATGCCATAAATATTGATCGCTATCCAAGAGAGGTTTGGCACAGCGAGTTTGTATTTTCATTATGAATTACCAGGTATCATTTTTGAAGATTTGCACTGGAATCCCATTTGAAATCCCAGATGTTCTTGCTGCAGAGTACTGTTGTGCCAGAAACTTCTATTTTCTTACTGTACAATCATATAATCTTACATGTATACAATCATGTATTTGTTGATGCTGTTTATTGTCTCTATTTTGTCTTTATTCTGTTTATTGTCAAGATTTTACTTTGTTTTTTGCTTGATTTCAAATCAACATTCAGTTGTGTTATGTTCGTTTCCTTGCATAGTCAGGATTGACTGTAGAAGTTGTACTATATCACTTTATAGTGACACTCACATTTTGACATCCAAATGGCAGTGTTGATGGAGTGAGTGATACATTGATATAATCCATGCTGTGATATAGAATTTCAATGAAAACATCCCTTTGAGGGATGCCTAGTTGATCTATTCGATCTGTTCAATATAAACACATCTAAAATCTCTTAGCCTTGGGTTACAAAGTTCTTCATTCTAACTTTTATCCAGCTGATTTGTTTTCAGTTAGAGATTTTCTATACGTTTTCAGAGATCAATTGAATGCATACTGGATAAAAATGTAGATTACACGGTACACCAAACGATTTTTTTTCATTTATTTACTTCTATTTCCTTGTCAACAATATCAAACCTTTATTTTACATTTAAAAGAAACTATCGGGAGCATATATACTCATCTTATTCTGTTACAGTTTCTGATCTATAAAGTGGGGCTTAGACTTTTGCATTCCCGGCAAATTTTATTACCCTAGAAACATTTTTCAGTTTGACCCTGTGAACTAGACACTGTGGCTAGACCTATACAGAAATTGGCATCACTTCGAGATTTCCTCTCACATCAAGCTGACATGCCGTTATATAACTGCAAAACTGTTCAAAGCGACGTTAAACTCACTCACTCATTCAATATCGAAATTGGGCAACCAAACCTTGAGGATGGTCGCTCTTTTTATGCATGACAGGATATTACCGATATTGTCTTAATGCCCTTGCTAATATTTGTATTATCTGAATGACCTTGCTTGTATCATTGTTTCCTGAGATATACTAATCATACAAGAAGTACCGACATTGCATTGTGCCAAATGTGTTAGGGGAATTATATATTGTCACTATGTAAAGAATATGTAAAATATTAATCAGTCACTGCCTATTAATCAGTTTCAGATAAATCACATGTAAATATTGTATATTGTACATAGTGTATATATGGGGTCCTACATGTTAACTCATAGTGCATTTATGAAATCCTTGGTTTGTTGAACACACGCTTTCACGTTTCTTTCATGTGTGTTGTCTCAAATTGCAGTTGGAATTTATGAATTTACATGATTGAAATCTATTCTCCAAGGTTCCTGTGTGCATCCTAAAATTTGATAACATTCGTACAAAAGATTGATAAAGAAGACATTAGAGAGTCAGAAATACTATCCTCATTTTTGTCATTGTCAAAAATGGTTTGTCCACTTCTGATTTAAGAACTCTTGTGACAAGTTGTGTATCGGTAGGGGTGTACATCTACAACAATGTGTTCAATATGGAAGAGGTTACGAGCATAAACATTTGTCTCAACATTTCTCGCAGCCAGGTGCTCATGGATAATAAACTCAAATCGATAAAACTAAGTGTTCTGTTCTTTTTAAACACTATACAGTCTAGCCTATTCATATTTAGCTTCCTATGATTAAGTCATGATATTGACTGTGTTTTATACCAAGTCCAAGGTAAACCTCACACATTCATATAAAACACTTAACTTGTTATGAGATCATTCCACACTTGAAATGCGAGGTAAATCCTGAAATTGATTCGTACTACATTGTGAAATCATTAAATAACCACAAAAGATCAATGAATGATTAACAAGTTATATTGACAGGCACAGCATTAGCTTTACGATCCTAAAAGACAACACATTGGGTGAAATATATGGCAGCAGCAGGGAATAACAATCAGTGCAGTCACGAATATCCAGAACTTTTGAATTGAATGCAATCACAATAAAGGAGTCTCTCTCTCTCTCTCTCTCTCTCTCTCAGCTGCTGTGGGCCACTTCTAAAGCTCAAGATTTTATGAGCGCTTCATCTTTGTTGCCACTAGCAATTATCATATACTGCCATCCTCTATGTAGGTCTTGGGGCATTTTAATAATGGGATACTTGTTAAATGAATAGGATAATCCCAGAAATCATTTCACATTGTATGAATACTTTTCAGTATCAGGGTCTCCAATTGCCCCCCCTAAGATGCTTCACCAGTGTATTGGTCTGGATATGTTATACCTGTTGTTTCTGAGCAGCATTGACACCCGAAAGGGAGTAGGATAAAATTGAGGTGGTAAATAAAGAAGCCAATACGTCCTAGAAAGCTGATATGTGATTGTCTGAGTGAGTGAGTGTTGTTTAACGCCGCACTCAGCAATAAATAATCAAGTCTGGACCAGACAATCCAGTGATTGACATCATGAGCATCGATCCAGGCCATTCGGATCGATGACATGCATCAACCAAGTCAGCGAGCCTGACCACCCGATCCTTTAAGTCACCTTATGACAAGCTTAGTCACCTTTTACGGCAAGCATGAGTTGCTGAAGACCTATGATTGACTGAAAAAATCATATATTCTTCATTCGGATTGGGTGGTCAAAGCTAGCTCAGGGTTCATCTGATACGACCTTAGATCTTGAGCATAGAGACATCATCTCAAAGTAAGATATCTAATTTTAATCAGATTGTTTCTAAACAGTATGATGGGTGTTATTGAGTAGTCGATGCCTGGACATATTAACTTTTGAAGTCTCAGCTAACACTGTTGGTTCCATTGAACGCACAATAAAACCAGCAAATCTGAAAAATTGTCTGTCACCTGTCGAATACGGTAACTGGAATACTGTTCAAAGTGGCATTAAACCCAACTCACTCACTCACTTACTCACTCTTAAGCTTAGGTATGATGGACATAAAACACATAGAGGACTAAATGTGCTGTCAAAAATATTTATGTATGGTGTCAATGATGAATACAACTTTGCAATGAAAAAGTGGACTAGAATTTCGAGATCACCCAAGATTTGGTTGTTGTCTGGTCTATTTGTTGTTTAACGCATCAGTTTGCAGTGTTCCAGCATGTATGAATGTGGTCTGGACCAAAACAATGATTGCTATATTCAACTTCCCAAGCCATTGGGGTATGATGCCATGCAACTAAACAAGATGCCAAGACAAATTCCATGAAGTCTTCAGACAACAAGCATTAGTCAGTGGGAAACAATTCTACACTGGAATCGCCAAGAAACTACAAATATTTCAGGAGTCCCATATTTAGTACACTAAATGTCAGGCTTTATTAACAAAATCCTTTTACCTCAGTAATTGAACATTTTGTGATTTTGACGCTGGAAAATTATGATTTTATCAGAAATATACATGCACTCTGTGCCAAAAACTTTTGGGACTATGAGCCCCAACACAGCTCTCAGCATTATTTTCTGTTGAATTTAGTGATATGACATGGACTATTATTAGATGAGCTAACTAGCCCGACCAGAATTTTACTAGATTCAGGCTTGGCTTAAGTCGCAAACTCTATATTGTACACTGCTTAATTCACGCTAATTGAAATTAAGGGGAGTTCTGGGGTCTTCAAGGCTTGCTTCTGTAGATTAAGAGCCCCCTAAATCCTTAACACTTAACAGGGGCAATGGAGTAGCCTTGTGGTTAAAGCGTTCACTCATCATGCTGATTCCCCTCATGGGTACACTGTGTGAAGCGAATTCTTGGTGTCCCCTGCCGCGATGTTGCTGTAATAGTGCCAATATTGGGGTCATGACGAGGACCCATTTTGAACACTGAATATGTTACCTATTGAAATAGTCTGATCAAGGTGAACTTCTAACTACATCCTCAACAAAGAAAGGAACTTGGCAGGCTTTGGATGCACATATATGAGGCTGCTCGTATGACCAAGGTTTCTCTTCATTTCTTGCCCATGCTAATTGCTCAGTCCAGACCCAAACCCCCCAAAATAATTCCAACCATTTCCACATAAGCAAACCCATCCCACTTTTCCCCCTGATTGATTCACAGGAATTAAGTAACACTCTCATCACTGACTGTCCGGCAAGGAAATGGATCCCTGAACTTTTCCTCTTGGGACAGAATATGACCCAATGCTTTGACCTTGGCTACTGTATCATCTTCCTCCTGTAGCATGGTCACCATGGGGCTCTTGGACCTTGGTTTGTCCTGGACCTCATTATTTGCTCCAGTGGAGCCACTTGACTCTTGATCTGGCAGCTCTGGGGCAGAGGGCAGAAACTGGGTATCCTTGGTGGGGCTTGTCTTGGGTTCATCCGGGAGTACACACTGGGTTTTGTACCATGTATCAAACCTAAACAGTGAAAATAATCTTTGAGATTGTCCATATAAGTAATAAAACCAACACAGAGTAAGAAATTAACTTTTATTTTCAATATTCTGCAAAAGTTATCTGCTACAGAGGTGCCATCTTCTTAATGATAAGACAGGTAGGCCACAAGGAAATATCACCAATCCTTTCTGAGTTTTACTAGTCTCAGACTAGAGGACTTATGTTAATCATTGAATTAATCTATGAAATTGTCCATATAAGTAATCAGATTGTGCTTTTGAGACGACTAGTTTGAAGTTGTCTATGAGCAACATTTTCAGTAGATTTTGGTGTTATTTTATGGACTATTATTATAACTAGACTTACTTTACAGAACAAAATTTTACTCAACACTGGCTTCAGCCTTGTGGCTAATGTTGCAATATTTAATTTAGGTTAGACACCATATATGTAATCTATAAATGTTGATCATGTTGATGTGTATGATTCTGAGTCCTAACCATTGAACTATCTGCCTTCCACATGCAAGAAGTCTAGACTACAGTGGTTCTTTGTGAACCAAACTGAACACCCTAATTGATTCTTTCACACCATCTCTTGTGATGAGTATTTGAAACCCTGGCCACATCCAAGAGCACATGTATTATACATGAGACACTGACTGATGACGTGTCTTGTATTCCTGGCCCATGCAATGATGACAGCTTAGGCACCAAAATTGGCTGTACAGAGTAGCATCCCTCAGGTGTGCAAGGGACCTATGATCATGGGTTCGAATCACAGTTGATTATGTTTCTAGGTTTGTCAGCACTATACCGATGCCAATGGGTTCCACCAAAGTGGTAAAAGCCTTTTCTGAGAACTGCATCACCATGTAAGTTCAGTTTTCACTTTAGTTAGTGCCACGTGTGAATCTTTGACACTCTCCCTGTATAATTAGGGTAATCATTAACAATGTTGACAGGTGATATTTGCATAGGCTGACAAGTTTGATGAGGCTTCTTTAAATAAATGTACAGGGCAGGTTCTAGATAAGAAATCTTTAATCAGTTATGGGTGCCAATTGGCATTAGTCTTGACATGCACGCACAAACAGAAAAGATGCACAAATAATTTTGACACATACCCAGTAATGCCAACTTTCAATGTTTTCTATGCATAACTTGCAGTTTCCCAAGTTTGTCAGTTTTTCCAAGGTCACTGATACCTGCATATTTGACTGACTTCACTGTTACAAATTTGCTCAGATGGCTCAAGTTTGTGTGGATGTACCTCTGAGTCATCATGTAGTGTTCATAGTTCCTTCCATGTGAGGCTTAGAACTTACCCTCAACCCGCATAATGATAATTATTAATCGGTCATCCCTTAATCATTGGAGCCCAATTGCAAAAGGAAAGAGATTAACACAATATTTAAGTCTGTCAGACACTCAAGCAAATGTATCACATGAGCTGTGACATTATCAGACACAATGACAGGTGGTCCAAGAGGGTTTGTGGACAGTGTACCCGGTATACCTGATATTAGTCACAGGTATCCGGTCGATGGGCTTGGTCAGCATCTTCAGGATGAGTATCCTACAGTTCTCGGACACATCTGGCTTGGAGGGGAACATGACCTTCGCCTGTACCTGTTTCAGCAGTTTCCTGTGGTCAGAGTCATCGAATGGCAATCTACCATATACCTGGTGAAGATGAAAGAAATGTTCAAAACACTATGGAAGGAAGAGCGTGGAATGAGTACACCACTACATGGCATTGAGTTAATCTGATCTGGTTAAAGTTTTCATATGATGAAAAAATGTTAAATGACAGCTGACCTCAATAATATCTCTTTCTAATCAAGTGGATATATATGCAAACCCATACTCAAGATTTTATAGATATTGAATTATTTTATTAAAAAACATTTCTCACATCTATTTCAAATTCCTTCATGTTAATGAATACATGTTTGTAAGGCTGGATTCTTTTTACAGGAAATACCATTTCAGGTTCATCCAATAAGGTGTGAGGTAGCCATGTCATGGTATTGATGTATCGATAATTTTTTCTATCAATGCTGTTTTGATACAAATTTATGAATATCAATACTAAATAAATAATTCACTACCACGGATAATGTCTACATTTTTGAAGATTACCATGGTTAAAATCAAAAATTCGAAGCCAGAAAATGCATTTTTAAACATTCAATGGATCAGCTTCGTTCATATTTAGATCAACTGCAGGTCTAGACAGGATCTTTTTCATCCATACACATACAGATTAACTAATTTTGTTATTAATCAATATATTGCGAGTCAATTTATATGGATATTAAACTTTCCAATCAAGGACACCCATAGTGTGAGAAGACAAAGTTGTGTTTGTGAAATCACAAAAACAACTGAAGAAGGTGACCATGAGCATCCCTGAACCAATCTGAAACTGCACATGGCCATTGATTTGATTGTGTAGAAATGAAGAAGAGACCATTAGCTGATTCAGTTTTTTTGGTGTTTTTTTTTGTTTAGCACAGCACTCAGCAATATTCTAGCTAAATTACTGTGGTCTGTAAATAATTGAGTCTTGACCAGACAATCTAGAGATTGACATCATGAACATCAATCTACCAATTAGGATGCCCATTTAGTTGTAGCTGTATAGGCCTTCCAGAAGTCAATTCATAATAAGTTCATCAGCATGTCAAATGACCCAGTATTACCATTGTGAAAAGGACGACCCCAATACTCCAGACCTCCGCACAATAAGCATTGTATGGGAGACCTTTGAGGATCTCAGGAGGTGCATAAGCATAGCTGCCACAATACGTCTCACACAGAGAAACTTCATTCCCTTTGACCTTGAACAACTTTTTGGCGAATCCAAAATCTGTAACTTTGAGCACCAAGCTGTTATCGACCAACAAATTCTCACACTTGAGATCCCTGTGGACAATCCCCTTGCTGTGCATGTAACATATCCCGTCCAGGAGGTTCCTCATCCACCTCCCTGCCAGTTTTTCATCAATCACTCTCCTATTCTGGATGTGTTCAAGAAGATCGCCATTTTCCGAGATTTCCATAACCAGGAAAAATCGCGTAGTTGTTTCAATCACTTGATGAAACTTGATCAGATTCGGATGACGTAATATCCGGACGACTTCAATTTCCCGCGGAAGAAACTTCAGAAGGTAGTCTTCGGGTGCTTTTCGTTTGGATATGATTTTAATGGCGACCTTACACTTCTTGTTTACGTCATAGGCGGATTTCACACAAGCGTACGAGCCATTTCCCAATGTCCTGCCTACAATGAGTCCTTGGGCTTCCAGAATCTGGAACCGGCGGCTTGCGCGGCTCTCCCGCCTGTCTGAGTCGTCATCAGGGGCAGGGCCGCCAGCTCCAGACATAATTCGCGGTTGATTATGGGCGTAGCAGGTTCTTAGAACCCATAATACTGCTAGTCTATTCCGTCGCCATGTTGGATTTTACTGTGACGTCACAGGTAATTGCGTCACATCCGATATGACGTCATACCTTATTCTACATGGGTATGTGTCAAAATCAAATTATTTATAAGCTGTATGAGTAAACCATTCTTTCAAAAAAAATTATATTCACCAATGTGTAACTTGACATTTGCTATTTCAGAGAGCGTGACTTAGGTAACTCAAGTGATTCGCATTTGGGGGGATTTCTTACAGACAAGTGAATCTACTATTAAAAATGGATTTAGCCCGTTCAATGGGATCACTGAAATGGAATTATTTCTTAATTGTAAATATACCGCAGTTCGTTATCAGCATTCATACAACCTTTATACAGCAAATGGCGGGGACCAAAAATTAAGTTCGTAATATCGGTCAGTTCGTTATAAGCGTGGGGTCGGGTGGTCAGGCTCGCTGACCTGGTTGATGCATGTCATCGATCCCAATTGCGTGGATCTATGCTCGTGAGATTAATCACTGGATTGTCTGGTCCACACTCGATTATTTACAGACTGCCGTCATATAGCTGGAATATTGCTGAGTGCGGCGTTAAACAACAAACCAACCAACCAACGTTATAAGCGTGTTCGTTATAAACGTATTTTACTGTATTTTTTGTTGTAGTAGTAGAAACCAGTTCGCCAAGAAAAGTTGTGCTGGGTCGTCTAGATATTTAATCCATCAAACAGAAAACATTGTTCTTTGTGACTGTCAACGCCTTGAGTTACTTGGTGGTCAAGTAGTCTCGTGGTTACAGCGGTCGTTCGTCACACCGAAACCCCGGGTTCGATTCCATCATGGGTGCAAAGTGTGAAGTCCAACGTCATGATATAGCACGACTATTGCTAAATGCGGCGTAAAACAACATACTCTCTCCCATAAACTGGCACTAATTTCAGTTTTAACAAACACTGTAAATATTGAAATAGGTAAAATAAACCTATCTATCTTCCACATCATCAACCGCCTCCTCAAACAGCAAGCCAACATCGACACCCACTTCACCAGCTCCAACTCCCTCAAGCCCCTACTAAGAGCCAACGGCAGGAACACAACCAAACCCCAAGAGCCTAAAGGTATAGTTTAAAAAATGTGGACAATCTTACGTAGGTGAAACATCCCGCCCATTAACACCAGAATGAAAGAGCACAAAAAACTTCCACCATTAAATCCGACAGTAAATCAGCCATCTCGGACCATATGAACAACTGTCCTAATCACAACATCAACTGGGACAACGTCCAAATCCTCTCCAACAACCTCCATGATTTCACTAAAAGAAAACTAACAGAAGCAATCCACATTCGCCGCCACAAGCCATCAATCAACAGAGATCAAGGCTATTTCATCCCATCCGCCTACTATGAACTCATCAAGCCATAATCACTTATCCTGTTTAATTGGCTTCATGTCCCATTGGCTTCCACCTATGTGTTCTCTGTCCATCGTGTTGTGACAGTATTATCCCCTTGTTATCAACACCTACCTATGTTATCCCACTCATATATGCAATTGTTGCTACGGTATAAGGATCTATACCGAAACGCTTTTTACAGTATTAAAGAAGTTGTTATCCATAAAATTGTGTCTACCTTGTCATCCGTCAACTTCTAAGTAATGCCTATCTAACAATATATGCAAATGAACTAGCTTAGCAGGAACTACTTTTACGTAGAAAGCTTTATGTATCGAAGCGATGCCCTGCTTGCTCAAAAAAACATTGCATAACGTTCCCAAAAAGTTTAGATAGAGGATACCGATGTATGAGTGAATCTGTAAACAAACATGTCTGCAAAGCATTGGGTACTATATCACAAATGGGGCGGTTCACTCATGCATTATATTCATTCGCGGTTTCTAAATCTACACACATCCTCATGTTACAGTAGGAATCGTATAATCGACTCTGCTTTTAGCGGGGATTTCTTATGTCTATGGGAGGGTTTTGTTATTATTCTTAATATATAATATTTACGATATATTTAACATTTACAACAATACCCTCGGCTAATCATCTCTATTTATCAGCACAAAACTCACTACTGAATCCTGTCATCATAAGCCACCTTGTCAGACGCTATGTTTCTGTAACTGCCCGCAACGCCCATGAAGATTCGGGGTAGATGTCTTCAGCAACCCATGCTTGCCGTAAAAGGCGACTTTGCTTGTCGTAAGAGGCGACTAACGGGATCGGGTGGTCAGGCTCGCTGACTTGGTTGATGCATGTCATCGATCCCAATTGCGTGGATCGATGTTCATGCAATCAATCACTGGATTGTCTCGTCCAGACTCGATTATTTACAGACCGCCGTCATATAGCTGGAATATTCTGCGGCGTTAAACAACAAACCAACCAATCAACCAAGCCAGACTGACCTCATGTAATACAAGTTATTGAATCGCCTGTATGATCTCCCAAGTTTTGCATGGTGAAATTGTGTAACATCTGTTTTCGGACAACACGATGGATCATGATTATATAAGCCACACCGATACCTAGCGAGTCTGATAGAAACCACGTTGTTGCTACTGGTGATTGTCTCTTGCCTTCATTTACTTGAGTTATGAACAGCATTTTACTACTCCAAGTTTGCCAAGCATCGCCACTTAAACAGTTAAAGTGTCAAATTGTGTGCTTCTGTTAAAATAGCCAAAGACAATATTGCGTGAAGGCATGTGTAATTAACACAAGGCCGTTGCCACGTGCCACGTAATGCTAACAAACAACATGTGACCAAAAATCAGTCAGATCACCCTTCGAAATGAGAGTATCTAACCAAAACTGAATCGTAAAAAAAACCACACGAAAACTTATTCATTGTAAAAAAAACAAAAAAACAACCTTAGTAACGCGTACGTGATTCACGAGATGCGATCACAGCCTGGCACCATCGTCTCATGCTCCCAATAAGTGTCTGGATGGTCAGTAAAAACATTCCCGAGTTCCCTAGAGTTGCCAGAAGGACAGGGTGTCGTCAGAGGGCGACGTGCAGCTCGTTCCACGTGTGTTGACCCGTCTGGCCACTCCGTGCGGACAATGGCCTCCTACTCTTAGTAGGCATTAACGACACTCGCACGATGAGGTCGTGCGTTATCGTCCATGAGGATGAAGTCCGGTCCGGTTGCACCAGCATACGGTCTGACGTACATGTACACATCCAGAATGTCATCCATGTAGCGCAGACCTGTCACGCCACACTCAGCAATATTTCCGCTATATGACGGCGGTCTGTAAATAATCGAGTCTGGACCAGTCAATCAAGTGATTGATATCATGAACATCGATCCACGCAATTGGGATCGATGACATACATCGACCAAGTCAGCGAGCCTGACTACCCGATCCCGTTAGTCGCCTCTTACGACAAGCATAGTCGCCTTTTACGACAAGCATGGGTTTCTGAAGACCTATTCTACCCCGGATCTTCACGGGTCTAATCCTCATAAAACTGAGTAGTACTATATTACAGGAAACCTTTTTTCCACCTCTTAAATGTGACTTCCTAAACAACAAACAGCACAAGACTGTTCATTGTAACCATGGTGACGATAATGTGAAACAATGCATAGCTTTAATGAGATCCTAAACAATAAACAGACAAGCATATACTAGAATATGAACTCGATTTATTCCGACAAGCATCTCCAGTCTCACGTTATACCGTGTTTCCTCCAAAAGGAGGGTGCGGCGTTCTATAGCAATATACGCGTTAGCCGTACACTCATATCCACCATAAGGCTGCAACAACAAAACATGTGTACATTTGTCTCAAAAGAGAGCAGGCGGTAAGGCAACTTTTACAACTTTCTTACTGAAAAAAATGTTGTGGGATGAACATTGTTACATTTTCCCTACCAAGAATACCAACAAACAAAACTGGGAATACAGTGAACCCAGCTCTTTAATACAACGTCAGTTGTAAAGCATTTTATTTTATGGATATCTGTGTGCTTCACTTGCAACAAAATGACTGGTGCGCAGTATCAAGTGATGCGCCGACGAACGAGAAACATTTTCATTTCTTCAGCCTAATGTACAGTACAATCATGTCCGACCATACGAGAGAATACGGTAAATTAAAGCATTCACACCCAACATTGTGAGTATCGATAAATCATGCACAGCCGATAGAACACTCATAGAACAGATTATATTGCACAACAACCAGAGCAAAAGCTCCATATTCCCTGACTACTGAACACACATCATGTAAGCTAAACGATTTTTCACCTTCTCAGAAGATAATATTAGATTTTTTTTATGCAGTAGCAATATGGCATTCGGTGCCGCCAAGACTTACTTGTCTTGTATTCATCACACAATGTATATGGGATGCCACATTCGTGTCGCGCTGCAAAGATGGCTAACCGTCGCACTGGTTGGTGGTATATATTTCGTACAAGGAACTTGCCAATGTCCAGTTATACCATACTATACTACTCCACATTTGATAGGGATAATTTATCTTAATATCTGACTGTCCTATCAAAAGTTGAGTAGTATATAACTAGTGAAAACTGGTTGGGAGAACACTTCTGGATCTATGTCAATGCCATCTAGATTCCAAGGCTAAAAGTTCAAAGTGGCAAAAAGGGAAGGAATGTATTTTGATGAGGTTACAGACTAGCTTTGCATAGGAGGGTAATAGCTGACGTATCTGTTCCATCTTCGACTATCAAGTGTGTCATATCTCCTGGATCCACAAGGCCGTAGTTAACTTTTTTTTTACAGGGGGGGGGGGGGGAGCAAATATTTGTACAAGTATCACTCGTCCCCAACTTGTATTTTCATGATTCAAATAAAACTGTTTTCAATAAACACAAGTGAGTGACGTCATTATGACGTTTCGATATGCTTGTGTTATAACACAACACGGAGCTGGTCGATACCTATGGATTTCCAACACCACCATGCCTGCCACATGGTGAAATACATAATTATACAATATAAACTGCCGGGCAAACGAAAGCATACACCCATGTTTGATGGTGGCTAAAAATTAATCAAACAAGAAATGGTGAAATGAAATTATTCGATGGTGATGTATTTGATACGGGTATCATAGTTGTGTTTAGGACCTTCACTTTGCAGTGTTTCGGCGACTGTTTTCAGCCCAGTAACGTTTCGATAACGTTTGTAATGTTTAGGTCAAATCCAATTTCCAAGTGTGTTTTCTGTTGCCCGGCAGTTTAGCTAAATAATTCTTATCATTCATAAAATCCCTGAAATAAAGTCCGACATGGCTAGAAAGTTTTTCAGACACTCTGGAAGTGGCAGCTGATATATGCTGTCCAGAATCGAAGTGTCGTCTGCTCCCAAGTTCAAGGAATGTCGAATAGAAGCTCGACTCAGCTCACTGAGACTTTTGGGCGTTCGCGCGTGTTCGCGTAACCAGTTTAGCAGGTCATAGCGCCCACTGCTGATGTCAGTGTTGGGTTCAACCAGTCTCATGAAGGTTCTCGAGAATGAGGGGATTCTCCGCGAACACATATCTACCTCTTCCTGGTTCACCTGGTACCCCGCCATTACCATGAGTCGGCTGACAAAGGGTTCACATCGGGTGAACGCCTCGACCAGGAGGCTACGGGAATACTTGTTCCGCTTCTCGAACATACAACCACTGTAAATAAGCAACGCGGCAATAAAACTGTTGTCAGTGGAGATTGACGCAGACAGGGGTGTCCATTGCCCGTCGCTTTGGCTAAGTCTACATCGGGAGTCGACAAACATCTTTAATATGTTGTCGAGGTTAGTGTAAGTATTCTTTTGAGCAATTTTGTAATAGAATATAGACGTAAGGAACGGTGTTGACCCTTTCTTTGTGACGGCGTTGACGTCAGCATTACGTTGTAGCAACATCTTCACAATCCTTTCGTTTCCTGTCCTTGCAGCTTCGTGTAATGGCGTCCACCAGGCTCCATTCTTACTATCAACCTCTGCCCCGAACTTACACAGCATTGCAGCGATAGTCTCGATATCCATACGAACAGCTCGGTGAAGTGGCGTGTTGCCTGTAATGTCTGCAGCGTTAACGTCACAACCCATCGTTATCAGACAAGACGCCACATTCTCCCGCCTGTAATTACAAGCTATCAGTAGAGGTGTCTGCTGCTTGGCGTCTGCAGTGTTGAGATCCCAGTTCTCATCAATGAGGAGATACAAGACGTCCAAATAATCTCTCTCGGCCGCCCAGTGCACAGCCGTCCTGCCTGCATCGTCCCTCAGGTTACGGTGACAACCAGACGACAACAATCCCCGAACCTTGTCCCGCTTGCCCCATTTCACTGCCTCGAACAGGAGGTAGTCATCATTAACAAACACGGGCATGGTGAAGGGGAGGCAATTCTTGGTCGGGAAATTGTAGGTGAAGGTCAGTAAATCCAAGTCTGTATCGGCAATGACGTCATCGACTCAGCAGGTCAAGAAGGATTTGTCATCTGAAACAGATAGTATGGGTTTACGAATAGAAGGAACACTAACAACAATGTGTGCTTTTTAACGTTCATGTAGCATCAAGTGAATGATCGCAGACAACATAGTAAAAAATACAGTATCTATTTCAGAAACTATGTACTAACTACATGTCTCGCATTAGAAATTTAACTAAACAATTAAATATACAAACTGAAACAATAAACTTGAAACAACATTTACTTTTTACAAAAAGTTAAAGGTTGTCAATTAATTCGGAACACCAATGTCGAAAAATAAAACATGCCTCGGATTATTTAAATTGTTTTATTTATCTATTCTTGAAATCGATCTCTTGAAGTCTAATCCACAATATAATCTGTGCAAATAGTGATAATAACCCCAATAACACGGTCACATAAAACGATTGTCAATTGTATAGTCGTGTTCAGCAAGATCGCCAGGCAGAACGTGTACGTAACAAATATACCTAGCTCTTTATAACCTCTAGTTTGATTTAATTAAGTTAATGGTATAAATCACGAATATTTCGAATCACTGAAACCGTATTAATCCCCCGAAGGGTTATAACAATGTAATGCATGTTAATATCGAACGTCAGCAATAGCGAACTGCATCTGGTTTGGTTATATCCGAAATTCGATATCAACATGTATCATAACGTTTATAAAGCATTGACGAGGAGGACACGCGCAATGAAATATAGTTCTAACAGGATATGTTTTATCTTTTTACATGTATATCTAAATGATGGGTTGTAAAATAATTTCCGATTTGGGTACTGATCAGACTCCGAGAACACTTTTTGTTTGGTATAAAAAAAACCGAAACATTTAAACAGACACGCACAGTATTGAATAACCTACGTAGCGCATTATACCTCCAGGTATATATTACACAGAGGCCAATGCCAGCAATAACAATTGTCTAAGTATTTCCAATTTAAACATAAACAGAATATGACGGCAAAACGACGGAGTTCGTTGAACGTCATAGCACAACTGCAACAGTAGGCCCACCAACAAGAACAACATGTCTAACACACCTACATAACGTCAAACTTACCTAACTGAGCAAACACAAACAGCAAAGGTCAGCCCCACAACTTTGACGCTATTTCCCAGATTACAAACGTAAACTCTCAGGGGCATGGCAACATTCTCCAGTCCTAGCCAACCCACCACCAGGCCAACGAGAAACTCGGCACTAAACCGCCCTTCAGGTATACAAGGTACGTGTATATAGGTTTATATACACCGCGCCAGCGGGCGCTAATCGTGGTAACGGTATCTTATCTCAGGCTTATAGACAGGCGAGGGAGTTAGGTGCTCATAATTGCTCTCGACACGCGAAATTCCTGCCAGTACTTATCAAATCAAGCGTCGGCCGAAATATGTTAACCCGTGATGAAAGATCATTTGATGAACAGGTTAAGGTTGAAACTGACCACCTTGTTACCTAGACGAGACAGAAATAATAATAATAATAATAATAATAATAGAACTGGGTTTTTTCGAGGCGTACTGGAAACAACAAGAGACCTGACAATAACATAATAAAAAAATGACCGTTCTAAAAACATCCATCCTGTTAAATCATCAAGCATGGCCAACTTCCTACAGACGTATTAACCCAGGAAAACACACAAACTGCATCTCTACTTTAGCAATAACCTTGGTCAGATTCATCGTCAACACCTATACCTATACATGCCAAGGGTATAACCACACACCTCACCATTAGAAACACAACACTTGCACGGTACCTACCTTCATAAAACAACATACATGCAATGGAAAATTTAGTCACAGAATCACTTAAAACCTCCTGGATTTCTGTGTAAGTCTAACAGTTACACGACTCCGAGAAGAAGATATGGCGCTTGGTGAATTACGCATTCTCTGGCATTGGTCCCTTCTGCTTTATTTCGCTTCTCTCATGGTTTCTCTTTCATGCGTCTAAATTTAGCGCATCATATCTTTTGGAAGGAAACTTGGTCTGCCGAACACCTTAGGCCTGCCGGCTCCACACACTGCCGTGATTACGAAACGAACCGCCTTGTCATGGTACATCTATTCTTTTCTGGCTGAATTGTTTACAACACTGTGTCGCAGAGTTCTGAGATGCTTGTTTACTTTAAGAACGTGGATTCCTTCGCGTTGCATGGCAGCGACGTACAATGTCCTTCACCTTCATATTTGAAGTTTATTTCGATAACCTTTTGCACAGTTGTGAAGATTATCAAATGAAGATCTGCATGTGTTGAGCATTAATTCAGAGGGTCGCGAGCAGGGCACAGACTTGTGTCGCGACGTTTGCGTGCAACGTCACTGAGCAGTATGGTTGTAGTGAACTGTTGAATTCAATTGAAACACTAATGTTTAGATTTTTTAGTGAAATCCTGCTCGTTACAGTATCACAGCAGCGCAGCTGCCCAATCATTCACGGTCACTTTAACCACAGACAGAAGGACCTGTAAGTCTTGGAATTCTACATGAGCTGATTCAAGATGAAACTGACCTTTGTGTGTTTGTGTGTGTGTGTGTGTGTGTGTGTGTGTGTGTGATATCCCAGTGCAACCATACGTCTCCATATATATAAATATATTACATACAACCCGTGGCCCTTAATCTTATGATACCACAAACAGTATAGGGCCTGTAAGTCTGGAATACTTAATGACCTGATTCAACATGCAACTGACCTTTGTATATATATGTGGCATATAGTTGTGCAATCTCCAGTCTCGTATATATCCCCTATTATATACAACCAGTGAGTGACCCTTAATCTTTAGATACCACCGCTATTGCATGACGCTAGTGCGCCAACTGTGCTGGACGATAAGGTTTTCGTTTGATGATTTTACTGTTAACTTCATATTTGTTTATCATGATAAATCATGTATATCTTTATGCATATTTGTACATTTATATACATAAAAGTAGCTGCATGACATACGTTGACCCCCTTACTAACTGTTGGGTATACACTCTCGTCATTAATTTTTCGGCATTCAACTTGTTCTTGTTCTTAGAAGATGGTACACAGACATGTGTTCTCTTATTATACAAACTGTCACAAACGGTGAATAATGATCACATTTGGTTGTGGGTCTTTTGACGATTTGGCACAGTGACTACGACAACTACAATACCGACGGTTACTACCACGTGTATTTCTACTGTCACTGTTACTGCTACTATTGCTGCGGAGTTGCTGCTACTGCTACTGAGGGTGCTACTACTTCTATCATCTCTACGATTGCTGCTACTTCTATTGATGTCACTACTGCTGCTGGTTTCACTACTGCTGCTACTACCATCATTCTACTGCCGATACGACTTCACGTACTACAAGTACTACTACTCCTACTACCACGCAACTGCTACCGTTGCCACTTCTACTACTGCTGCGCCCCGTTTCACAAAGCGATCGGAGAGCTACAACAGGCGTAAGTGTATGTTAAAATATGGGAGTTACGACCAGCTGGAACCCGTTCCAGAAAGCTATCTCAGTGTTAAGATGGTCGTAACTACCATACTTTATCATAGGCTTACGATCACATAGCACTAAGATCGCTTTGTGGAACGGGGCCCTGGTGTTTCTTCTATTACAACTATTGATGCTACTGCTACTGCCGCTTCTTCTACTGCTATACTAATGTTGCTGGTGCTGGTGCTGCTACTACTACTACTACTACTACTATCCCTATTAAAGCTGCCGGTGCTACTTCAACTACTATTGTCGCATCTACTGTAGGGCAGATTTCATTTGCCTGAACAGGAAATAGTCACTGGGGGCTAAGTCTGGGCTGTAGGGTGGGTGATTTAACTGTGAAGCCCAGACTTAGCCCCCAGTGACTATTTCCTGTTCAGGCAAATGAAATCTGCCCTACTAGGAAGACACTTCCTAGATGACGAGGACATAAAGGCTGCGACAGAGGCGTAGTTAGACTAACATTTAGTCTCTGAAATCTTATATTACACAATATCCTTCTTGACTCTAAAAATAAAAATAAAATTCCCTATGCTGATTTCAGAGGAATACAGCTAGCTTGAGCTGGCTAGACTTGCTTTTGTATGCATTTATAGATTATGTTTTTTTCATAAAATAAATATATTCCACGGTCATGGTGCAGGACTAAGGCGTAGTTAGAGGGCCAATCTGCGGATTTCTATAAAAGTGGTATTAAAAGCTTGAAGGACAAATGGAATAAGTGCATTGAGGTGAATGGAGATTATATTGAAAAATAAAAGTGCAAAAGATATTCTGCGACTTGGTCTTATATTGAAGTTGCAAAACTTATTGAACGCTATTGAACTACTATCACTACTGTTATTGCTACTATATCCTATCACTGCTGCTACTGGTACTGCTTATATACTCTTACGGGTGCGACTGCTGTGCTATCACGAGTGCTACTGTACCACTATGTTCACTAAGTACAGTGCTCACACACTACAGTTTTTTCTTAATGACAAACTGTTCCACTGGTAACGTCCTCTATATACAGCTTCGACCAATCCGGAAAACGATGACGACAATAAGGCCACAGAAAATAGGTTTTCTTTGTCAGTATTTTTTCATCCCCAATTCGGATCCGGTTTATCAGTTTTAAAGTTGTTGTTCATTTCCAAGTTGCACTTTTTTATATAACCCATCATAGCGACCAGTAATGGCATTCGACATATACGTTCTCATAAAAGACAAATAAACATACTCTCTTCTTCTTTAAATCATTTTGTTACTTATTATTTTGAATTTAAGTTGAAGTGGATGCGAAATCGACATGCAACACTACAATAAATATTCGACCTTCCTATTTTAATAACGTCGAGAAACCATATTAAGTATATGGATTAATATAGATAATGATGTTGCGGGGTAACATGAACGACGCTACTGGTCTAACTAGCAGTTTTACTCTGATAAGTCAGATAACATAGATCAATAGTGAAGACCAATCATAATAATAGCAAATCGTTTAAGATGTTTCGATATGATATTTCTCTTCATGCAGAGGCAACATACAATAATATAAGATCCAATTTAAACGAGATTGTGCCAAAGTCGTCAATTATTCTACATGTGTAATCAAGATGACCATTGCATGCACCTTCCTACGCATCCTACTGTGAGTGTAGACCAGATCGTGCGTCCTCGCCAAGTCCATGGCATGTACATATTTACACATCGATAAACGTGGTGATATAGACATTTCATATATGAAACGTACATTCACACTCGCCAATAGTGATTAACACTCGCAAGTTTTGTTTTGTTTGTTGTTTAACGCCGCAATATTCAGCTATATGGCGGCGGTATGTAAGTAATCGAGTCTGGGCCAGACAATACAGTGATTGACATTATCGATCTACACAATTGGTATACAATGATATGCATCTACCAAGTCATCATGCCTGACCACCCGATCCCTTTAGTCGCCTCTTATGACAAGCATGGGTTGCTGAAGGCCTATTCTAACCGGGATATTCACGGGTACACTCGCAAGTAGTTATATATGCACATGCTAACACGTATATACATGTACACACATATTTAGCAGGTGCAATACATCTCGTACACAATAGAATACAACCTTGCGGTCACTCATACAGCTAAAAATATGATGAAATTATCTTCCTTATAATTATGATGTCATTAAAACACATAGAACCACGGTAGTCTCGCTTAATTATCACCCTCGTCGATTATCTAGTGTAGAAATACCCATTCTATTGTGATAAATATTTGTAAACATGATTTATGATAATAGACTGGAGACTTAAAACCCTGGATAATCGAGGATGAATTATCACAGAATCACCGTTTTTACCTGATACAAAACTGCCTCTCAGTTGTGAAATCACTTCATCCTATGAACGTGCAATCTACATCACAGACGAACAAAGATAAAGCGTAATCCGGACGAGAGCGTTGAAATTAACATCCTTGTAATCTCAATTCTTTGTTGTCAGAGTGACACCACTCACGAGTAGACCGGATCGGTTTCACATCCCAGTAAACCAAGAGCACGGCGTTAACCCTAAACCTCCGCTATTTAACACGATCCAGGTGTCAACGTTGCATACCCTCGACTAAATGACGACCTACCAAATATCTCAACCCTGCAATGGGCGTTTGGACAGACAACGACTATGCCGCTTTCACAAATAAACCGCATAATAACTATTTTTCTCGCACAATATCCGCACAGATGGCGGATCCGGGGTCCATACACCCATATGCAAATTTACCTTCAATTAAATCGTTAGCTGCGATGACGCATCCATGTTGGGTTCTCACAAGCTTGACGGTCCTGACGTATCGGAAACATGGGCTGGAATAACACGCCCTCGCTATACCCCTGCCTTTTAACATTCTCGTCACGATTAATCCGGAGTGATTGTTGTCTAATGCTAATCCCTACAGATCAAAGGGTAGCAACTTTGCCCCTTTATTGTCCAAAACGGGACGGGGCGTGATTGTGATAATTCGTGATTGTTATAAAAACAGTTAACATTAATTTACCATTTTACCATGAATTAAACATATTTAGTTAATAATTTCTGTTACGTTTCCGTAAAAAAACAATTGTGTTACAGGATCTGTGTTTCACTTTCACTATGTTTTAATTGCTACGTCAAAACAGTTCAACATATGGTCATAAATCTGAAAAAATTGTTTTCTTTACAAATATTGTTTCCTGTCGTATAGTGTGATGGTCATGTCATAGCAACGAAATCATGTAATTCAAAAAGATTAATTCTTCCTTTAACGGTTGTCAACATGTATTACATAACTGGTAAATATCAATCACCCTATATCGCTGTAAATTTCGCCAATTGTTACATCTTAGAACACAATTCATCCCAAGAACAAAATAATCTTAATCCGCCAATGATTTGAATACCTGAAAATTGGCACTATCGACAACCCGGGTGGCAAATGTAATTACCGATTGTTAATTAATTCATTCATTCATTCACATTGTGAGGACTTTCTCTTTTATAAGAGTTGGCTGAAGTCATAGCAGGTTTGCCAGGAAAGAAGCAGTGACCCATTCCATAGAGATTATTGTACGAGAATGTGTCTTACTGATTTGACCAAACGAGTGTTTCTTGTATTTCCCGAGAGGTGAGGTTAGGTGAATTGGCGTTTAACGTTGCGTTCAAGATTGTTGAACTTACATAGCGACGCGCATGCACGTGTGCGTGCGTGCGTGCGTGCGTGCGTGTGCGCGTGCGCGCGTGCGCGTGCGTGTGTCTTCTTGTACTAGTCCGGACTAATGCCGATTTTATAGTGCTAGCCCACTGAGATACCATGCCGTAGTTTTAACGTGGATATCCAACTCAGTCGCAGTATACTGACTCCGAGCCGACCAGTCCTTGTTTTAGCCCTTATTTCCCGAGAGAGAGAGAGAGAGAGAGAGAGAGAGAGAGAGAGAGAGAGAGAGAGCGAGCGGTAATACATGATTCTTTACATGAATTTTGTATAATCAGTGTGACACATGCGTGTGTCAGGACTTCTTTATTCCCCATTATTTCTTAATTATTTTGAGCTCCCCTTTAGAAAAAGTGAACAGATCACGACCGCCGTCTCAAAAAACAACAACAACAGAATATGCTATCAAAGGCGGCGTTAAACCTGACCCTTCCTATGTAAAAGTTGAAAACAAACAAACGCGTCATTGTATACATATAAAGTTTTAAACTATACAAAAGATCGTAATGACATCTGCTAAATAATCTATGTGTAACTATGGTTCCCTTTACTCCATGGCAACCAATTAGTCATTAACACATTTCGTCTAAGAAGGTAAATTTATCATCTGTGACAATGGGATAAGTGGCTCAGCAAACCACAAACAGGGCTTTATGTTTGACGCCCAGAACATGGATACATGTGTCAGTGACCGTTACCATTGGTTACTCAGGAAACCAATTTGCGAGATGTCCGACATTCATAATGGTAATGCTGAAGGAAACGGTAATTGAAACAAAGTACTTGTCATGCGCTTCCTTGCAAACGTGAAGGGAAACCATAGTCTACGAATGAAGTCTTTAATAAGCATTTAGAAGTTGGGAAAAGTTGCCATGCATAAAAAAGTGCCATGTATTCGTATAGTCTACGAAGAACGACAACATATGCGGTAGTGTTTTGCTTGGTTATGATATTGAAATAGCGTCATGTCACCAACAATCTTGATTCGGACACCCTTCGACAATTACCTATCAGAAAGCAGACTTCAAAATTTAAAAACTGTACAAAAGAATGTCTGATAGATGGCTTCCTTTGTGCTATGAGGAAAGTCTCTTCAATTTCAAATATTTATTCCATTAAAGCGAGCGATAGACGATGATATTGACTTATATCAGTCGTACAGCCTGTAGCTGTCTTTCGGGATATCCCGTGTTAATCGTTTCGAGGTTGTATGATCAGAGAGAGAGAGAGAGAGAGAGAGAGAGAGAGAGAGTATTATTTAGCTATGGGGCTTTCATTAGATATATTATATGAATACATTAATGTATTTTAGATTATATGGCAATAACGATGCCATAAGTATGACTGACTGAAGATTCACAAATCATCTTCCAACACAAATACCATGTTCATTTCAGTGATAATAATACGAAGAATTTTATTATTTACCTACCTCAGAATACCGAGCACGTGTCCTATATGACACACATCACAAGAAACAAGATTTGGTCACGAGGGTATTAATCAAGTCATGAGTTAACATAATCACTGCGACTGAGTAGAACTACCGATTTTCAGTTATTATTTCCAGACATTTATTTCTCGTTTCATGCTATTTTACATACAATATCAATAAATTATAACAAATATATATGATACATAAAAGTTACAATATACACATTTGAAAATTATAAACATTTCCCAATTACAATCGCAAGCAGATTTTGATATGCCCCCCAACTATGCGTCAGAACGAAATATACAAGCTACGGACCCGGCACGCGCAGCTCATTTACCCAAGTGTAATGCTGACTGACGGCTATTGACCCGACAGTGTGACATTAAGTGCGTGTATAATCAGACAATAAAGCTTGAGCTGGAGCAATCCGTGCTAATTTGGCTTTGGGTTGATGTGACAGTCGACTAACAGAAAATGTCAGCCTGACTTCTTCGAAAATGCCCTGCATAAATTGTCAATGATTCAATAAAGTAATTATACAAAACGCGACGTTGATCAATCCCCCTGCATTGTGCTATGCTAAAAAATAACATCTCGTTGCAAAATACATTTTTGTAAAGAAAAAAATTGAACTGTCACTCTCAGATCACGTCTTTGGAGTAATGCTATGCCGGCAGATTCCCTAAAAAAATAAATGATGAGGACTGGAGTGGTGGAGTAGCCTCCCCTCTTGTATCGATATTATTGCTAAAAGCGGCGTCAAACTCCACACACTCACTCGGAGGAGGCCTGTCAATTGAGGAGCCATATGCATAGCTATTACGCTGTGCCTCAAAGAAAAATCAACAGGCATTTTATGTACTTTGTATTAGATCGTTTTGTTATTATTATCATTATGATTATTGTGACGCGTGTTAGTTCAGAAAGTTATGAAGACTTAATAAAAGTGAATTGGTGTCAACAGTTTTTGTCGTGGCTCATCACGGACCTATATAAGTCCGTGGGCTCATGTGTGGACTGACGTAGGTTAGTGCGACCGCAGACAGACCCCACCCAACATATCTCAGAAATATAGCGAGCTATTTAAAAGGCGTGACATCTCTCGTGGTCAGAAGTCGAGTCTTTGTGACAGACGCGCACGAATACATGTAGACGTATTAAAACAACATAATCAGCAAGTCTTCAAAATCTAAAAATAAATCACGTAAACATTACGTCACAGTGCACCGCGAAGCGGTTGAAACAATGGAACATGCACAGAACGATATTGATGTTATCAAAGATATGTCCAAACTGGAAATTGATTAGCAGATCCACGTCATAATTTATAATTTATTGTTAGATATTCTCGTGTTGTGACACTTTTGTTGACATTACAACAGCGAAATTTGACAAGGAAGAAAGTCAATAACAAGCTATAATTAGTCATACCGTATTCGACGTTCCGTGACCGTGGCGGCGGAAATGGACAGTGGTTGACATGTCTGACCATTGTCCAGTTACATGTCCCACAACAGAGAACATCAACAATGCAACTGTCGCTGGTCAAAGGGCGATGGCGAATGTCGGAAGACGGCGACTTTCGTCGTCAGCTGATGCTTTGTTGCTAGCCGAGGGACCGTTTCAAACACACGTGTAGTATTTAGTATTTGTTCGCCTTCTTTTTCAGATTCCCTCTACCAAATGAAAATGCCTGAAATGCGCTACATTTATTTCACCATCTCAATTCTTGTTTTGGGTTGTTGTTTTACACGTCCATACAACAATGTAGACTATTCTTCACTAATATGTGCCCATTTTCCTTATAAAGTTACATCCTGACATTTCTTTGAAAATAGTTGAATGGTTTATTGCTTAGCTGATCTAGACAATAAATCATTATATCGCAGACGGGTAATTCAAACTTACTTTGCCTGTCTATAGTCCCGGAAAACATTCCTTCTCTGTCTCGAATCACTTAATTTCTATATGATATATATAATATACTGTTTATTATTGCCAATAAAAAGCGTAAATATGCCTGAATGTACAATTCTAAATGAACCATTCAACAAAACTCTTACTGTTTATATCAGCCGATTGTTTAAATTGGTTAAATCGGGGATCTTTGTAAGCTTAGTTAAATGGAGCGGCAAATAGGCTGACGTTCCCAATTAAAGACAATAAATTACTCAACATGTTTTGAAATGCCCCCCCATGAGGAGCCTGCAAGGGACAAAGAAATTATTGTTAAGAAACTAAACCTCTCTGTTTGCGGTTACTGTGACATATGAGTGCATGTGATATTTAAACGAAGGAATGATAAGAAAGAACCAGGGAAAAATATGATTAAGATAGAACACGTGTTAAAATGAAAACAAAGCCGCGTGCATTTGTTTATCCAGGGGAGGTAACTCTAAATAACGATTAAATCTACTTCCGTGTTTTTGACGTCATAACCTGTGATAGTTACTCACGAAGTTATAAGTGTTACCAGTATTTAATTGGATTTCTGTGTCGTGCTCTCCGTTTTATACTTGTTTATTGATTTATATATCGCACAGGAAAGACAAAAAACAACACAAAATGGATGGTAAGTTCGTTTAACGACTACACAAAGTTGATCATGTCGGTTTTGGGGTGTCAACTGTCATTCTTTCACTATTTCAGTTTTGAGTATTTCACAATCTGTAAGTACATGATATGTACCGTCCTTTTAGTTTTTTAATAATTTGGGACGTTGACGCGTATTGAACACATTCATATGTAGTTTAGCAGTTAATTATAACAGTCTGGTCTACACATGTTCCACTTTGTAGATCTGTGTATGTTTGTAAACACTTGAAGTAATTGGTGTTTTTAAAGAGACACTGGGGCAATGTTTGCTTGAGGGCCAATAATATGAAGAACTACAGACAAATGGAAAAGGTTGTGTTCAGTTTATGTAGGAAATGAAGCAACATATCCTTGAGGGTAAATATGAAATGAATAGTTTGAAATATTTGGTACACATGCATTATACCTAAAATTGGACATCAACATGGAAAAAGTACTTGAAAATAGAAGTTCATGAAAACATAGCCTATTAAGAACTATTGTATTGTACAGTGAAGACTCGTTAAGATGGAACCCTAACCTACCGGAGGTTACTGCTGGGAAGGCATGTACAAAGTGACAATAATCCCTACACAAACAGTTGACGTCCTTTTTACGTTAGTTCCACATTGACAAGGCAAAATAATGACAGATCTACCATCATCACAATCATGATACACCAATATTTTCATCATTTATCATCCCATTCAGAGTCATAACTCATTCAACAAACATTTTGTTTATGTTTTCTTTACAAGATGCTAATAAATGAAATAAGATCGAAGACAAGCAGATACGTACCATCATTAAATACATCATGAATAAATATACATTATCTCAAGCTATCAGCCTCCCGGCCTTCATCAGGCATCCCCTTATGGTTAAGTTCTCTATGGGAATGAACACAGATGAAGGAAGATACATGATGAATGTCTTACACTTTGTCCTTGAAAACTTATAATTTTGATAGAAACAAATAACTCCATTTAAATTTGCTACGAGCCCCAGTGAGATGGGAGATTCTGAACCTGAGGAAAATCTTGACTTGCTTCATTTAGGGCTTATGCATTACAGTAAGGGCTGGGCGGAAGGGAAAATAATATGTTTCAGGGACTGTGAGACAGGCTACATGGATGTTCACATATTGGGTATTGACATGCGGAAAATGTTGCATTTAGCAAATGTTCATTGCACAGTTCATTTTAATTTTATGTTTCAGTAAATAAACTTTGAATGATAATGTATAAATTGACATTTTGAAGATACATTCAGATCTCAATTGGTTTATTTAAAATCTGGATCTGTCACTTCTGATAAACGTTTCATAAACATTATGAAAACATTATCATAAACTTTACCTTCAGTTGTCATGGTTATGGAGAGTTGGTAAGGATTACTTTTGCTGTTATTGAATATTAGTAATAATCAAGAATGATCAGTTACAAATCAAATTATGTACATCTGGAATAAGTATTGCCAGTGTAAATGTTTTCCGCCCTGTGAAATTGAGCACATGCAAGTGCAACAAAGTTTCAGTGATTCGAAAAATGCAAGTTTCATTTTTAAGGTCCAGATGATTACATTTATATATCAGGGTTAGGTTAGGGAACATTTCCACATAGAAATTTATACTGGACCTAAACACTTAGAGAAATGGGGAACAAAATCCCCGGTCGTGGAAAAGTTTTCTCGTAAAAACTGTTCCATGTAATAATTCTACCCAGGAAAATAGTACGAAGGAACATCTACACTACAGGAACAGATTCCCTTAAGCCTGTATGAATATTCTCACCTGACATGATGTTGGTGGAACTGGAAGAGGTACTTTTGAGTTCTGCCCAAGATTTCTGCTCAGCCTCTCTGCTGTCCTCCTAAATACCATGAACTACAGACTCATCCTTTGTACTGCAGGGTTTAGTCCCTGGTTACCTAAGTCCACGTCCCCAACATGTGTGACTGAGACAAGGATTACCCAACAGGCAACACCCCACAAATTTGGACTACACTAATTGCCATGTCGGTCTTAGGCAGTGGTTAGTTGGACATTGGACATATTGTCTGCAGGCAGTCAACCGGGCGTAATTGTCCATCAACTGACCGCCGTGACCTGCTGACCCACTGAAGCTTTGGAGACAGTTGAGAATCCGAGATGTTTAATCATGTTAATTGGAGGAAGTGGGGTCATTTTTATGTGGGTTTAATTTTCAACCATGGTTATAGCTTAGGGTAAAGGAGTAGTATTCATTGTTAATTCAATATTTTGTAAAATTGTCAACTTTTATTTTTCAGATATGATGTTTCAGTTGAAGGTGAGTTTTTTTTAATTATAGCTATAAAAAAACATATTCATACTGAATCCCCTAGAGGGGGGTGCACATTATACTTTGGGTGTGCACTATACTCAAGAAATCAAGAAAACCCATGCTTGCTTTCACAGGCGACTATGCTTGTCGTAAGAGGAGACTAACAGGATTGGGTAGGTCAGCATTGCTGACTTGGTTGTTGCATGTCATCGTATCCTAATTGCATGGATCGATGCTCATGATATCAATCGCTGGATTGTCTGGTCCAGACTTGATTATTTACAGACCACAGCATATAGCTGGAATATATCTGGAGTGCAGCGTTAAACAACAAATAAACACACAAACAAACAAGAAAATATGGTACTCATGGTATATCCTTGAGGACAATATTGACATGTGTACAGTTTTCATTCTGCTCTGTCTGTCATGATTTAATCAATGTGGGATATTTAAGCTTTATACATTATGCATTGATTAGCAGGCAAGCACTTGTTTGGTTCACGACCATATGTCACAAGCTTGTCATCAGCGTGGGTGAACAGCTGGTGAAATTGCAGACTTAATCTTTACCTTTCCCAAATATTTGTATGTTATTCCCCTGGGCAAAACTGATTCCCCTAAGTCAAAATACCATGACATATCTACAAGATACCACATACACACATTACACATAAATTCATGAATATATATGTTTAGGCAGTGTTTAAAATACCCGCCTGCCCAACAGACCAAGACGGTCAGTTTTGCTGACAGATGGTCAGTTTTGTATCGTTGCACGCCTGATGGTCGGGCTGTTATTGTATTCCCTAAATTACCTAAGCATTCTAGTTTTAATTCAGTATAAGAGGTGAATTAACTGTCATCATTAAACATGCTATTCAGTCAATTCTGCATATGTTGTTATCATGTTTCTGTCCTCATTTTCTATTGGCCAAATGCTCGAAATTATCCAATCAGAATGCACTTAGGTATTGTTTTAGGCTTGTATTGTTTATAACACTAACAGTGTAGGTTGTACTGTGTGTTTTATAGAAATGTGATGCCTATTGTGTGTATAGAGCTGTGTGTATTTTGATAAAATGGGGATGTCCTAGCAATGGGCATGTGTTCTATATAGGCTGGTTATCGGTCTTTGCTGTTCTATAATGAAGGATCTGAATTTTCAGATATGGATGAATCAGACATGGAATTTGATGAATATTTCAATGATTTAAAGTTACCAAGTTGACAATCCACCAGTTTATTATTTTCTGAGATCTGACATTAAACAGTCCTATTCTTATTTTTACCCTTTTCTTACTTGATTTTGTTTGTCTTGAAAATATTGAAATGACACCATTTTTACCTGGTCTGGTCACTTTGTAAAGTTGTCAGTCCTGTTGTTTGACTGAAATTTTTGAGAATTTTATACAGTGGTTTAGGTAAATAAAAGCTAACCTTCTTCCCATGTGTTTCATCAAATGTCGTTGTTAGTTCAAGATAAAAATCAAAGAGGACTTTGAACTTCCCAAATACCTGTATTGACCAATACAAGTACTGAAACAGACTGTGTGTTGAGCAGGTGGTTGCAAATGGTGGAACATTTCAGTTTTATTAGAGGGAGCATGTATTTTTGTGCGACCTTGTCTATGGTGCTGCAGTTTGCTGTGCAGAGTTGCTGTCCTTAAAAGTGCCAGAAACCTGTTCCATTTCTAGGTTGTCAACACCATACCCATGCTCGTGGGTTTCACCAAAGTAGTAAACGTCTGAGACCTGCATCACTTCAGGCTTTCATCTTGCATCCAGCTTTTAGTGATGCAGCTGAAATACTGTTCAAAATGGAGTTAATCTAATTCACTCACTCACCCTGTCTTTTAAAAGCATGATTATTTCTCCCTATTGACCTTTTTCACACTTTCGCCATCTTGGATCGAAAACGAGGCTTGGAGAGCATAGCTCCATGCAGTGAGAGTCGCATCAGCTCATAGGGAATAGACAGCATGTTGTGCATTTCACTGATGGACATTTCAAACAAACAAAAAATGGTATCCTCTGTATATAATACAGAAGATATTTCACATTAAATCATGAGGTCCAACTAAAATATGCCTGTTATACACTGGAATTAGCATTTTGCTGTCAGGATCCTGGAAGTGAATCGAAAGGTGCATTTCGAGATACGTATTTCAGAAATAGATTGTTTTATCATAACCTCGTCGGCATATATATATAGGTAAAATGTGACAGTACATTCAATGACAGAAGTTTTCTATCGTAAATAAACCGCATAACATGAAACACGTCAGTGTACTTTTGCAAAATTGCTCAGTCAATGCGTGGCTTGGCGAACTCTAGATCAAGATTGAGATCATGTTTATTTCACGTTTCATAGTGGTGCTTGCTGCACAACGCACTATTGTTTTGCCATGAGTCCAGTTGACAAAAGACACTTTTTCTGCTATGATTTTCATTTTAACATATTACAATGTTAATTATGAAAATAATTCGTGTGTCAAAATAAATATTCAGAAGGGGCGATAACCCTATTCAGTGTGTACAATGACAGATGATACTTTACTTGTTCTTCAAACATCACTTACTTAACTGATTATTACCGATTGAGATTGCACCGTGCACTACAAAAGTAATAATGTGTGAACTGTTTAAAATAAGTTAAAAGGAAACTAAAAATTGATAAATATAAATAATGCATGAAATTGAAGAAATATAAGAATTGATACAACTACCAACTTCTTGAACACCCTCACCTAATCCTGTATGATGAAAGGTAATTGTATATCAAAAGGAAGCTACTAATACATTTATCCTGAATAGAACAGATAAAATAAAAGATAAAAAGGAATCAACTTCAATTGGTAATCAAGCCAAGATAAAATATATGTATCGGTACAAATTATGTTGATGGAACAATCTGGATTTCTCATATTTGACAAAGAAAAACAAACCAAAATGTTCATATCTTTATTTCTCACAATATAAGTTTTCAAAACTTAACATGGACTGGGTGTCTTTGTCAGTCAAAAGCACCTAATTAAATTCCAGGAGAAAATACAAACTGTTAAAGAGTTATCAGTTTCTGTAAATTATATAAAGATCACATGTAGATTGAACATTTACTGGACATTATTAGTTGGGTTTTGGTTCATTTCATGACATGATTAAATTGGTACAGTAAAGTAAATATCATTTTGGTAGAAATATTAATTGTTACCAAAATTGCAGATCAAACTGTACTTTACTTTAAATATTTACACACCCTTTATGTAATAATTCAGTTGAAATATTACACCTCATGCTATCTAATCTGTCAACATTGACAATCAAAATAACAACTGTTCACAATCCCAACAGCACAAGTAGATCTAGAGGTCTAATATTTTATTGGAATGCATTTGAGTCCATTACAATTTACATCAAATACACAACTGATGCAAACTTCTGATTTGTTACGAGTGTAAATTCTCAGTAGGTTACAATTTGATACATTATATCAACATATCAATTTAGTTAGTTTCTGACATATATCTAGATATGGTCAAAAGGTCAATATTTCGACTTCAAATACAACCCGCAAAGTTATTTAAACTCACAATAAATAGTTTGGCTTAATGGTGTGTAAACAATGAATTATTTTTTACAAGATTTCAGTAGAATTTGTATTAAGTCTGTTCAGCTACCATAAACTGCACTAGGTGGTCATGGATATTTTAAATTGAAATCACAACAGAACGGCCAGACTCAAATTTATATCGGTAAGGAGACCAGATAACAGTAGAATAGTTTGTCAATAAGAATAATGTTCAATACTTACGATAAATGTACCGGGATGGTTAAATTGTCACAGTTTGTCCCGATTGCATGCCTTGTTGACATCTCCATGTGTTTCATGCGCTATCCAGCCTTCACCTTCTGCTCTCCAAGCCTCGCTTTCAAACCGGAAGTAGCGAAGTGTGAAAAAGGTCAATATTCACACTGGTAACAATCTTTCTGGGAAGGTGAGACTCTTTAGCTATTTGGTTTGAGGAGTCTAAACCAAGGACTAGTCGGCTCGGAGTCTGAGTGGGGTATTCATGTTAAACTGCGGCATGGTACCTCAGTGAGCTAGCACTGTAAATTGGGATCTCTCCTAGGGCTGGGATGAGTCCAAATTTACAACCCGGGTACCCACCTCCCTATTGCCCGACCCTACCCGGGTACCCGCTGTAGGTCTCAGGAGGAAGGTACAAACTGTCCAGTTGAGAAAAGTTTGACCGTAGCCCTGGCAAAATGTGTTTAGATACACGTATAAAACGATCTGGTGCATCACTTAAGTTGACTGAAGTTGTTTTTTTTTTCAAACATATAAAAGTCAGAAGGAATGGGCGTAGTAGTCAGGAAGAACTGCGAACATTAGTGACTTGTAGTTTAAACATAGAGTCCTAGATATTTTTTGTCTTTAAACAATATATCACGTGACTAACCACGGGTCCGGGTAGTCATGTGGGTACCTGGGTCCTAATCAATACCCATCCGACCCGAGTACCCGAGTTAAACGTGTATGCACAATACTATATAAGTGTAATAATCTTAGACGTGGCGTTAAACCAAATTTCACCTCCACTCACGTTATTTGCATCTTTACAGCATTACGCAGCAAGTTGTGAAAAAGCTGAACTTTGTTCCATAGTAATGTTGAGTGAATATGCTGTTACAATCACCATGGTAACATGATTCCCGTGTTTCAGTTTACTACCAAGCAACTCGAGAGGTTGGCTAAGAAGGCTGAGAAAGATCAGAAAATCCAACAGAATAAAGTCAAAAAGGTAAATATCAATATTGGCAGTGTGTTTCAATTGTTATTAAAGTTTGTGAAATACTGTATTAGCTGTGAGTACTTGCAATACACAATGAGATTTATTGACCAAGACAGCCCATAGAGACTTCTCTCGTTACATCTGTCAGTGTGAGTGTTAGTGAAAAATTGATTGACCCGAAACTTGGTTTCTTCATGAACATAATAAGTGGTGTATGCTTGAAAATAATATAAATCTGAAATCAATTAATTTCAAGGTTGTTTTGATAAATATTGATCCAGATTTCTATATGATTAGTGGTGTTTCTTCCTTGCCTAGCATTACACTACATTTTTCGTGAAGATCCGGGGTAGAACAGGGCTTCAGCAACCCATGCTTGCCGTTAAAGGCGACTATGCTTGTCGTAAGAGGCGATTAACGGGATCGGGTGGTCAGACTCGCTGACTTGGTTGATGCATGTCATCGATCTCAACTGCGTGGATTGATGCTCATGAAGACAATCACCTGATTGTCTGGTCCAGTCTCGATTATTTTACAGACAGCCGTCATATAGCTGGATTATTGCTGAGTGCAGCTTTAAACCACAAACAAACAAACAAACCACATTTTTCAAATTTGGGATTGAGAAAATAGAGAAACTTCACTCATATTAAAAAGTGAAGAGGATACCCGGGTTCCAGTCCTATTTAACAACATGTTTCAACCAATCATATTGCAGTTCGCACTTCCCTCCATTTAACAATTGGCCACAGAGTGCTGTTTTCAATTTTCCAATCTCATTAAAATCAGACCTTAGTTCTCGCTACCGCTAAACAAAGATCTGAAGACATCCCATTAGGAGTAACGTCAGAATGACCTTTCTTCCGAACAATCAGAGCGTCGCTTACCAGATAATGAAAGTGACAGTCGGATGTGATTTCTAATCATACAACCTCGAAAACTTTAACACAGGGTATTCCGAACGATAGTTACGGGTTTAACAACTGAATCCATACAATCTAGACCATCTATTAGCCATTCCAGATTGTGCTTTTGTTCAGGTTTCAAATTTGTAATCGAGAATTTGTCAAAATATGTTTCAAAGCGTAGTCCCCAATTTGAAATTTGTGCTGTAAAGCACGAGAAAGCTGCCTTCTGATTGGTCATTCCATTGGTCAGTCAAAGTTCGCGCAAGGTCGGTCTGATGTGACCCGTAATGGGATGTCCTCAGATCTTTGTTTAGCGGTAGCGAGAACTAAGATCTGATTTTAATGAGATTGTCAATTTTCTAAATATGTCTTATTGAATATTAGACTGTCCTTGGCAATGAGTTGATAAGAAGATTCAAGTTCTATCTTCACTGTACTAAGTGCACTGGGTGATGGGATAATTGACCCCCACCCAAGATAAATGAATATTAATAGGTGGTTAGAATAGGGAACCTGGCAGACAATGTGGGTTGTTGCTCATGCTATCAACCTCTGGTTTACCTGTGCCAGACTTGATTATTTCTAGGTAAAATGTATATAGCTGAAATATAGCTGACTGAGGTGTAAACACATTCACTAACTCACTGTCGTGTCATGTTGTCTAGGCCCTGCAGCAGAAGAATGTAGAGGGTGCTAAGATCTACGCAGAGAACGCCATCAGGAAGAAGAACGAGGGACTCAACTATCTGCGCTTTGCTGCTCGTGTCGATGCTGTGGCAGCCCGGGTGCAGACGGCTCTCACAATGAAAGAGGTCGGGAAGTGTTTCATGTGGATAAAAACATTACTCTGATACATTACCACTCCGAATCAAGATCTGATGAAACCATCCAATCTTAAGGAAGGACGCATGGGTTCTTGAGCCGGTTCGGTAGTCAGTTTTCTAAAATATTGTGGTGTCAATTTATTGATTTGATTTTTAAAAAAGAAGACCTACAGAGAACACAAATATTCTTTGGATTGTCCTCGCTTTAGGGTATTTGATGCTCCAATATGACAGTGAATATAATAAACACAACAATATTATAGAGTGGCTTTCATCGTTTACATTTGGAACAAGGCGATTTATTTCGTTTTCGAGATACAGAAATCCAACATTCAGATCTGAATTCTTAACTAATTCATACTGATTGACTAATTAGAAAGTTCAGTGGACGCAACCTACTGTGAAAGTGTCCTCGTATCTTGCAAAGAGGTGTTGTATCGGAGTAACAGATCAGAGTTTAGTGAGACTGTGTATGACATGACCTTTGCCCTTTTCCTTGGCTTTAGATCAGCCTAAAACATGTCATTATGTCTCCTCAATATACATTTTAAGTTGCAAATTTAACTACAAAGTGTGAGACATTCTTTACTTCCTTACTTGGTGTACCAGATGCAGTATTAAAGACTTTCAAAATACCTCTCTCTGATTATCATAATTCATTGGGAAATTTATGATGTGGAAATAAATAATATTGCGTTATGTTTCGCTGTTCTCTGATTATAGATGACTTTTTTCCAGTGTGCTTTAAGTACCATGATGGATAATAATGTTTCTTTTTGTGATCCTGTGCGTGTGGTTGTGTTTGTCAGGTGACTAAGAACATTGCAGGCGTGTCCAAGGCCCTGGATAAAGCCATGCAGTCGATGGACTTGTCCAAGGTGAGTGACACCAGCAGGTAGCAGACGACACTGAAATTCATTGAGCAGAGCTAGTTGCATCCTTTAAGCTTGTCAGAACCCATGATTGCATGTTTGAATCCCAGATTGGCCCTGATTTTGTTTCGCTGTTTGTCAGTTCCATGTCTGTTGGTTTCACCAAAGTGGTCAAAAGTCTAAGACTTGCTTCACTTCGTGACATCCTCTCACTACACACTGACATGCTGTGATGTAGCTGAATACTGTTCAAAGCAGCGAAACGCCAAACTTACAATAGGTATAACTTGATATTGTTCTACCTCTAAGAATCTTGCAATTCCATTGGTTAATCTGTACCATGTAATGAAACAATATATTTCAATGTAGACCCCAAAATCATGTGACTGACACTTTTTTGACTTGTCACATGATCAGTATTGACTCGTCTGCTAGAAAACAAGATGGCGTCTGGTTCACGTTTCACGGTTCGCATCTCAGTTCCTGTAATAAAACTGAGGACAGTTTAGACGCTCCATAAACTTTAAATTGAATTTTATAATAACAAGATGAATAATTACTCTTGATGAAGTCAATGTGCAATAAAATGGACCCTCAGGCCAACTCCTTCGGTGGTCTCTCACCCTCAGACCCCACCCCTTCTGGAGTCTGACGGCTGCAGTGGTCCTCAGGTTCTTGTCATGAGGGGCGGTTGGGTAGCCTAGTGGTTAAAGCTTTCGCTCATCACGCCGAAGACCCTGGTTCGATTCCTGACATGGGTACAATGTGTGAAGCCCTTTTCTGGTGTCCCCTGCCGTGATATTGCCGGAATATTGCTGAAAGCGGCGTAAAATCAAACTCACTCACTCACTCACCTTGTCACAAGTAATAATTTGTACACTGTTATTGTGGAACCTAGCTTGTATGATGAAAATAGTTGGGGTCTTCGTTTCAGTTGACAGTAAGTCGTTGTGAATATATTTGTTGATGGATATACTTTCCCAGGGTCAAGATGTGTTTGTATGTAACCATGGTAACGATTGCAGTGTTGATGTTGAGAATTCATGGTACAGATGAAGATTGTCACATGGGTGTTTTCAGCAACTATTGTTTATAGAATCATGCTGTGATGTTCAGAACTTGCGTTACCATGGTAATGTGGTAGAATATTATTTTATATAATAGAATTAGATATAATTTTTTGTGTCACCAGGTGGAGCAGATTATGGAGAAGTTCGAAAAGCAGTTTGAGGATTTGGATGTCAGAAGCGCGGTAAGTCAACCCAGAGTTATCTCCCTTAGAACACTGACCGCCACCTATGCTATCTCCATATGGATGCGATGACAGATAGCTTATGACTCAAGAGGACTGGTGGTAGTCTGGGTCTGTGACCAATCTCATCATAAGATCTGAGGACACTGACATAGAAGGTTGAGTCAGGTGAACCCTGATCAAACTTTGAGCGCCCAGGCTAAGTGATGGATGCATGGGTTCTTGAGCCAGTCAGATGTCAGCTTTCTCTCTTTACCACCTTGATACATAAATTTTAATCTTAACTAAAGAAACAACCCACCTGACACGAACATTTCTTCCATGGTCCTCCCTTGGCCCTCAAGAAATGACAGGTATAAAATATCTAGAAAAACATATTGTTGTGACCTTTATGAGTTACTTTTGGAACAGGCCAATTAGTTCCTTTTTGAGTTACAGAAATCAGATATGCTGGTCTAAATGTTTTGTTCATTCATTCCAAGAATTTAGAAGCCTTGACGCTGACTGACTGATTAGAACGTTCAGCTGATCTGACCTGTGGAGATGGTATCGTCAGGCCTTCATGCAAAAAAGTAAAAAAATCAGAATTGATTGAGATTGGCTCTGTGACTTCATGTTATTACTTGTCCGTGAAGAGATCACCCGTTTAATAAACATACAGCTGTATTACACAAACGTGTCCTTATGTACTCCTGGCACACGTTCCACGAACAAATATTGAAAGCTTTCAACATCCCTTGGCTTATTCAACGACATAGCGTGGGGAGATGACAGATCACTGAGAGGAGCTCATGCACACTCGATGACCCCAGCAACCTTGTTGCTAGACTGACGTCACAAAGCATTGTTTCGCCGATGGATCTTGCAACAAAATTCCACAAATTATGTCATCGGGTACTGTGACGTGATTGTAAACTTTGAGGTGCAAGGCCCTGTTCCACAAGGCGATCGTATTGTGGCGCAATGACAGTCGTTGGTCTAAGTTAAAGTATGTGAGTTGCGATAACCTTAGCGCAACAATAATTTTGTGGAACGGACGCCTGAATTTTAAAGGTGCACCGTTGTATGGTATTAAATTCATACGTTTCAACTTTTGACGTGTTTGAAGTATTATTTTGTTAAAGTCAATTGGATTATGCCGTGGATCGTGGATCGTGTAGGTGTCAGCCTATTCATACTCAACAGTATAATTCTAAGACATTATAAATGTCAAGTAATAAATAAAATACTAAACTCTCTCCTGTGTAAAACCAATTTTATGAAACTAGTGAATAGTTGTGGTATCTGACGAGCGAAAGCTCGTCAGATACCAGAACTATTCACTCGTTTCATGAATTTGGTATAACACGGGAGCTCGTTTAGTATTCTATATTTATCATACCCTTACAGTGCGGAGTGTTACTCATAATATCAATCACTGGTTGCTCTGTCCACGACTCTTTTGTGTCATGTTGTGGTTGGAATATTGCTGACTGCAAAGTCACACAACTCACTCATTTTATGGGAATATTGCAATAACCCAGTTAACATCAACATTTTGCTTTTCCCTTCACCCAGACTCTGGAGAACTCGATGGGCAATGCGATGACCTTGTCAACTCCCGAGGACCAGGTCACATCTCTCATCCAGCAGGTGGCCGAGGAAAACGGTCTCGAGATGGTCGACCAGCTGAAGGACCTCAACCCAACCACAGCTTCCGTCAAGTCCGGGGCCTCTGTGGAACAGAGCAAAGAGGACGATCTCTCACGAAGGTTGGTCAAGATGACCTTGAACATTTGACATTATAATGACCTTGTATATATTGAAAGGAAGACCTGTTACTGACTCTTCATCAATCCTGTGGTTCCAGGTCAGAATAAGTCCTTGGTAGCCGACTGACATGATTGGGTGGTCAGGCTCTGTGACTGGGGTGATAGTGTGTCTTCATGTCCCTATGGTGTGGATCGGTGCTTGCAGTTACTGGCTCTGTGACTGGGGTGATAGCGTGTCTTCATGCCCCTATGGTGTGGATCGGTGCTTCCAGTTACTGGCTCTGTGACTTGGGGGATAGCGTGTCTTCATGCCCCTATGATGTGTATCGCTGCTTCCAGTTACTGACTCTGTGACTGGGGGGATAGCGTGTCTTCATGCCCCTATGGTGTGGATCGCTGCTTCCAGTTACTGACTCTGTGACTGGGGGGATAGCGTGTCTTCATGCCCCTATGGTGTGGATCGCTGCTTCCAGTTACTGGCTCTGTGACTTGGGGGATAGCGTGTCTTCATGCCCCTATGGTGTGGATCGCTGCTTCCAGTTACTGGCTCTGTGACTTGGGGGATAGCGTGTCTTCATGTCCCTATGATGTGGATCGCTGCTTCCAGTTACTGGCTCTGTGACTTGGGGGATAGCGTGTCTTCATGTCCCTATGATGTGGATCGCTGCTTCCAGTTACTGGCTCTGTGACTTGGGGGATAGCGTGTCTTCATGCCCCTATGGTGTGGATCGGTGCTTCCAGTTACTGGCTCTGTGACTGGGGTGATAGCGTGTCTTCATGCCCCTATGGTGTGGATCGGTGCTTCCAGTTACTGGCTCTGTGACTTGGGGGATAGCGTGTCTTCATGCCCCTATGGTGTGTATCGCTGCTTCCAGTTACTGACTCTGTGACTGGGGTGATAGCGTGTCTTCATGCCCCTATGGTGTGGATTGGTGCTTCCAGTTACTGGCTCTGTGACTTGGGGGATAGCGTGTCTTCATGTCCCTATGATGTGTATCGCTGCTTCCAGTTACTGACTCTGTGACTGGGGTGATAGCATGTCTTCATGCCCCTATGGTGTGGATTGGTGCTTCCAGTTACTGGCTCTGTGACTTGGGGGATAGCGTGTCTTCATGTCCCTATGATGTGTATCGCTGCTTCCAGTTACTGGCTCTGTGACTTGGGGGATAGCGTGTCTTCATGTCCCTATGATGTGGATCGCTGCTTCCAGTTACTGGCTCTGTGACTTGGGGGATAGCGTGTCTTCATGCCCCTATGGTGTGGATCGGTGCTTCCAGTTACTGGCTCTGTGACTGGGGTGATAGCGTGTCTTCATGCCCCTATGGTGTGGATCGGTGCTTCCAGTTACTGGCTCTGTGACTTGGGGGATAGCGTGTCTTCATGTCCCTATGATGTGGATCGCTGCTTCCAGTTACTGGCTCTGTGACTTGGGGGATAGCGTGTCTTCATGCCCCTATGGTGTGGATCGCTGCTTCCAGTTACTGGCTCTGTGACTGGGGTGATAGCGTGTCTTCATGCCCCTATGGTGTGGATCGGTGCTTCCAGTTACTGGCTCTGTGACTTGGGGGATAGCGTGTCTTCATGTCCCTATGATGTGTATCGCTGCTTCCAGTTACTGGCTCTGTGACTTGGGGGATAGCGTGTCTTCATGTCCCTATGATGTGGATCGCTGCTTCCAGTTACTGACTCTGTGACTGGGGTGATAGCGTGTCTTCATGCCCCTATGGTGTGGATCGGTGCTTCCAGTTACTGGCTCTGTGACTGGGGTGATAGCGTGTCTTCATGCCCCTATGATGTGTATCGCTGCTTCCAGTTACTGGCTCTGTGACTTGGGGGATAGCGTGTCTTCATGCCCCTATGGTGTGTATCGCTGCTTCCAGTTACTGGCTCTGTGACTTGGGGGATAGCGTGTCTTCATGCCCCTATGATGTGTATCGCTGCTTCCAGTTACTGGCTCTGTGACTGGGGTGAATCTTAGTGCCAAAATCAGTTGTGACAAGAAGTCACTGACGGTACCGAGATGGGTGTCTTTAAATCTACAGCTGTGACCTCCGTGACCAACAGCTAATGCGATGCAACACATTTACACATAACATTAAACACTGGTAAGACTCAGCCACTTGGTTGATTGCTTTTCATCATATCCAAAAGGCCAGTGTGTGTGTGTGTATGTGTGTATGTGTGTATGTGTGTGTATATATGTGTGTGTTTGTACTCATAATATCAAGCACTGGTTTCATGTTTTCAGATTGCCATGAAATAGGTAGAATATTGCTGACACACACTCTCATTCACTCACTGAAACATGTACAAGGATCTTGTTAAAGACATGACCATGAATAATTCCACCAATGATGTTACAAATTTTTATTGTTTATGGAGTGTGCACACTCTATGTTAATCGACTATCCAATTTATAAAGTTAATACCTCCATAAACACAAATCATATTGAAATCAGTCTTTATAATTAAACAAGACAACAATAACAACTTCACAGACTACTTACATATCATTTACACACAAAACTGTAGACAATGATAGGAAATCAGTGACATCGTCCAGCACAATAATGTAACACGACTTCATTGTAAGTCTGCTAGTGGGTGTGGCCTAACGTTTTTTAGGTCTATTGAAACATAAATGCACAAACAAAATGCTTGATTAGTCAATCATATTCCAAGGAATCACACGGACCCGTGAAGATCGGGGGTAGAATGGGTCTTCAGCAACCCATGCTTGCCGTAAAAGGCGACTATTCTTGTCATAAAAGGCGACTAACGGGATCGGGTGGTCAGGCTCACTGACTTGGTTGATAGATGTAATCGATCCCAATTGCGTGGATCGATGTTCATGCTGTCAATCACTGGATTGTCTGGTCCAGACTCGATTATTTACAGACTGCCGTCACAGCTGGAATATTGCTGAGTGTGGCGTTAAACAACAAACCAACCAAGGAATCACATGCCATTTATTTATTATAACATATAAGAAGCTTTCGCTTGATTCAAGTTCATTACTGTTCACTATTTCTACTTCCAGGTTGCAGGCACTGCGGAACTGATCGTGTTACTCTACTGTGTATATATAGAAGTCCATGTTTTGTCCTCGTCTTCTCAGCAATGTCACCATCATAACTGCAATGTGGTTTATCTCGTCAACAATCAACTTCTCATGGCAGTTTTCTTTAGCAGAGCTGTGTCTAGATTACTTGATAGGGAATCTTGCATGATTCAAATATCATTAATGTCTTTCCCAGTGCATACTTTCATGTTTGGGGTAAACTTGTAAAAACGTGAAGTGTATATCCACTATATATTTGAAATGATGAATATTTGTTGTGTTGAAGATAGTATATACATGGTATATGTATTATATTTTTTGTTTAATTTCCAACTTTTATGTATAAAGAGTATGTTGTTTATGATGTTACTATTAAAGCCTTTCACTGACAAATGGCTAGATGACCTCTCTGTGCCTGGTACACATTGTTTTCGGAGAAATATTTCATGTTTTAAACTATGCTGAAGAAATGAACTTTCTTTTTGAAATTATGCACATATTAGACAGTTTTATTGCTAATCATTGAATATTTGCAGTATTTTCCTTTGTATTGTGATACTGTCACTTAATGACAATAAATGGTCCCTAGTTTGGAGTAGGGGCAGTTATCTCCCTTTTACCGTGCATTTCATCCATGAATATTTATCAAGTTACTTTTACTGTGAACGCAATCATGTTTGAACATTATTCTTGTTGCCATTGCTTACACATTTTCTTTGGAGTTTTTTCTTTATATTTTCAGTCAATATATAAGTGAAATCTCAAGATGTCAAGTTCTGTGTTACTTCAGTGTAGTAAAATTAATTTTCATTATTATGCCTAGCGTTTTCCTCAGTTCTGTGGGGAGTTGATCATACATGTTCCTCTCTGCAAACATCAGTACACCAACACATGGTTCAAGGCACTTTTAGGGGACAGATTTATGATGTTTGTTAGTTTATACCAGTAGAAATAACAATGTCATGGTTTGGCAAAAATATTCTCTTGTGCTGCCTTTGTATATGGATGTTAAAACCCCATGCCTAACTGTAGGATTTACTCGTTTTGTGCACCATATCTGATAATTCACTAACAGAAAAACGTCCATGTTAATTTTCCCGTGCCATTGGAGTGGCAGTTGCAGTAAAAGGCTATCTTCTTGGTTTGTTCAGTTAAATTTTAAACAGACAGAAAAGTTTGGGAGTTTAAATAGTTTGAAAAGAATCATGTAGGAAAGGTTGGAACAAAGTTAACATATTTAACATATTTACTTGTTCACAAGTACTTTGTCACAGTGGGAGAAATGTGTCAGTAAAATGAAAAACTGCTGAAAGTGTTGAATTTGGATAATTCACTAAAGTCAGATTTTGAACATTAGTATTGTGGTAAAGAGGTATCTTGGATATCTTTCACTTGATTCACTAATGTAGGTTTGGGGGTTAAGGATATGACTGGCCAGTGGTCTGGAAGGGCTCACCAGCATTCAAACAGTTTTATTATGTATTATCTCCCCTTTAGTGTGATGATGTGGCACCTTTTCCAGGTGTTTTTCTATTTGAAACAAGTAAAGTACGGGTGGCCCAGTCGACTAGATTCACTGTGCAGAGTTGCGTCCCTTGGGCACGCCAGAAACCTATGATTGTGGGTTTGAATCCCAGTTAGCCCTGATTATGTTTCTGGGTTTGTCAGCACTATACCTGAGGTCGTGGGTTTCACGGAAGTGGTACACATTTAAGATCTGCATCACTTCGTGCTTACCTCCAACATTAAGCTGACACACCGTGATATAACTGGAATACTGTTAAAAGCAGTGTTAAACCAAACTCAGTCACTCACTTACATACACGGGAGTGTAGTTTCAGTTCTTCAACTTTAACACAATCATGAATAGACTTGTTTTAAAGAGAATTGTGTTATGGTGTTATGGTATATATGTCTGTATTTAAGTTGTTGTCCGAACAAGTCCTTTAGATAAGTTAGATGAACAAGAGTTCTCACTTCACCAAGGGTCGACTATTGTTGTCCCTTCCATGACTGGACAAATGAAGGCCCCAACTAGTACCAGTGGTGTGGCAACTTGTTGATCAATGTACATAGATATACATAAGTGTTCCAAGTGCTTTGTTGTACATAGACGTGCCATCATCTACACGTGTGATTTGTATATTCATGATGCTATGTGTTTATGTTGTGAACTTTGTAATACTTTTTAGGGTTGAATGATTTTGTTATGGGTAAATTGTCATTGATTTAAGACAAACAAAGAATTCTAAAAACATCTTGAAAAGACAAACTTAAATTAATTTTTTTAAGAAGTGAAGAAATGAATGTGATTAATAAAATTTGAAATGAAATTAAGTTCTTCTTTAGTTGTGTATTTCATAGTGGTAACTTTGTTGTTTTGTTTGTTAACGCCACACTCAGCAAAATTCCAGGTTTGTCAGCACCACACCCTTGCTCATGGGTTTCACCAAACTGGTCAAAGTCTGATACATGCATCACTTTGGACTTTCCTCCCACAGTAAGCGGACATGCTGTGATATAACTGGAATACTGTGAATCAGGTCAAGGTTGAATTTGAACAAATCACAGAAAAGACTAATCTGGCTTCATGTGGGTCTGTGGAACATATCTATGTTGACAAACCCTTGATGTGGCAAATAAACAAGAAAACATGGCTGGACATTTGCTACAAACACTTTATTTCTACAATCCCCTTGTACCACCTCTACAGCTGCCTGCTTCACAAAGGGACATTACAATCAAAGCGGACACACATTCGTCAGACTAATGCCTATCTATCAGCATGGTTTGAGCAAGGGCATAGAAATCATGGACATGACACGTGTATTGCAACATGGCACCAGTAGTGAAAGGACCATAATTAACATTATACATAGGCATGTATTCATCAAGAACCAGCAAATCTTAAGAATATTCTCATAATTCAGGATTTCATTATAGAAACTGTCAACATTAACAATCTACCTACACGTACTGTTCACAACATCATCGTGGCGGGCAGTGTGGAAGCACTCAATGGTTAAAATATGCCCAAATTTTTTACAAAACAAGCTATGCACATACTGGCCCTAGCCTACACATTCCTGGAAGAATAAATACTTTTATAAATCAAAGAAATAATTTTGATCATTTTGCCCTAAATTATATGTTACAACACTATGGTTTTGATCATGTTTAGAATTAAAGACAATACATGAACTATTAACATGACATTCAACAGTGGCCTCTGTCTGATTAACCCTTCTACCACGCAATATAAGTAAAAGATAGTAAAGCACTTAGTTTAGAAAATAAGGCATTTGTCCCCAATATTACAAAACAGCAGCATTGCTATCACAACCTAAGCCATTTGCATCATGCTTCTCTACAAAGGTGATTTTAAATATTTATACAACTACAAGTGACAAAATCCTTTACACCGATTCACCAACCTAACAAGCTTTCATAATCAGATGCATTCTGGGTATTTATTCAGAACAGCATGTGATAAGCACTCACATTAGCTTTCATAATTACTATTTATTTTCAAAACAAAGCATGTAAACATTGATCTCAATACCCTGAGGTGATAATAATTAATATAATATGATATGATGGATAACTTACCTGATGTTACAAAATGCTTAGGTGTCGTGAGTACTACATTATGTCTAGTTTGCTGTATATTGTATATATTAAAGTAGACAGCTGGTATTGTTTCCCTGTGCATTGGTAAAGGTATGAAATAATCAAGGGGTTCTATATTGCTTACTGTTGTATCGCTACTGCATTCATTCACAGGGATAGATATTCAAGATATCGTCAGGTGGATATTATATCCTGTGTTCACCCTGTGTTGAACAAGTCAGTTTTGCACTTTGTGTTTATGTTTATATTATATGAAGCACTTGGGGTGGAATAAATATTTAGCACTAGCATTAATAAATCCTTGTAACACAGGGGTACACATTTATATAGGTAACACAATGTAACGATACGCAACTCAACACAGAATATAAATTGCCACGAAATACTGTTTTCAACTCAATGTATAGTACACGTCACCATGGAAACACATTTCTAACATCAAACAGCCCTAATTACTGATACATACAACAGAATTTTTAATTCATTGTATATACAGAAGTTCCACATCAACATTAGTTCAGTTACCTCCCAATAAAAAATATGGAAAATAACATACGACATATTAACACGTCACATTCACTATTTGTGCATAGCAAGATAAAGTATTGAGGATTTATTTAGCCAAATTAAGACATCTGAACTCTAATCGACAATTTTAATAAACAAACACAGAGACCATATACCGGTATATGGTCTCTGACAAAGTTTTAAAAGGAAGCAAAGATATTTAAGACATACATAGTTGTCTCCCCTCTGTGAAAATATGGGTAATATAGTTGAGCCCTGAGAGAAGTGTAGACGATAATCACATTGTATAACAGTTTCAGCACTGACAAAAACTCCACAATATGTGCAGGATGCAAAAGACGATGATGATGATTATGTGACTAGAATAATGAAATGAGAATGATATATACCGCTGAAACTGTGTGATAAATGCATGCATACAACATCACTACCCTCAGTTTATAATCTCATTAAACCAGATCTTTTACTCCAATATGATACATGTCTGCAGGAAGATATGACGACACCTCCTTAGGATGTCTAATCAGGTGAACTTTCTAATCACCCAATCAGCATCACCGCTTCTAAATTCTCGGTATCAGTCAGCAACAAATTAGACAAGCATATCTCATTTCTGTAACCTGAAAATGACTACAATCATGGAGTTCCAAATGCAAAAAAATAAAGCTGTCCTGGCATAGTGTTGTGGATACTGTCATTTCTGATCATCTACACCTGAAAGATAGTAGTAGAAAGGGTATATTTGTGTACTGTTTCTTTTGCTTAGAACAAAATTTCGGAATTGAGGTGGTAAACCTGGATCAAGAAGCCATGCATCCTTATTTAAATTGACAAAGTCCACTCAGGGTTCACCTGACTCAAACTCTTTTGTAGGTGTCCTCAGATCTTCATGCAGAGAGATAATGTATCAAAGAGAAAGATCAGATTGTAATGAGATTGGAACAGACAGCTTGTTAACTTTACCAAGGTCAGTAATTGCATCATTTTTGTCTCAAAATGTACAATATTTTAAAATGTTTTATACATCTTGTGTCAGTGTTTATATAAACGAACTGACTTGTAACCTTTTACTTGTGTTCCAGTCAAGGCTCCATAAACATTAGTTTACACTTCTCCATGACCTGCGGCAACAGAATACACTCAAGCACCATTTTGAGATCATGTGCATCCCTACACAAATGTCACCAACTACTTAGAAATCATTCTTGTATAATCATTTTAGCGACTGTTCACAATTAACAATCAAATAACTTATATCATATTCATAATAAGTGTCAAGTATTTACCTTCATAATCAGGATTATGTATAATCATTTTAGCGACTGTTCACAATTAACAATCAAATAACTTATATCATATTCATAATAATTGTCAAGTATTTACCTTCATAATCAGGATTATGTATAATCATTTTAGCGACTGTTCACAATTAACAATCAAATAACTTATATCATATTCATAATAATTGTCAAGTATTTACCTTCATAATCAAGATTATGTAAACAGGGAACCATTCTTTTCTGGTTTTGTGTAAGCAGTAAACATTAACTTTGAGGCTACCTCATATTACTTCATCCCTTATATTTTCAAGGACTGAATCCCTATAAATTCCACATTATTTTTAACAACTTTAAAACACAACTTCAAATTTCATCTATAAAAACAAATGTATCTTGAAAACTAGTTAACGTTTGGAAATCTTTCATTGGACTATTCAACAAGTGTAGAGACAACACACATTTATTACACAGCCCTTAATCCTCCTTGATCTTCTTCCGCTTCGTCCACTTAATGAGCGTCTCTGGGGAGCGGTACAAGAAGAGAAGCTTGGAGAAGAGATCCTCCTCGAGGAGATAGTCGCGACTCTCCCTCACCATGTAAATGTCCAGACATAGATGGAGGACATTGTCCACATTCGGAAGCTCCTCGAACATGATGCGGTACGACGACCCCGTGAAAAATGTCACTCTAAAAAAGCGGCCAATGACTAACACCAACGACACATACAGACCAATGATGCTGTAAGGAAAAGAATTAAAACATCATTAGAACAGATTGTGGTTTGAGTTGCAGTGTACCAACTTACCCAGTGATTGCAGCAGCAAAGTTATCAGAATCTTACAATCGTCACGGATACAATGAGCAAGTGAAGCAATGCCATATCAGTTAATAATCAATCGTGCACTTAGTTTCACATAATACAGACATATTATTATCCCAAGTTTTACAGATGCCATACTTACCCTGAAAGGAAAATAAACACACTCAAACCAATCAGATCAAACAAACACCTTAAAAAACTAGCTAATCAACAACCATTTATCAAAACTTTTACCCTCTTGGAGAATACAAACTGATGAAATTGTACACATGGCAAAGTGAGTTATCTCCCCTTAATTTTCATCATACCACAACAGTGTATACTTCAGTTAAACTGAAATTTAACCTCCACATATGTATACCAAAATCCTGAATGCCATCACGTTATACTGATATTTCAACAAATTTTAACCTTTAATCACTTGTATGATGTGAGTAGGGTTTGATAATGTCAGAGCTGTACCAGTGTAATTTCATCAGTTGTGACGTAAGTTCTACATGTGCTACGGTATGTAAAAAGGTAAGAAACTGTACAGCTGACAACATAGTAAACACATGTATGTACATGTACAATACAACATGTATACATTGATGGCTAAGAAAATAATCTTATAGTTGTCATCACAACTTTATTGAGTATTCAATCTCATTAAAATCAGATCTAAGTCCTCGCTGCTGCAAAACAAAGATCTGAGGACATCCCAATATGGGTCACGTCAGAACGACCTTTCGCGAACTTTGACCGACCACTGAAATGACTAACAAGAAGTCGACATCAGCCAATTAGGAAGCAGCTTTCTTGAGCTTTACAGCACTCATTTCAACCTGGTGACTTCCATTTCAGACTGCGCTTGAAAAATATGTTGACACAGTTCTCGATCAAAATTTTGAAAAATGAACAAACGAACATTCCGGAAGGTCTCATATATGGTTGCGATTGTATGGCAGTGCTTTCCACGTACTGTGAAACACCTCCTCCGTTCAAATGTTTATCCCACGGAAGTGAGAGATAGACCATAATTTTGACGGAATCAGTCATACAGACTGTAACTGTCGTTCGGACTACCCATGTAAACGTTTTCGAGGTTGTATGATCAGAAAACACATTCAAATGTCACTTTCATGATCTGGTAAGCGACGCTCTGATTGGTTGGATGAAAGGTCATTCTGATGTGACCCGTAATGGGATGTCCTCAGATCTTTGTTTAGCGACAACGAGGACTAAGATCTGATTTTAATGAGAATGATTGAGTATTTGGATACATAAGTGATCCTGTTTCACAACTTCTAACCAGGTAGTCTTGACCTAGGTTCATGACGCTGTCTGAGCGTCGTTACATTCTTACATGAAAAAATTAAATTTAATATCAATATTAGTTTAGTGAAAAGTTGTCAGTTGTCAGACACATTGAACTCAAATTAAATTACGTTTCATAAATTTCTATTGCATGAAAATATTTGGAACTATCTGATTTGAACTGTGAACCAGGATAACAGCAACAGCAGAGGATCTCATCATGAGGTCACAGTTTGAGATCTGGACAGGTTCGTTCTCGCACAAGCTTTAAGCCAATGAGAGATGAATACACTCCAGCAAAGTATACGTAGCTGCGATGGACAAGTGTGCAATAATCTGTTAAACATAACACACAGCTTATTCAGTTATCCTCAATGTTATTTTGTCAATATTATTGCAAGAAGAAAACAAAGGGCTAAGTATGCAAGAGACTGTTTCTTAACTAACAACATTTTAACAGTATTTGTATAAATCAGAATCCATGTGAATTTCTGTATTTAATTTCATGCCAATTTAACATCAGAACAAATGGGTAAAATTAATTTTCAATCAAGATATCTAGTTCAGGATTCTAATTTAAGCAAATACAATATTGTCTCCTTATACAAGTAATATGATTTTGTAAAACTGATTCATCTGAAAAAGAACTTTACAAACAGTCAGGGACACTTTTATCCCCCTAATCGTCTTTCTTGTTTGGCTTGCGTGTCCACTTGATGGCGGTCTCGGGCGAGCGGTAGAAAAAAAGCAGCTTGGCAAACAGGTCCTCCTCCAAGACGAACTCCTTCATCTCGCGCACCAGGTAGATGTTGAGGCACAGTTGCAGGACCCGGTCTACGTACGGGTAGTGCAGGAACATGATGCTCTGGTATAGCCCCGTGGTGCTCAGACGCAGGATACGGCCGATCAACAGGATGAATGACACATACAGACCCATAATACTGAAAGAACAGACCAGGGGGTATAGGGCTTGAGGAGGACTCGGGCACACAAGTGGGGGCATGTAGGGTTGGATGAGAACTGTGGCAAGGAAGACTGTCAGGCATCATGGGTCAATCAGGTGGGTATGTGTTAGTCTTGACTATAACATGTTAAGTAGGCACAGTTGAATATTGACATCAAGTATTAGTAAGCAGGTGTTGCAATACAAAGTTTAGATAGGCATGTGTTAAAGCTTGGCAATATGTTACTTAAGTAGGCATGTGTTAAATCTTGACTTCAAAGTGATAAGTAGGTATGTGTTCATTGATAAAATACAAAGTGTTTCAATAGGCAATGTGAGTGAGTGAGTGAGTGAGTGAGTGAGTGAGTGAGTGAGTGAGTGAGTGAGTGAGTGAGTGAACTGTGGTTTCCGATGTAGTCAACTTTTACAGCTACACAAGGTGTTGCCTGCAGAATGTTATATCTTCCCTTACAACCAAGCAGATGTGAGCATCTACCCATTGGAGATTACTACCCATCTGGAAACACTACCCATCTGCCCATCTGGAAACACTACCCATCTGGAAATACTACCCATCTGCCCATCAGGGTACACTACCCATTGGGATACACTACCCATCTGCCTATCAGGGTACACTACCCATCTGGAAACACTACTCATCTTCCAATCTGGGATCATTACCCAATCAGCCCATCTGGGAACACTACCCATCTACCCATCTGGGAACACTATCCATCTGGAAACACTATCCATATACCCATCTGGGAACACTACCCATCTACCAATCCGGAAACACTACTCATCTCCCCATCCAGGAACACTACCCATCTGGAAACAATATCCATCTACCCATCTGGGAACACTACCCATCTACCAATCCGGAAACACTACTCATCTCCCCATCCAGGAACACTACCCATCTGGAAACAATATCCATCTACCCATCTGGGAACACTATCCATCTACCCATCTGGGAACACTACCCATCTGCCCATCTGGAAACACTACCCATCTGGGAACACTATCCATCTACCCATCTGGAAACAATACCCATCTAGGAACACTATCCATCTACCCATCAGGGTACACTACCCATCTCCCCATCAGGATACACTACCCATCTACCCATCTGGGAACACTATCCATCTACCCATCTGGGAACACTACACATCTGCTCAGATCCCCAGTGACTGAATGAATCTGCCTGGCAGTGTCAAGAAGGTGAATGAAGGACTGTGTCAAGGAGAAAGTTCATAGAAAGTTCAGATGGATCTTCAGAGAATTGTGATGGGAATGTCCAGGTTTTGATTTCATGATGTGTATGCTACACAATGGTGCCTCACAAAGCCTCAGCACACATCTAATTTGGCAAACAGTAGGAGCAGAATAGGTGCCAGAAAGAAGGTGATGGCCAGCACACACAGTATCAAGATGCACAGTGTCAGGCACTTGGGTAGAAGGAGCTTAGCATGTCACATATACAATAGCAAGAAATCAGGTGTACAAAGGCATTTGAAACCCTAAGGTCTTGTACCGGTAAGTCAAAAAGGCACATACATGCTTTGCAGACTCATAGTCTGCATAACATTTTTCAGAGATTCCCAAGAAGCCAAGATGTTAGAACTTTCCTCCATGCTGATCAATTGGTAGATAATTATAAATATCCCATGAATAGTCATTAGTGCAGCAACACATGACACTCTTCTACAAATTAATTTACATATTTATATACCAGGTCATTAAACCTGTATTCATCAAGAGTATGATAAATAAATGTTAACATGTTTTTTGATTGGTTCAGGTTATTTTAAGATGAATATATCAATGGAATCACAGAATACCAGAGACTGAATTTCATTTGGAATCATCAAACATGTTACTGCACTAAACTGACAATACCAGTCTTTGCGATGAATGGCTGTCATGGCTGTCATTAGTATAGTGAGTAGTCACACTCATTAGCTGGATTCGTTAGCACCCACAACACAGATTCATGCTCCACAATGCAAAGTCCTGCCAAAACAGCAACATTGCACAACATTGTTACACATTCTGTAGTGAAAATCTAAAAATGATTAAACACCTTGATAGTAAAACCCATTCTTTCTAAGATGAATACTTTGCCATGTTCAGATCTTGGTTATGCATTTAACTTCAATCTGAATAGATCAGTACATTAAGATGCCTAAGATTTGAAGGTTTGAACAGAGCCATACGCATGCAGCTTGATGTTTGAAGGCAGTAAGCTACTACGGCATATCCTCGATTAAATGCCCAGGCCTATATTTATTTCAGACACTCTTTACCCCCAGCATTAATTCACAAAGATAATAAATGGGAGAATTCTGTGTATATAAACTACCCAGCATTTAATACAGTCCCCAACATTTATTCAAGGTTTGGCGTTTACTTGATGAATTACGGTAAAAGATATTATTGGGCTTCTCAGTGTACTGGCTACCATTCCAGCAGCATTCAATGATTTCAGACATGACAGACATGGAGGCATGTGTTTGCTCTGCTTTCAGAGGAGGTTGTAGCCATTGTAACTAGAGTTACATCAGGAACTCGGTTCCGGCACCATGACTACCATAACTAATAACTGATATGATATTTGTAATGCTACGACCACTTCATCTTGTCCTAGACATTGATTCTGATTTGATTCCTCGCTCTGTACTGATGTAAAGATACTTTGCAGTCAAATGTTTCTTGGAAGCCTTGTCAAAGTAAATTCAGAAACAACGCCTTCCCCACCATGCCTTCATGTCTGCCATACATTACACAGATGAATCACTGCACACAACATGCATCGACCGTCAACATCAGCTCTCAACTTGTCTCTGTCAAGCTCAAAACACTAGTAGAACTAAACACATTTTGTACACCAAATGATGTATATTTTTAAATCAATCTTTTTCCACATTGGTGCCAGAGAACAAAATATCATATCAAAAATAATGTTTGATCACAACTTTTCAAGAGTTATTGAGTACAGGCTCTATATCTCGTGTAATCAGGTTTGTCCTACAAGTTGACCTCAGTAGGGCCAATGATGACCACAAGTGGGGGGCACAGTATGCTCCCCCTTCTTGAACACCTAGTAGCATCCCTTTTTGATACTGATACACACATATGATATACCGTATTCAACGTAATAAGCGCCCACGGCGATATTTGTTAATATATTGGCTAGTGAACAATCCAAATTAGCACCCTTCCAATTGATCAATGTACACAAGACTTATTTATTCGTGTTTAATATGCACTCGTGTGTTATATGCACCCTTAATTATGGGCAATTAAATTCTGGAAAAATATATCTGTCGTGTAAAACACGCACAGACTTTTCTTTTGTATCATTTCAGGCTGTCACAACAAACCATGAAATGAACGATCTTTCGACTCTTTCACCAAAATGATATTCTAACAAGAGCCCCCTATTTCTGATCTTGAGAGTGCCCTGGGGACTTATTACAACGATACGGCAGTCGGAATCACACAGTGGACTGTGCTTTTAGCAGAGATTGCTCATGAATATGGAAATGTTTTTGTCACTATATATTTGTATGAATCCCTCTTCGCGCCAAAGTTCCCTTGAGACAGAGATCAAGTTAAGAGCTTTCACATCAGTGAGCTTAAGTACAAATCTCATCTTCATTGACAATGGCTGTCTATCACAGATTACAACACAGAAGTATTACATTAGTGTGTCATCAGACATAACAGTACCAGTGTTACAGATGCATCTCTATCATCATACAAGGCAATAACAAAACATCAAGCTATTAAGGGTTTCGAGAAGCTAAGCATCACAGGCAAAGCTGCAACAACTACAGCTACTATTACAACTACTACTACATGTACTACTACATATACTACGCATCCTGCTATTGAAGCTAATGTGTTAGTTACTAGGCAACAGACAAAATTCATGAAGCTCCGGCAAGGATATATAGATTTATATCCCTTAAGTGAAATGGTAGGAAAACATGCCATGCATCATAAAGGGCACACCATGCTGACAAACACACCCAGAGATTCTACACAGGAACACAACAAACATTTCCTGGTGGGTTTTTTAGTCCCACTTTATTATTTCTAAAAACTGCAAAATAAATAAAGGGCCGCAAACCATTTGATATTTTTCATAAATAACACCAGTTCGCCAAAATGGTGGAAATAAAATAATTTGTCTCAGCTTTTACAGAACAAAAACGGTTGTTCTGAAAATTATATGTCTGGGGAGTCCAACCAAAAATTTTAGGTCAAAGAGAAAAACTTCTGTTAGTGCTAAATGAAAAAAATATAGTCTCAATGAAAATATGCCAGTAGTAAACTCTGGATGTAACTCAGTCTTATTTAAAACACCCGTAAACTTGCTGCAGTATTGAGATGTTCTTCTCAATCAGTCCTTCAATTCAGTTATCAGGACTCAAAGTTGTAAAGTTGATTATATTGTAACTGATTCAAATGTAAATTAAGTGCATGCCAACAAACATTGAAATCTCTTTTGCAGCAAGTTTTCTACAAAAATTATTGACACACATCTAGGGCATACAAAAAATCCTTCTTGCAAGATGAAAGCAATCATGATGTAATGAGATTGAAACACACTAGCTACACAACATCAAAACAGGGGTCATATCAAAAGCTTCAACATTTGTTTCATGTGACTTTCACAAGTGAGATTAAGAAATGGTCAAGAAACAATATAATATTCGTAAAACGGTTTATAAACTATAGCTAGAATCAATATTTTACAATGAATACTAAAAATTCAAATAATAGAAAAACGATAACCAGAATATCTTATGTTAACAGTCATGTTAAAAAAAAGCAGTGAAATGACTTACCCATATCCAGTGATAACTGAGAACCCTGCTGGTGCTTTTCTGTCATTGAAGGTGAAAATGGTGAGTTCATTCACTTTCTTAGTTTTCTTGGGATCGTATTCTAGTATTTCATCCCCCTTAATAACCTCCTGAAGCTCCCACCATTGGATGAACTCGGACAACGCCCCGGCATCAGAGTCGCGGAACAAACCCAGCGATACGTTGCTCAGTCCGACACCAAATTCACCTAGGGAGACAACATTTGCATCATTAATGAAGAGTTGCTTCCCTTTACTAACAAACCAATCTACAAGGAAGTCTTGAAAGTCTCTATGTGATATAATATAGTTACACATTTATCCTGAGAAATTTCTAAATGGATACTATCAACTTGTAACAACAAAGCAGCTGATCAGTTGTCGTCTATATCCGAGGTATAGTCACAGTACAACATAGAGCTCAGCTCCGAGAACCCTCATGCATCTTGGCTGCAGCTCTCCAGGGACCCAATGAGGAAACAGTAACAAGTCAGTCACACCACCTACCATATAGCAGTGGTTTGATGCCTGTTGGTCGTCCCTCCAATGCAAGCCGCATAAATCTCGGGAAAACATTAAATATGTCCCTGGAAGTCGAAAAGCATAGTTTTAATTGAGAATAACTGGAGAGAATCTTCAAGAGTTCATACCGATTAAATATTACATCCATTTTCAACAAAAATGCCATCATCAAAATCTTTGTATTTTAAAAAGTTGAAACAATTTCACATGATAGAACATATATGCAGGTTGGTTTTTTTAACGTGCAGAATCCTATTTTTGGGATTATGCAGAATTTTTATCCTACTGCAGCACCTGAAATGCAGAGCGCAATCAATGAAAATACCATTGCAAACCTATGTTCATGATAATGCTAAATATGGATAGTCTATCGATCTTAAAAGTCATATCTGCAGAAAAAACATCTTTTTGTAAAAGCACGAAGATGGTCAAACTTACACTGTAGAATTGGATGTTCCGTTGATAATACCTATTAGCTGCTTCCTGACTGAATCGTCCAGGGACATGGTGAAGTCGTTGCTGATGCTGCCAGACTGGCTTCCAGTTGGCTCCCTGCAAGAACAGTAAAAACAAGGAATGACAGTCATCACTAAGCCTGGTTATCTGAATACATCACTTCACACTAAGTCTGGTTATCTGAATACATCACTTGACACTAAGTCTGGTTATCTGTACATCACTTGACACTAAGCCTGGTAATCTGTATACATCACTTGACACTAAGCCTGGTTATCTGAATACATCACTTGACACTAAGTCTGGTTATCTGAATACATCACTTGACACTAAGCCTGGTTATCTGAATACATCACTTGACACTAAGCCTGGTTATCTGTATACATCACTTGACACTAAGCCTGGTTATCTGTATACATCACTTGACACTAAGCCTGGTTATCTGAATACATCACTTCACACTAAGTCTGGTTATCTGTATACATCACTTGACACTAAGCCTGGTTATCTGAATACATCACTTGACACTACGCCTGGTTATCTGAATACATCACTCGACACTAAGCCTGGTTATCTGAATACATCACTTGACACTAAGCCTGGTTATCTGTATACATCACTTTACACTAAGCCTGGTTATCTGTATACATCACTTGACACTAAGTCTGGTTATCTGTATACATCACTTGACACTAAGTCTGGTTATCTGAATACATTGGCACTAAGCCTAGTTATATGAATACATCACTTGATGCTAGGCCTGGTTATCTGAATACATCACTTGACACTAAGTCTGGTTATCTGAATACATCACTCGACACTAAGCCTGGTTATCTGAATACATCACTCGACACTAAGCCTAGTTATCTGAATACATCACTCGACACTAAGCCTGGTTATCTGAATACATCACTCGACATTAAGCCTGGTTATCTGAATACATCACTCGACACTAAGTTTGGTTATCTGAATACATCACTCGACACTAAGCCTGGTTATCTGAATACATCACTCGACACTAAGCCTGGTTATCTGAATACATCACTTGACACTAAGCCTGGTTATCTGAATACATCACTTGACACTAAGCCTGGTTATCTGAATACATCACTTGACACTAAGCCTGGTTATCTGAATACATCACTCGACACTAAGCCTGGTTATCTGAATACATCACTCGACACTTAGCCTGGTTATCTGAATACATTGCACTAAGCCTGGTTATCTGAATACATCACTTGACACTAAGCCTGGATATCTGAACACCTGAGAAAGCCAATGAAGACGTCAGTTTACAAAGGACCCAGTGTTTTCGATGAGTACATCACTCTAGAGTAATCCCCATCTACGGCTGTCATGTTCATGTGTAACCATGGTAACCGTCTCACCTGACAAAGCTGATGAAGAACTCCAGCTTCAAGTTCTTATTGTTCTGCAGAGATGTGACGAGGTCCGCCTGACTGGGGGGGCTGATACCCCACAAGGATGTTGACTTGCCCGCCAGTGTCACCTTGGTCACGTCAATGGCCTCATAGTTGGACAGGAAGCCCATGGCATTCTGGACACAGCAGGGAATGAAGCAGTCAACGTATTGTGATACATACATACCTTAACCAGTGTATCATGTCTCCATTCTATAGCACATACCCTGAACAACAGATTCACTAGGGAAGAGACCTCACCAGCCCCCTCCCTCCTATCACTAATTTGATTACTAACACTCTCACTAACACCCAATCAAAATCGTTATCATCAATCAATATCATCTGGATGTGATTTTTGCATCAATCAACTTTCAAAATCGTCACCTGGTTCGGGCGAGCCCTTGTAATATAATAGACTATTATAAACCAACTTTCAGCTCAGAACAATGTTTTTTGGAGTACAAAGCATGGACCACCTACCCTGTCCTTGCTGTAGCGACTCTGCAGGATGTTAAACTGGGTGGGCGTCAGCTGTTCAATGTTCTGTTGTTGGGCGGTCATCTTGAAGATGGGCTGGTATCCTCCAAGTGTGATGGTGACGGTGGACTCGAAGGGTGGGTTCTGCTCGAACACAGTGTTAGCGAAGGAGAAGAGTACGAGTGGGAACCAGATGATGAAGATGATCACCAGCAGTAGCAGACCGCCCACCCCATACTTGATGAGGGCCTTGCGCTTCTGGGCACGTGGGGTCGGGTATGTCTGAAACAGGGGGTCACATGGTACTGTGTACATTGATCCACATCAATGCTTGTTCCTTTGAGAAATGATTACCATAATGCGGATGCTGACTTGATGAGGTTGTAAATCAGAGTTTCACTAAAAGTCCACTCCCTCAAGACTCACCACCAGGCAAGGCTCGATTTAAGGAACTTGATTTAATTTGCACCAGGTGTGTGCTGACATGAAAACCTACCTAAATTTACACAAACATAGGCTGGTCTGCTGCCTGTGTCACACAATTAATCACGAATCACTATAAAACATAATAGGAACATGTGAACATAATCTTTAAGTACCCACTGTTTGATGACGTCAGGCCTCAGAAAGCATGACAAATTACGCTACATGAGGGTTAGAGGTATTGAGTGTTCTCAAAGATCGATGTGTGGACAAGTAAGGGTTAGTGAGATACAAATTTGAATTTTTTTTTACATGCACTTGGTGCATGTAGACATAAATATTAGGTTGCATTTTAATAATAGGTTGCACTAAATCTAGCCCTTACTGATTAGTTCCATGTCTATTTGGTGCAACTTTAACAGACAGTTTCAGACTGCTTCGCAATATTCTAATCAGAGTTGGCTACACTGGGCAAGAATTTGTTGAAATAGCATCCAAATAGATGATCAACAAAATACACCATGGAAGCAAAACTGCTCTTTGAGATGATGTCTTGCACAGACAAGCAATGAGTGAGTGAGTGAGTAAATGTAGTTTAATGCTGAAGTCAGCAACATCACATCTACATCGCAGTGGCCTGTAAATAATAGAGTCAGGGCCAGTCAACCAGGGGTCGCAGCGTAAACAACGATCATCATCGGGCACACTAGCAACCAAATGAACATTTTAATAATCGTTTCTATAATAAACATGGGGTATTGGGGACTAACACTCCAGGATTTCGGGGAGACAAACAATGCCCAACAGAGAGAATCTGTCTATGGTGATCTGAGTGTAGGGACCTACCGCCTCTGCTCTCCTCCAGCACTTGAGGACGAAGATGTTGGCGTAGATGTCCTCCATCTGCAGCCAGGAGCCGATGGCCAGCGTGGTGTCGGTCCAGATCCAGTCCATCAGGGCCCTCAGCTCCAGCAGGAACGGAATGGCCAGGAAACTAGGAAACAAAAGCAGAATTTCATTTTCTTCAATCCGATTACAGAGGAGTATAAGTGATGAATGGAAACAGCCTATCCACCTTAAACAGAATTTCAAGCTGTTGGGAGGGATAAATATTTTGGGAATCTTCTATGAGTCTTGGGGTATAGTACACATTAAAACAAGACTTTTTTAAACAGAATACTTCATTCTAAAACGACAATCAGAGTGATCAAATCTCAATTACCTATCTTCGATGTACTATCTACATATCACTATAATAAGAAATACTTCTTACCACATATATAATACATTTGAAACCTCATAAATGTTTGTTTAACTCCTAGCTGTATCAACCATAATTTACATCAATATTTGACTTCCATGACAACAGGTTTCAGAATGAAGTCTATATGAACATGATGAACATACCCCTTGAAGAGGAACAGGTTGAGGTAGTTGTACTTCTTGGTGAGGAAGTTGCCAAGGATTCTGGTGGGGTAGCCACATCGGATCTGGTACGCAGACAACCCGAAGTAGATACACTTGATAAAGTACCACAGCAGAGCTGGGATGTTATTGTTGAAACTCCTGTAAGGCAGAAATACCAGATGACTTTCATAAACACAATTCGTTACAATGTTCCTCAGGCTGAATAGAGATTTGGTTGGTTGGTTGGTTTGTTGTTTAATGCTGCACTCAGAAATATTCCAGCTATATGACAGCGGTCTGTAAATAATCGAGTCTGGACAATCCAGTGATTGCCATCATGAGCATCGATATCTGCAATTGGGATCAATAACATGCATCAGCCGAGTCAGCTAGCCTGACCACTAGATCCAGTTAGTCGCCTCTTACAACAAGCATGAGTTGCTGAGCTGAATAGAGAAACAGCCAACTGGTTCCAGCTCTTCTAAGCTGATGTATACTTTTTGAAAAGAAAACTGCTCAAATGTTCGGGATAAAGGTAGTATTGACTAGCAAAACATATCATGAAAGATTACTCACAACAATATATTTAAACAGGAAATGCATTCTGGGTTACCTCCCCTTGTCAACATGTCAAAGTCACATGACCAGTACTGACCTATCAGTGACAGCCGGTAGCACGAAGAACATCCAGATGTGGATAAGGATCACCAGGATGATCTGGAAAATGAACTTGCCCAGGACGTTCTTCCTCAGGAACAGAGCACGGTCGATGATGATGAGAGCAAACTGGCAGACCAACATCACCAGGAAGGGAACAGGCACCTGTAACACGGGGCAACCATACAAGCATGCTGCATTGGCATGTTACAAGTGTTCCAGATTGTATTGATATTTTTTTACATGTCTACTAATTTCTAAACCTGTGAGTACTTCTTTGTAAATTCATTGTTGTCGCAGCCCCTTAACTAACAAAATACTTTTGAGACTTTCCCTGACATTAATGTAACGTAAACAATTTCACTCTGCTGACTTACTCTGTTTTCAGATATGTAGCTTGTCACGTCACCACTGGATGTTTGCTGGAAAACAAAAGTCACATGATTTAGCCACAGTTCTCTCTTGAGACGTAATAGAGGATTTAAACATGAGTGTTCATGTCATACCATGTTTGACTCGAGTCACTTAATACCAGAATGTAGTCACGTGTGTCGTAAACATAGTATGACATGAACACGAATACAGTGTTCTATTTATTACCAAAGAAGATTTCTACATACTGAGAAAATATTAGTGTTTACCCATAAGGACTGCAAGTCGCAAGAGCAGCAAAACCACAATTTGTCGAACGACGTCAACAATCTTCAGCTATGACGTCGTTTCTAGTGTGATGCCATTCCGACATCACGTCACAATAAGATTTGAAAGACATCAACAATGCCGTCTGAATGATGGAAACAATACACTGTTGTCTCGTGACGTGATATGACCCTAGGGTACATATGATTTTTATGAAACCTGATATGTTTGCCCTTGAAGGTAATAAAAAACATTTATTTTCATATTGACAAATGCCCAAGCAATATGATACATAATCATAGAGCTTCAGGTAGTCTCCAAGTAATTATGATTATCCTTTTTATGTTGAGTATGTTGAGGGGAAAAACAGCAATATTTCTGTGATTCCTCCTGCTTTTGTTGGACAACAACTGATTCTAGTACTCACAGCAGGCCCAAAGGCCCAGTATCCGAACACGACAATGATGAATGTGATGAAGTCGCAGCAGAACATGGGGGCGTAGACGTCGACAGTGGCGTTGTATGTTGCTCCAGTCACCTGATTGAAGAAGTTCCTGAATGGGTCGACACACTTCTTTAACCTACAGGGACAATGACACAACATGAGCACAGCAAGGTCATAAACTCAAAACAGGCATGGTGTTGACAAAAATAATCAGGGCAAACCAGGATTTGAACCAGAGACCACAGGGTTCTGGCACAGCTAAGGGGCATAACTGTGATACCTTAGACGACCGGGCCACCCATGGCTCCATATTATTTTTGAGGTAATAGAATTTCTATTAGTAAATGACACTTGGACGTACCCAATTTTGATCTTGCTGGGCTTCTTCTTGATCTCGTCTTCTGATGAAGACTGCAGCTGGCCATCAGATGCAGCTCCTGACTCTCCCAGCTCCACAGCCTCAATGGCATGGGTAGTGTTGTCACCCTATACAGAACACAAGTGAGTGAGTGTGTCATTACGCTACCCATTCCAATAGTTTATCACGACAAGGAGCATCAAGAACTGGTTCTCCCATATTGTGATAGGGGGTAACAAATATGTACACATTATACCGGGAATTGAACCCAATGCAATCCTCAGTGTGCCAAATGCCACTGTCAAAACACATATCATAGTAAGTAGCATTTTTGACTTATCATGATAGTGTTGCAATATGGAGGAGAGCGACACCAAGAACGGGATTTGACGCTGTGGTATGTGTGCGAAATATCAGGCTATTGAGGCCACACAGGTAACTGACTGGTGGTCTCAAAAACAATTAGTGTCCTATAAATCACTGACTCTGAACGAGTAATTTATCAGAAACTTAATCTACAAAATCCTACAAAAAAACGAAGAAAGTTGCAAAAAGACTGTACTGGATATTGGTCAAATAGAGCTCTGCTCTCCGAACCAGTCAAAGCTTAACAGTTTACCTCTGGAGCTGGTGAGCAGGGGGGAGACAGTTCCTTCTCTCCAGCCTTGGCCAAGTCAGCGGAGATGTCATCAGTGTCTCTCCATAGTCCATATCTCTGTAAGATTAAGCTTGGTCAATGTTAAATAAACAAAACAGTACATCCAGTGCTAGTTCCATGTTGCCTTGATATCACTATATAAGTAAGATGTTTAGATGTTGTGTTTGTAGGTAAACAGTTTCATCAACTGTACTGTCTGTCACCTGAAGGCAAGGGAACTCTCCTGAACCTTCAGTAATTGAGTGACCGTGGTCTTAAACCTTATTTTCAGCAACATTCCAGCAGAATCAAGACAGAACACACCGGAAATGGGCTTTAAACATTGTAACAAACTTGGGAATCAAACCCGGGTCTTCGGTGTGACGAGCAGCCTATTTGGTACTCCACCAACCTACGTACCTTAAGAAGTGACCGGTGTATGAAGAGGGCCAGGAGAAGGGCAAGGTCTGCTGCAGCGTAGTTGGACTGTTTCTCGATACCCAGGATACGTGGCGGCCAGAATGGACTCTCGCGAACTGTGCCATCATTCCATGGGAAGAAGCTGAACTGGAACAGGTACTTCACCACCACCACAGCCTGAAGCAAAGACACACTTTGGTCAAACTGGGGCTGAGCAAGGAGACTGTTGTCATGCTGTTGTCTGCCGTCTTGAGGTCAAATCAAGGCAGCGAAGGTCAAGAAATGAAATACCAAGAGCATAAAAACCCAAATAAATATTTCATTTTCCTGTAATCTTGGAGACAGACATTTTTTGCATTTCCTGCCATACTGTCCCAAGGAAGGAATGTTAACCCCTCAACATCCATCATATATGTCAGTGCTTAACAGATTCTATCCATTCAATATAATGGTCAAATTAACCAATCAGTTGTCAGACAAAAACTGATAGAGTTGCCTTGTGCTGACAAAATGCTGTCATAAGTTTCACTTTTTTTCATAAATAAAGCTGAAATAAAGTTCCCAAAAGTCTATATCAAGAGTGCCGAATGGTATAGGTATTCAGTGTGAGGGTCAACCTGAAACTGAGAACCTACACAGCTGTCTAGACAGTACCTCAACGTAGGTAATAACAGTGATCCAGAAGGACTTGGATGGGCGTGGCACAGACAACATTCCCCAGAGGAACACCATGAGTGGGAGGGGCAGGGCCAGCAGCGAGGCGTAGATCATCTGGTTCAGGATCATCAGGAAGTAACACAGCAGCTCCGACCGGGCTACCAGCACGTAGTATGTGGCGACCAGCAGGCGGTACAGACGTGGCTGACTCTTCTCAAATTCCTCCTCCTCCTTCTCTCTCTCCTCCCAGTCCACCAGGCTGGAAACAACAACCACATCCGTTACTCAACAGCCACACCCCTTACTCAACCAGCAGGCTGGAAACAACAACCACACCCATTACTCAACAGCCACACCCCTTACTCAACAACCACACCCCTTACTCAACCAGCAGGCTGGAAACAACAACCACACCCGTTACTCAACAACCACACCCCTTACTCAACAGCCACATCCCTTACTTAACCAGCAGGCTGGAAACAACAACCAAACCCGTTACTCAACAACCACACCCCTTACTCAACCAGCAGGCTGGAACCACACCCCTTACTCAACAGCCACGCCCCTTACTCAAGGACCACATCTGTTACAACCACATTGGTAGCTACAATATGCAGACTCCAAACCATAACTGTTACACACCGGCTTCATGTTAAAGAACAAACACTGTGCATCCGTTACTCAACCACTTCTGTGCCTCAACTTTTAACCAAGATCTTTATATTCTTGAAAGTGACTTGATCTTCCTAATCCTTCTCATACGAGGTATCTGGCAAGAGGCCACTCTGTCCATTGTGGTAATAAACTAACATGAGACATGCATCGAGCATAGATGAAAATACTCTAAATTCATCACTGCCTAAGAAAAGCCCTTATTAGCAGACTTGATCTCATTTGACACTGACCTGATAGAACTTCCCATAGTGTCTGGTCGGCCAGAGTCTGCTGTGGTCACTCTGACGACAACCAGGTCTGTGTCACTTGTCCTGCAACATATACACCCATCTCTTATCTCCTGTATCCAGCTGTCAGTTGTTCTAGTTGATAATGAAATATCCCTTTGTACAGCCAAATGTCATAAAGTTAGACACGAATAGCCATTGTCGTTTGATGATTCACAGAAAGTAATCATCTGAAGTTTAAGATTCGGCAGCTGTTCCCAATCCAAATCACCCTATCCATTTCAGCCAACTCGGACAGTAAGTAAAGGTGTAATGTATTGGCTACTTACGCGCCAGCATCGGCCCCGCCGCCACCATCTTCCACGTCCGAGTCCTTGCTGCTGCTGGGTCGTTTCTCCTTCATTATCAGCTCCTTCTTCTCCGCTTGGATCTTCTCCCTCTCCAGAATCATCTCCTTCTCTAGTTGCCTAGCAACACGGCGGTAGTTCTTGGAAATCTTGTTGAACAAACGGATCAGCCAATCAGCAATGCTGCCCAGGAATGCCAGGATGAACATAGTCAGACGCTTGGCCTTTCCAAATGCTGGAAATAACATCGTCATGAAGAGAGAGTCATCATGGCACAGTACATGGATAGAAGTAAATAAAACAAGTCCATCTGTTACCTGAAATGGTGATGATAATTAAAAAAACTACCACTGTTAGCAAGACTTACTATACAGTCATAATGCCTTAAGTTGGGTTTAAAGCCATTTTAACAGTATTCCAGTTATATAACGGTGTCTCAGCTTAATGTGGGAGGAAATCCCGAGGTGATGTAGGTCTCAGATGTTTACCACTTGGATGAAACCCACAAACATGGGTGTGGTGCTAACTGTCTATACCCCTTCCACTCTCTACATGCAATAAGCCAGAAGCTGTTATCCATAAAAAAAATTCTAAGTATGGTGCTCACAACCTAGAAACATAATCTGGGCAAACTGGGATTCAAACCAATGATCATAGGTTTTGGGCGCGCCCATGGGATGCAACTCTGCACAGCGAACTGCAGCACCTTAAATGACTCAGCCACCCATGGCCTGGGTTCTCTTTGAACATGTGGCATGAGGTGTCAGTATGTGTTTAAGCATGTGTTTTTTCAGGCAAAATAAATGACGACATGCATTAGAGACTGGTATCTATCAGTCTATTTATGTATCAGAAGTTAGGGACCATTCATTTTATTGTTTCTAAATTGGAATCATTCATTGACGAACATTTGACCTGTATCTATTAGAGGATATGCAGTAAATAAATCAAGTCTAAACAAGGACTATGGACACACGATGGACGCTACCTTTTTCTGGAGCCCCCTCCTCGCTCTCCTCAGGGTCGACATCTGCTCCACTGCTAGGGCCAGCCTTAGGACCTGTTTTGGGGCTTGTCGCCGCACTTCCACCCTGGAACAAAATAACAATCGTCCTTAAATATCTATATCAAACATAACATCAGTCAGCCTTTGCAGGTCCTTTGATATATTTCCAGGACCAGGAATAGTGTTCAGCATCCAGTGAAACCCTGTGAGAAAACGGATCACCTGGGCAGATCCTGTTGGGAATGTCTGTATATCTACAAGAGACATCACTGCAAAGGCCCATGAGTCATAGGTAACTTGTTACTAACTCACAAGGAACTGATGGGGTTTCCCAGGTTAAACCTGTCTGGCTCACCTCTTGGGATTCCTCCATTTCCTTGGCTTTCTCTACAGCAGCATCAGTGCCTGAGTCCATGGCTGTGGAGATCATCTGGAAACAGCAGTCAAATAGTTTCTTAGTTACACATATCCCTGTTATACATCAGCCAGGCATGGCAGATAACTCATATTTCCTTAGGAGTTTAGGAGAAATACCAAAAGCAATTTCAGAATTGGGCTTCAACCTCAGGAATCTCAATTGTAAAGAATTATGTTGTCATTTACTAGGCGTGTGTGTCAACATTAAGTGCATGTGTGAGTAGAGTTTTGTGCCTCTTCACTCCCTGCAACCATGGTGGAATTGAACCAGAGTCTTAGGTCTGACAAGTCAATGTGTTACAGTTTGATTGTACACTCAGCATTATTCCAGCTTAAAGATGGAGGTCTGTAAATAATCAAGTCTCGACCAGGTAATCCAGTGATTGATATCATGAGCATCCACCCACGCAATTAGGATACCATAACATGCATCAGCCGAGCCTGACCACCTGATCCCCTAGTCACCTCTTACTGAAGACCTATTCTAAGGCAGATCTTCACAGGTCTCAATGCTTTACAAGGCAACCACTGAAATCTATGTCATGGTTGGAACAACAGGCTCAATATATACTACCAAAAAAAAGTAAAACCAAACCTGAATATTTCATATGCCATGACAGATTTACTATAATAATATGAAGGAAATGGGTGGTCTTTAGATTCTTTTGAGTAGCATATATAGCCAGATCTGCTCATTTCCCAGACAGTACAGCACCCACCTGCAATGGTCCCATCTTGGCGCCAGTGTCATCTGTGTCCTGTCCGAAGGTGAGGGTGTCCGCCTGATCTGGCGCCTCATCCTCCGAGTCGTCATCAAAAAGGTAGTAGTCACCTGACCGTATAGCTGCCACACACAGAGAAACACTTCTGTAGTACATGTAAACAAGGTCTCTTCCATGCTACTCTGACATTAGTAGTTAGTATGGCAAATATTAACATCATAACTAGCCTTTTTGAGGTACGGGTTTTTGAACAGACATATATTATTATTAATATTTGAAGCTTGTGTGTGTGTGCATGGCACCAAGTTAAAATACATATGGACAGATGATGTTATGAATGATGAGTCTGTCAGTGTGGATGAAGATAAACCTTTTGTATGTGTGGCTGTTTCACAAGATAAGATAAAGACAATGGCTACCTACCTCTACACGACCCTGTTAGAGGTAGGTCAATATATTCCAAGATGGTTATATAGTTAGTGGGAAACATGACCATGTTTGTGTTAACAATTCAAATTAAAAAACTCTTATATAATTAGTGGAAAAAGTGACCATCTTTTTGTTATGTGGTAATTGGGAAAGTGATATGTTCTATGTTTACACTTCAGACTGGGAAACTTCTAACAAACGATGCAGGACCACTCCTGCATACTGTTGTGTACTGGACACAATGTGACACTATGGAGCTGGAGGGTAGGGGTAGGGGTGAACACATGTAGGACTCAGATCGATGGGGATCTGTGGCAGGTTGTCTAGTGGGCACAGACGTACACCCCATCACCATGTCACATCCTTCATGCTGTGATGTCAATGGGATCTAACCAAGGAATGCAGCTTGTTGTACTAATGTTTTGCATCCATTAGGGCTGAGAGGTAACTTGGGTACTTGTGGTCGAGTGGGTACTGAGAAGGATCACAGGACTACCTGGAACCGTGGTTAGTCATGTGATATATTGTTTAATGACAAAAATCATCTAGAACTCTATGGTTACACTACAAGTTACTAATGTTCGCATTTCTTTCTGACTATGCATGCAAACCTTCTGACTTTTATATGTCTTCCTATACTTTTATAAAAATATAACTTCAGTTAACTTCAGTGTATGCATGACTAAATCTATGCACTAGGTTCACACACTTATCCTTAGGAATGAGAAAGATGATATTAACACAAATGCACAACTTTTAATATTCATTATTTTGGTAGACATGTAACCAGTGTTCGAAACTAAGAAAAACATCAAGATATCCTTGTCAAAACCTTATGAAAAAAAGTTTTAAAAATTTGGGTAACTAGATTCACATACAACGGACCACCCACCCTCAAGGACCCCCTTAATAGTGGTCAGCTAGACACAAATGTGAGAACCTGCATCGTCCCGTGGATCTGAGTCGAACATGCACATGGATGCGGCTTGCACACTGCACTCATACAGATCTTGTTGAAGCAAATGCAGGACATTGGGAATATGTAACTACAAGCTTATGCATCTCACATTCACACCAAGCAGAGGAAACTGTCCACTGATGTGACACCACCCTGCAGTCAGGACGGAATGGGTGTCATGATGTACGAGGTACTCACAATGGCTGTATAGAACTCATATTGACATAGTCGTCAATTTGTTGTAAGTTTGTCACATTAAAATAGCTAAAAACGAATCTTAAAAAAAGTAGCAATACTTAACTAAAAGCCATGTAGCTAATAACGAAGATTGCAAAGTAGCTTATATTTGGCATAATTGAAGCTTACTACTTAGAAAAAAATATATTTTAGTCACATATTTGGGGTCAACAAGAAATTGAACTGATCAAATTAAAAGGAGTAAATTATGTATTTAATCAAGAAATGGAGCCAAAAACAGCTCATTTTATTACAAACCTAATGAATTAACAACAGAGGGAACAGCTGTAGTATCAGTGAGAGAGCTAGTCAGATGTGTTTGAAGCTGACTTAAACTTGGTGAAGCCTACTCAATAGAATGAATCCATGATTCATATCCACAATCTGCAGATCCTGATTTGACAAAGGGTAGCAACTCTGCACAGCTAATTCCAGTGCCCCCACAACTGTCACATCAAGCCATGTTGCTGTTCATATGACTACTTATTGTTGATGATAGGGGTTTAATGCCGCTTTGAACAGTATTTCAGTCATATCATGGCGTGGCTGCTTGATGTGGGAGGAAAGCAGCTCTTATATGTTCACCACCAATACAGGCATAGTCCTGACAGATCAAGGATCATAATCAGAACATAAGAATTCAATCCCACAATCTGTGGATCCTGGCCCTACTAAGGGAAGCAACTCCGCACAGCTTCCAATGCCCCTTGTTGAAGCATACTGTACTCCAGAGGTCATGATGATGTATGCTGTTCACTGACCTCTCAGCCATTACACACAAAACAGCACCCTCATAGTTATAAAAGAGACATAACCAAAAATTAATCAGACATATTGCTCAACATCAAATTGCAAAATACAGAAAGGGCCTACAAGCACACTGGCCCTTGATGATGAGTGTATGAATTATATGTTGCCATGATACACACTCTCAACGGATTGGTTGCACAAACGTATTTGAACATGGTTTGGAGTTTGGGGTGGATACAGAGGTGAGATGGACTCACACAAAAGATTACCATTCTTTGCATGTTGCTACAGCTAATATGCAAGCAGAAATATAAACTGGGCAAAACTATTTCAAATAACAATATACCTTCATCATGTGAAATATTGGAATTATTTTCTGAAAAATAAACAAAACAAAACAGTAGAAAAATGCACTTCATTTAAATGTTCTCAAAGGCTTGGCTGCATCCTGCAAAAACATATGTCTTAAATACACCCTGCGTGAGCAAACGCAGTGGCAGACGTTGCTACAAACACAGGTGAACGTGGCAGACGCAATCTCACCATCAAAGTGGTCCTGTGGTTCTCGGAAGTTCTTCTTGAGCTTGGCCTGCTTGGTCTGCAGGTTCTTCATCTTCTTCTTGATGTTCTGGAGGATTTCAGCTTCCTGGGCATTCTGGAGAGCCACCTCTCGGATATTGATTCTGTTTATGAGCTCTGCACCTCTGTGTAAGAAAGAAGAAACGTCAGACCAAGTTCCCAGGGATGATATAAATCAGATATATATGCCATGAAGTCTCTTAGTGCTATTATTGGGAATGATTGGGGCTTCCATGGCAACCTGACAGGATTGGGAATATAGACTGTCCGGAAGGCTCAAAATGCTATTATGAGGAAAGAGTTGGGATTCCATGAAATCCTGAAAGGAAATCTCACAGAGTACCATGGCTGAGGCATGGTTGAGATGTACCTGGACGCCAGCCTGTTCTGTGCCTCCAGCTCTGACACAACGTGTCTGAAGTAGTGGCTGCTGTAGATGCGACGCTGCAGCAGGAGGAAGACGAAGCAGATGACGTCCCAGGTGAGGCCGGTGTTGTCCTCCTCGATTGTGCAGGTCCCCGAGGCTGAAACAGAGCAGCTCACTTACATGCTGGACAGAAACCAGGCATTCAAAAATCATATCAGACTTCTGTTTTGTTAGTGCTGAATGCAAAGTGCCACCTCTTCACCTATTGATGGCCATGCTTACATAAGTACACAGGAATATAACTCAGTACTCAAAAGACTTTATCATTGGTTGGTTGGTTTGTTGTTTTACGCCGCACTCAGCAATATTCCAGCTATATGATGGCGGTCTGTAAATAATCGAGTCTGGACCAGACAATCCAGTGATTAATATCATGAGCATCGATCCACACAATTGGGATCGATGACATGCATCAACCAAGTCAGCGACCTGACCACCCGATCCCGTTAGTCGCCTTTTACGACAAGCATGGGTTGCTGAAGACCTATTCTACCCCGGAATCTTCACGGGTCAAAGACTTTATCAAGACTGTATGTCACATTTATCTCAAACTCTCAAATAACATCTTGTATGCTTTGTTCATCACAAACACTTGACATGTCAAATGCATGCCATTTGAATTTGTTTCAAGAGTGAGTGAGTGAGTGAATGAGTTGGGTTAAGCCACTTTGAACAATATTCCACTTATATCACGGCATGTCAGCTAAATGTGGGACGAAAGCGGTCTGAGATGTTCACCACTTTGGTGAAACCCATGGGCCAGGTATGGCACTGAGAAACCTAGAGGATTGTATTGTGGAGTAACATAAATATAAAGAGTGAAAGACTCACAAGGCATGTCGATGGTGGAGGAGAGGCAGTTGATGCCAAGTAGTTGTATCAGCCAGCACTCATTGACAAACAGGCGGTCAATGTACACACACCCAACCAGCTGCAACATAGAACACAATGTAGTTGTATGGAGTACGAACATTTGTTAATTGTTTTCTGAGCAGGGAGGATGAATAACAAAGCTAACCAGACAACTATCCAATAGATATATATGCTGTTGATTGACTGCAGGGGGAATATGTATTTCCTGCTCTAGTTTACATTCATACACTTCGAACTGTTGTTACAGGGAGACATAGCAGCAGCAACCTACCAAAGCAGACACAGCCGTATTACATAGTTACCAATATAAATAGAATGAAGAAAACAAAATGGCTAAGTTAGCATGTGTGGTATTTTGTATACCTGTAGGCAGGCTTTGCAGAATAGCACAAAGAATGTGTAACCAACTAGGAAATTCCACCTGAAAAGGAAGAACAGATTGTTAGTTTACTCCCATTCATGTCAAACAATTATGACAAATATCACGTTTTCGAAGTAAGATTCCCCGCAAGGAATTCAAATGTTTTCAGTAAATTTTCATTTAATTCTAAAACAGGAAATATGCAATAAGGAATACACTCATTGCAATGTATATGCCACAATGCCAGCTCCCCATGATTATACAAACTCAGTTGACAGATGAGTGAGTGACCTGAGCTTTTAACAGTATTTCATTTTTTTAATGGCATGCCCACTTACTGCGGGTGGAAAACCTAAATTTAACAGTATTTGGACTGATGACATTTATGAGTTTGGTGAAGCAGTAAAACTCATTGGTGCTGACAAACCAAGGATCATAATAGAGGCTCATTTCAAACCCACAATCAGCAGATCCTGACATAGCTAAGGGAGACAAACATTAACACTCAAAGGCAGCCTTGGGCCTCTTCACAAATGATGTAATACGGTAGCAATACACACAAAAATGGACTTTAAAAACAGATTTGTTTCCATTTCCAGTACAGAGACACAGAGATACACAATACTCACATTTTCAGCAGCTTCCTCAGGGGTTTGATGAGCAAGTCCTGGCCATACCACATGAAGCAGAATACCCCAATGACGTATCCCATACTGAACAGGTTGATACGAGCCGTACCGGTGATGAAAACGATGGCCAAGGTCACCCAGAACAAGTACTCAAACACAGCATACTTGACAACATCCAGGTAAGATCTGGCAAGAACAGGAGGATACTATATTACTACCAGTAGTTTGTTCAAATGGATGATACGAAAAGTACTGGTTAGTGATTACTAAAGGTTGGAAAATGGGTCAATTCCACAAAAACATTAACAGATTTGCTTCTTGCAGATGTTTTTCTGTAAAATTGAAGTAGGTAATCTATGTAAGATTTGTAATAGGCATAGTTTAGTTTTAATCATTTCTGTTCAAAGACATTTCTATAAATTTCGCCCACGCAATAATACTGAACATTAGATACAAATGAGCTGATGAAGCCGTCACTTGCTGAAGATGCTTCACAGGCCAGAGTTACAACTACCTGTCTGTTTACATCTGCAAACCTTCCCCTTGTGGAGATGTACATACTTTGACGAAGTGGTGAAGTCAGGGACAGGGATTTCCATGTTGGCCTCCACTTCCGGAAGTATAGACTGGTTGTCTCCCCCTCCATAAGCCTCGCTGTTAGGCCCACGCTCCACGCTGAACACACGCCATTGAAGACACACGAACAGAAGTTGAAAGAAGTCCGCTGAAACCGCAATGACTTATGACAATGTGACACATTTTAAAAAGAAAACACATCACATGGAAAAGGAAAGGGTCAGATTTATATTCTCAAACCGATTGTTTTGCAAGCACAGATGTACAAGAAAGGTGAAATGTTTTGCTAAATTTTTCAATGCACAACAAAAGGAAGCACATATACTGGAGCATAACAATTCTGACTGACCCAATGCCATAATACATGCCAAATTTGAAGAATTATGCATGAGCATAAATTACATTTCCATTAAGGCTTCCATAGGGCCATGTTTATAATCAGATCAGAACTATGTAAAAGCATATACAGAGACATCATTGCTTGGATCATCCCTCTGCCGGGACTAAGAGTCCAGGTGAGCTGAAATTTATTTGTGCCAATAGGATTGTAGTGTGCTAGTGTGTAGAGCGGACTCACCAACAAGTTTGAGGGCATGTGGGGGCTTGACATAGTCAGGCAGGAACAGCCACTGCTCCAGGTTAGAGGACAGGTGAGAGGTCTGGTGCCAGGGGTAATCTGAAAACACACACCTGATTATCTCCCTTTCATTATCAGGGTTATCTCCCCCTTTTAAAGCTCAACAACAAAATGTTATACACCATGAAGTGAAATTACAATTTTCTGTGTATGGACAAAAATTGAAATGCCAGATAAACTTTATCAGATTTGAGTTAAATTGGTCATTGTGATTCATAGAGACCAACACAACTTGACAAACACGCTTAGCAGACTTACTGATGCAGAGCCCGAACGGGAATCCAACACACGACATGAACTGTACAGGAAGTAGTATTGTCAGAACAATGACATAGAGCGGCCAGATACGTGCGTTGCTACGTCGACTCATGAACAATAGTATGCCCATCATGATGGCATAGATGACGGCATAGGCATCTACACGGATGCAGATGGTGATGGCGGACATGATGTAACAGATCTGAAAAAGTAAAATCTCACAATGAGGACATTTTCAAAATTGCATATGGTCACTTCACACATCTACTTTTTCAGGTGCAAAAGTCCTGCACAATTGACACAATGTCAGTTATACCTCATGTGTCTTTTGATATAAAGCTAAATGTCAATCATACAAATAAAAACTATTCATAATTACCACTCACCGATTCCTGAATAATATATTCGTGGCAGAAATTTACAAAAAATACATTTCATATAATGACCAACACAACTACAATCAATCCCTTGCTATACAAGATAAGTCAAAATTTGGACAGATACACCCTTTATAAGTTTCTTTTTCAAATCTATTATCAAGCATTCCTATCTCTCAAAACCTCAACCATTTCAATTAACTAGAAATGTAAGGTTTAAATTGTGCTATTAACTGTTCTGTCGTACTCACTTCCAACCCGAACTTGTAGAAGAGGTAATTGGCGAAGTATTTGAGAGCGGAGGAGATGCTCTTGTCCGCCTCTGGTCGCTTGACGTCCTGGAAGATGATACCAGCTCCCGGGCGGTCCACGTTGGGCTTATTGTAGTGCTGGATCTGGTGGTAGCGGGTGATGCTCTCGAACGCAACCACGATCAGGATCAGCAAGTAGTTCTGCACCAGACATTAAATAATCTGTGTCAATGTCACATTCTACCATGAATTTGAAAATTACTCGATTCTGATTGGTCAATCAGAGGCTATTAAATCACAATAAACCCCCTCTGATTGAAACAGCTAGTTTGCCGGCAGCATCACCGCAGAAGCTAATATTCACAGAATAGTACTTTTTTCAGTCATTGTCGGTTGGCATATTTAAATAATTATATCTACATTTACAGGTTACAAAATGCAAAGTTGCGGTTGCAACAATATTCAATGGATGTGTAGCAATATATTTTGTGCAGAAAACACCATAGAAATCTACAAAGAGAATGTATCTTAAGTTTTGGGGAATTTGGTGTTTTAATATATACGACTGACATCATATCCTTGTGTCACAATGAGTGATATGGTGTCATAATGGTGACGTGCGGTGTAGAACGAAAGCTTTGCAAAGCTTGCTTAGCATTCTTTACGGGTGCCTACCTCATGTTAGCTTCCAAGTTGCCGTGCTTATATGCTTTCAATGCCTGTCATATGTTCGAGTGAAGTATTACAGTGTAAACAAACTGCTTGAGCATATATAGCGCCATATTTTGTTTACAGGCTGTTGTCGGTGATTCCGTATTTCGGATCGACAACCCACTCAAAACACAGGACTCAATCCATGCCACATCACTCAATATATTTGCTAAACCGCACTAAATTTAACATTTGAAACCTTACGCTGCACATTTGGTTCAAAATTCAATTAAGCGCAGTTAAATCTCCACGTAACCTAGCTCTACATTGAAAACACTGTATGTTTACCTCCTAATTAAATGTCATCTAAACGTTGAAATTATACTGATGAGGAGTAAGGGGGCAACACATGCCAATATCAGGGGCAGATCCAGGAAAAAGGTGGTTTCACAGCTGACCCACCCGTAGTGAATAATGATACATGATCAGTTTGCTATTAGGTATCCAAAATAAGCAACAACTGGGAGTGCACGCACCCCAACACACACTTGGATCCGCAGTGAATATTTCAACAACATATCAACAACATAAGCTGTGACTTACCCTGATGTAGTAGGCGATGGACACATTCAGGCTGCTAATCTTGGCCAACCCCACCCATATAGCATTGTCCACATCAGTGACGTTCCCAGTGATGTTGACGACGATGCTTTGGTTGCCAAAGTCTACGCCGTTCTGCAGCACAAAACATAATTACAACACAAGCTAAGACAGGTAGTATCATTGAACTTAACCACAACAGTTTCAAAGGGACTCATCCAGCAAGCTAGTATAGTTAAGTACCAATATTTCACACTTTTGTATCATTGTTCTGATATTTTTCATATAAAATGAATATATGATACGTAATGGTGTGCATTTATTTTCGTAAATATCTGAAAAAGTGACTATACTCCAAAAAGCCTCCTTCAAGGTATCGAGGGAGGGTTTTTTCAACTAGCACCAAGTGACATGGATGTCGCACAACCTCAGAAACAGTAATGGTTATGTCCACTGAGTACATCACAGAAAGTACCTCTCTCCTGACAAGGCCAGTTAATAAAAGATTGCAAGCCATTAATAGCAAATATAAAGCTTATCATTGTTCAATTAGTAAAGGCAAACTGTTATTATGATCATAATTCCACATTAGTATGGTATGAACGATTCATGGTGTTTACACCGACTACTGCAACTTTACGTGGAGTTCCTACAACGCAGGACCATCACTGTGCAAGTGTGTATTAATCATACAGTTTTTTTAGTTATACAAGTTAGATGTGACAGAAGTTACTTCTAACAAACCTATATCTATATACATTTACTTAGATTGTGATTCTTAATATATATATTAATAGTCTATATATATATATTAGTCTATTATATCAATAACCAGGGCTCGATTTAACCATGTACAACATGCACTTGTGCAACCTGATTTGAAAAATGCAACCTATTATTTATTTCTATATGCTACCTGTGCATGTTAAAACTTCATAAGTTTGCGATTGCCTACTAAACAAGTTGTGTTTTCAACATCGATCTAAAACTCAGTTCACTTTATTCACCGTGTTATATCACTATTCCCAGTGTTATATAACTATTCACCGTGTTATATCACTATTCCCAGTGTTATATTACTATTCACCGTGTTATATCACTATTCACAGTGTCGTGTAATTTGTCAGTGTTTCTTGGGCTTCACATCATCAAACTATGGGTACCTCACAAATATGAGCAATTATACCGGTGATGTTTTACAGCAATGTTTGTGTCAGCAGATTAGCTGGCTAGCACATGATGCTTGTGCTGAACCTAGTACTTGGAGCATCAGTTTTTGTTTTCATGAATGAAAATAAATCATTGCAAGCAGACTGAAGAAACAAAAGACAAGATATTTTAACCATCCCAAACAGTTCAACTGCTGAGTTTGTTTGTTGCTTAACGCCGAACTCAGCAATATTCCAGCTATATGACGGCCGTCTGTAAATAATCAAGTCTGGATCAGATAATCCAGTGATTGACATCATGAGCATTGATCCACGTAATTGGGATCGATGACATGCATCAACCAAGTCAGCGAGTCTGACCAACCGATCTTGTTAGTCGCCTCTTACGACAAGCATAGTTGCCTTTAACGGCAAGCATGGGTTGCTGAAGACCTATTCTACCCCGGATCTTCACGGGTCTACTGTAGCGAAGAGTTATCTGGGCACCATTTCAAAAGAAAGCTGGCCAAAACATGTAAATGGTTAGTGTATAGAGAATCAGAAAGTTGCATGTATTGTAGTGTGTGTCCGAAACTTTAAAGAAGTACCAAGAACAATACAATTAGAACTGGCAGTAAATCAATAAGATTGAGTGTTGTTGAGACGCAGAGGCATGTGAATTAGCTGACTTTAAGCATATTCAAGTATTGAAAAATGTATACACCGTGACTTTTTAAAATTGCACACACACACACACACACACACACACACACACACACACACACACACACACACACACACACACACACACACACACACACACACACACACACCATTCTCCTCAATCGGACGGATAATAATGACAAGTAAGCAAAAGATTTGATCGGACATGAACTGAAAAACTCTGAATATTACTGACACTCCTCGTGTATTTGCTTCCTGATCACATACATCTACAGTTTATATGTACCGTGTGCAGACTGAGTGTGAGTGCAACATGGTTTAGTCTGGTGCAACCAGGTTTTGATGTCAACATGCACCAGATGCAAGCTGATTCTCATTCCTTAAATCGAGCCCTGATATCTATGGCCGGACAACACAACACAACATTGTCCAGCTGCTGAAACGTTAGTATGTCTCGTAACATTGTGAACAAGCATGCATGCAGTATGGTGTTAATGTATATAACATTGTCATCACACACACATCTCAACAGTACACTAGTCGGGCACTCTACTACACAATGTATTTCTCTAGACACAGACAACCATGCACATTCTGGTCACCTAGACCCTTCTCACCAAGGGCCAAATATTCAGTGAAGCTTTCAGCTAATTTTCAGCTTTTTTAGGTCCAGACAAATCCAAGCTGACAATATGAGTGAGTAAGGTTTTTAATGTTACTTTGCAATATTCCAACTATATCATAGCAGATGACACCAAGAATGAGCTTCACTCATTGTATCCTTGAGGGTAATTGAGCCTGGGTCTTCAGCATGACAAGCGACTGATTTAACCACCAATAAACAACCCTGCCGCCCACCAGGGCAGATAAGGTCCCCCCTTCTTCGTGGGGACCAGGTGTCATAGTGTATAACAAGGCAGATGACGTTGATAAAACTGATCATTGCTCATGCCATCAACCACTTGTTAAGTGCATGCCACCATGATACAGCTGGAATACAGCGCCGAAAACATTCACTCAGCCACTCTGTTGAGTTGAGGTTTAACCATGAACCCAGTGGGAGACACAGCCATGTCCACTTCAACTTCCTGTACAGAACGACACATCCATACCCTACACCTGTCCTGTGTCAGTGCTGGTGAGTTAGACGACTGTGTTAGCACTACATTGATGGGTGATTAGGTCATGCTGCAAGGTCTCGGACTAATCACATCCTACTGCTCAGCTTTATTAGTAGGGTATGGTTTGTGACAATCTCATTAAAATCAGATCTTTTACTACAGTTTGATGCCTATCTCAAGATCCAACAAACCCATTACTTTTTCAGGGATCAGCTTTTTAATATGATCATTATGGAATTGTCAACATGATAAGTTTCTGACTGGTTAAGAAATTTCAGTCTGAAAAAAGTAAAACATCCATGAAAAACAAACTCCCTCGATAGTACAATTTTTTGGGTGACACTGACATATCTATCAGACACAACAGAGTGTAACTAATCCCAACATTTGGCCATAGTTATTTTCCATTCAGAACTGCCTGTTCATGTTTGTTTCTGAGACAGACATGGTGCATTAAATGCCTTATTACCTCATACGAAAATCAGGAGCCTTCACACTGATTGGCTGATTCGAAAGTTCTCCTGTCATGACCTCTTATGGAGGGTTTGTCATTTCCAGGCGGGAAAGTTAAAGATCTGATTTCATTGGATTACTGTGGTCAACAACTTGAAGATCAAGCTAAATATTATTTCTTATTAAATAAACTGAAACATGATAAACATGTTTTCATTCAAGTCTCAGTTGAAGCCAAAGCATTGTTCTTTCCAATAAGACTTAATCCTTCAAGCAGTCATATCAAACATAGACTATCTTAGTGCTACATTACACAAAGGAACATCTGAAACATGGTTATTTCTTCAAGTATAAACACAAGTACTGCAATAAGGCATGCAAAGCTAAATCAACTGATACGGATGCCGCCTGGCAGAGGTATAGCTTACATCTGGGATAAAAGTGCCATTTCCATCCAACTGAAAGTGCAAGTTGTTAGAGAGAACTGGTAATATGCTAGTCTAGATAGAAGATGGGAATGTTGGATAAATACAAACAGAAAGTTAACGCAAATTATATCCATATGAATTTGTCAGGGGGACAATCCATACCTAATTTAAACCTGTTGTGGACTAACTTAACAAATCTTGTGCTGAAAGAAATTCATTAGACAATATGGTTGTTGTTTGTTTGTTGTTTAACGCCGCACTCAGCAATATTCCAGTGATATGACGGTGGTCTGTAAATAATCGAATCTGGACCAGACAATCCAGTGACTGACATCATGAGCATCGATCCACGCAATTGGGACATGATGACATGCATCAACCAAGTCAGTTACCATCCTTGTCATGGTACAGATTGCTGGTGGGAACTATGAATAGCTATTCCATAAATGGAAATTGAGGTGATGAGCTCTGCCCTGTGTAAATATATTTCTAGGGTTCTGCTTATATATGGGTCTTCATCTCTTAGGGGAATGAAAGATACATGTACTTGAATAGTTGGAAATACTCATGTTGCTGTAGTTAGATAAGGTTTGTTTGTGTGTTGTTTAACGCCACACTCAGCAATATTCCAGCTGTAAATAATTGAGTATGGGCTAGACAATCCAGTGATTGACATCATGAGCATCGATCCACTCAATTGGGACATGATGACATGCATCAACCAAGTCAGTGAGCCTGACCACACGATCCAGTTAGGCACCTCTTACAAGCATAATCGCCTTTTACGGCAAGCATGGGTTGCTGAAGACCTACCCCAGATCTTCCAGGGGCCATTAGGCAATATCACTGTTTTGACGGATTGCAATTTCTTGCATTTTCATTAAATGCATTTGCATGTTATTGGGAAAGAGGGGCGTTGTTCCTATACTGCATTGGAGGAGCAAGACTTCACTTCTCAAGTTCTTATATATATTTGTTACAAAATTGCAAAAAACAGACACAACCAGGGAGGTTCTCAGCATTCAGTTATGAATGAACCAGACAAAAGTCACCATCAAAGACAAACAGGCATATCTATCTAAAAAGGATGATGTCCTTTAAACTGCAAAAAGAATATAGGCTGTACTAAAGGATAAAAGTAACTCAAGAATAAAGGCTGTATTAATGGATCAAAGTTCCCTACAATAAAGGCTGTACTAAAGGATAAAAGTAACTCTAGAATAAAGGCTGTACTAAAGGATAAAAGTAACTCTAGAATAAAGGCTGTATTAATGGATCAAAGTAACTCTTGGGTGTTTTGGTAGCGGCTAAACCTTCTGTATAGTCTTATGGATTAAAACAGTAAAAAATTACAGAATACTGATGTTTTTCTACCAGGAAATCAAGGTCATGTTAAATGGACACCATCCTTCTTAGATGCTCTTCTCATAGAGGCAGTAACATGTAGCTGAAGTGAAGAGTACATTCTTCAAGAGAGAAAGGAGAAGATGCAAGAAATGTTTCTGTAGTTAGTTCATTCCTCACAATAAAGGGTTAGGTTAACAAGCAAAATATATTTGACACATTTACCTTGTACATGGGGAATATATCTGACACATTTACCTTGTACATGGGAAATATATCTGACACATTTACCTTGTACATGGGAAATATATCTGACACATTTACCTTGTACATTGGAAATATATCTGACACATTTACCTTGTACATGGGAAATATATCTGACACATTTACCTTGTACATGGGAAATATATCCGACACATTTACCACGTACATGGGAAATATCTCTGACACATTTACCATGTACATGGGAAATATATCTGACACATTTACCACGTACATGGGAAATATATCTGACACATTTACCTTGTACATGGGAAATATATCTGACACATTTACCCTGTACATGGGAAATATATCTGACACATTTACCTTTTACATGGAAAATATATATCTGACACATTTACCTTGAACATGGGAAATATATCTGACACATTTACCTTCTACATGGAAAATATATATCTGACACATTTACCTTGAACATGGGAAATATATCTGACACCTTCTCTATTGTGCTTGGGAAATATATCTGACATGTTCTGTCTCTTACTTGGGAAATATATCTGACATCTTCAGTCTTATACAAAGGAAATATCTGTGACAGTGATCAACACATAATCTATTTGTCGAAAATTGTTTTCTTAAAACCTTTCTGTTCTTAGTGATCTTGAACATTATTCAGGATTATAAACTTTAAACTGTAATTCCCACTGACCTGTCTACAAGGCAGTAGGACCCAAATGCCAGGACAGTATTTTCTCTGGCAGAGAGACACATGCAGAGTGGACTGTATCATTGTACTTACAGTGCAGCTCGTGATCCAAAACTCCGTCTTGACAATATGTAACTGGTACATCATCTTAGCCAGGATGACCAGAGCGGTCCAGATCATGGTGACATGCGACAGCACGATGTGGATCCGAGAGATGGGCAAGATGGCTGCCATCAGGATGATGTACACCGCAGTGATTGCAGACACCTTCAAGTGACAACATCATATCTTACAATTAGGGTTTACACTTGCAGTGAGTGAGCTAAGGCTTAAGGGACATCAGAAGCGTTTCACCAATTATGTGACGTCAGAAAACATGTTATGATTTGGTATTACCCTCAACCAAGAACAGCACACTGTCCAGTGACATGTAAGAGTTACCTACGTCCCGTTGGTCCCCCTTGGCGACTTAACTGTGGATGCCGGCATACTATAGTGATAGTTGGTGTTGTTTTACAGTTCAATCTTTTTTACGTTCTGTGTCCTGTTCCACAAAGCAATCTTAGCTCTAAGATCATTGTAACTCCCATACTTTACCATAGGCTTTCATTAGTCATGGCGCTAAGATCAATTTGTGGAACAGGACACAGGAGAACACAAAAAAGATTGAACAGTAAAACACCAAGTATCACTATAGAATGCCAGCAACCAAAGTTAGGCTACCATATTGGGGACCAAGGGGACTTACGGTACATCTGCTACCTGCATGGTACCCTAGTAGGATTTACATCATCCCCAACCAGTGAATAAACCCAAGCACAAGTGTACTCATGTTAGATAAATCTGTAAGGGATGGTTTACTTCTTGATGGACATAAGGCCCAATATGACAGCGAGATGTAAGCACCCTACTTAGCTTGGCCCAGATTAATCTGTGCAATCAAGGCTATGTCTACCTCCTACAAAGCAATCATTGCTCTACAACTCCTTTATCTTGGCCAAAAACAGACAGCAGTCAGCTAAAGAGTTACTTTCCTGGCAGGAAGACATGGAGAGTCAGCATGTGGAATTTATTAATTAGGACATATTGTATTTGCAAACTTGACATGATGGTGTTAAAAAAGAGAAAAACTACTTCAACCTGGAAAGTATTAAATCAATAAATATGGAGGTGATATACTCAGTGTTCAGTCTCAAGAGCATATCTGAAACCTGTGAATTAAAAATTAATTGAATTATGTAACTAAATTGTGACTTTATTTTCTGTGAATAACATGGCTGATCAACTGTATTGGTTTTGTTACGAGTACAAAACAACTCAATGTTCAACCATGGAATATAATATCTGATCATACCTCATTGACAGCAACGACCACTATGACAAAAACGACGAGCTTAAAGATGTGTATCTCTGTGAGCCTCCAGAGGAAAGTCGAGACAGAGCCCCACAAACTGCTGGCCTTATTCCACAGCCTGAAGAACAGTAGTGTTAACCGTCGGCGCCAACCTGCAACAGTGAACCAATCAGTGAGAGGATGCAGTATTAGTCTGTATTACACAGTTACTGAGATGGCCTGAAGAACAGTAGTGTTAACCGTTGGCGCCAACCTGCAACAGTGAACCAATATGGTCACTGCATGTTACCCTGAGTGGATGCAGTATTAGTCTGTATTACACAGTTACTGATGGCCTAAAGAATAATAGTGCTAACCGTTGGCGCCAACCTGCAACAGTGAACCAATCTGCTCATTAGGTGTTACAATGAGTGGATGCAGTATTACTCTGTATTACACAGTTACTGATGGCCTAAAGAACAATAGTGTTAACCGTTGGCGCCAACCTGCAACAGTGAACCAATCTGCTCATTAGGTGTTACAATGAGTGGATGCAGTATTACTCTGTATTACACAGTTACTGATGGCCTAAAGAATAATAGTGCTAACCGTTGGCGCCAACCTGCAACAGTGAACCAATCTGCTCATTAGGTGTTACAATGAGTGGATGCAGTATTAGTCTGTATTACACAGTTACTGATGGCCTGAAGAACAGTAGTGTTAACCATTGGCGCCAACCTGCAACAGTGAACCAATATGGTCACTGCATGTTACCCTGAGTGGATGCAGTATTAGTCTGTATTACACAGTTACTGATGGCCTAAAGAATAATAGTGCTAACCGTTGGCGCCAACCTGCAACAGTGAACCAATCTGCTCATTAGGTGTTACAATGAGTGGATGCAGTATTACTCTGTATTACACAGTTACTGATGGCCTAAAGAACAATAGTGCTAACCGTTGGCGCCAACCTGCAACAGTGAACCAATCTGCTCATTAGGTGTTACAATGAGTGGATGCAGTATTACTCTGTATTACACAGTTACATGTTTACCACTTTGGTGGTCTATAAGCAATGGTATGGTGCTGCTCAGAAGTACATGATTTACAGTAATGCACAGTAAACACTTGTTCCCTGCAATGCTCACGTCTGGACTTCCTGCTGATTTCGGACTCCGTGTCTGTGGTGCCACCTGCCTCATCGGTCGTGTAGTCTGCTGGCGTCGAGTCTGTCTGGTCCTCATGCCTATACAGAAAACACAGGGCTCATTAATTTACAGACTAAATGTGTAGCACTTCCAGACACAGTTTATACAGACAAACAATCAAGCCTGCATAAACAACATTACAAGTTATAAGGACTTTGTCTCTTTCCATCAGAAGTAGCTGAAGTATACTTCTTCTTTATTAACAGGTGGCAACAACAAAGCATGACACCACATGAGTCCTTCTTGTACATCATCTCTACCTGCGGTAAAACTACTCCACATTCTACCAGCAATAACTGTCACAAAATCTAATAAATAAACTAAAAGCACTGAAACACGTATTATTTGTTAACTTCACAATGTTTCAGAGTATGTTCCCCAGGATGGTCCACTGCCAGGGTCCTGTCACATTTTACCACACACCGAGTCCCCTGAAACAATCAGCTCCATGTCAAAGGCATGCTTTGAGCTAGTAGAAATCTAGATGACCACATACATTGGCCATTATTTTTAAAAGTCAAGCTGTTGTCTATAGCTATGACAACTGAATCACCGTGACTCACTTGTATCTGTCCAGGGCGGACATCCTGAGGAAGGGACTGTGGAAGTAATGAACCTGGAGGATGACGACGATCAGAAAGCTGGTTGGTGTCAGCAGTTTGATGAACAGACCAGCCGTGTCATACAGCTCCAAACCAATGTCCTTCAACCTAAAACACAGAAACCATAAACATGAATATTGATGACTGGTATTCTAACCTTGAAAATCCAACTGTGGAGGAAGATGAGTTCTTTGATAGTGACTCCATGTCCTGTTACATATAGCTTCGAAACAAGTAGAATCTAATTGATGTCTTACGTCTGATCGGACAGTCCAGTGCTGTTACTCCAGTAGCCAGGGAACTGCTTGAACTGGTAGGTGTAGATGATGATGAGGACACCCATGGAGTAGACTGTCACCACCCACCAGAAAATGTACATCACCCCTCGCCACACCGTGAACGACAGCTACAGACACAAGCGTACATCAACGTTACTCCATGGCAAAGCAATACCTCATCACTGAATGAACAACTTACTAGATATTCTAATTTTCTATTGAGTGAGTGAGTGAGTGAGTGAGTGAGTGAGTGAGTGAATAGGATTTGATGCATCCATTCACAGTTCGTTAATCCTGAAGAGGTCTTCTAATGTTGTCACGGATGTAAGTTTATTCCTATCAGTGTTATTTCAGTGAATCATAGAAACTTGCACATAGCAACTGAAATGGAGAAGACAAATCACTCCTACCATCGAGGTTCCATTTTTGTGTTCCTTGTCACATTGGCGGAGTCAAAGCTTAGAACAGGACACAATTCCACAGGACAATCTTAGCACTAAGATCATATTGTGAAACTGGTCTAAGTGGAAATTCATCTTAGTGTACCTACTCCTCCTTTTTTCCATTGGGTTAAGGGACACACGGAATGATTTGGGGCTGTTCCCACATTAAACAGTATTACAGTTATATCACAGCATGTCAGTTGAATGTAAGAAGAAGGCCTAAAGTGCAGGTCTATCCAACAGAACAGTAGGATCATCATAAGGGTGAATCTGGAATTTGAACCCATGGTCACCAGATCCTGGCACCACTAAGGGGCACAACTCTTCCAACGAAATAGTGATTATAGCTAACTAGACTCTAACTAGGCTACAGTACCTGGAAGGCGATGACAAAGAGCAGGAACAGGAACATATAGATGATGCGGTAGACGACCACGTCCTGGATGGCGATGACCAACATGATGGTAGCGCACGCGAAGACCCAGTACTTGCACAGTAGGACCTTCAGGTAGTTACCTAAAGGGGAGTAACTCTAGGTCACCATCACATCTTGAAAAACTGTTTCTCGTATCTTTCAAGTGATCACTTTGACAAACTAGCTTAACTTTCTGATGTAGATGTGATAATGAATCCATACATTATGAAAGGGATCATGAAAAAATATATTTTGTTAACAGTTTGGTTTTTTATGTTGCATATTTACAGTTAATATCTAGGGGAATATATGGGGAAGTCTACACAATAACACAAAATATACTGGCTGTATGGCAATTCCAAGATATACTCAATAAAGGCGAGGGGATTACAAAACAGTAAAAAGTGTAAATGTACAGCTTCATTAGGAAATAATAGATAATATGATAAAAATAAAACAGACGAAATATGATATTATAAAGCTATATAAAACATTCAAATGCCTGGTATACAGCATTGTGAATGTTCAAGCATAATACCTGACGATCACATCTGGTCACAATTAATATTTCCAGAATTAACAAATACGTCTCCATCACAGTTACAAATGATCAGGCCCCCGTTCCATAAAGTAATATTAGCCCAATGACTACCGCAAGCCCATCTTAAAGTATGGGAGTTACGATCACTTTAGTGCTAAGATCACTTTGTGGAATGGACTCCAGCACAGCCATTTTGCATGTCCAATGCTGAAGTTGTTTGGGTCACTGATTTGTTGATACAGATGAAACTGAAATGGTGAAAGGCAGTTATTTCTTGCCCTTTTTTCAGTGATGTCATCATTTAATAGATGATTCATGAACATGAACTATGTCACCTGGGTTTTTTTCCAATTGCATGGTCAAAAGTGTCAAAAAATGTATTCACTAAAACTAACAATTACACCCAAAGACAATTTAAACCTTCATACCCTAATGATGATCAGATGTCAAGGTTACATGAGAAAAACAAAGCATATATATTGTAAAATATAAACCCCAAAAAATATACTATTGTAAAAAGAAAATATGGTCCAATACATGTTTTTCAAATAAATTAAATCAAAAACAATCACAACCCCCCAATAACAACCAAAGAGCATCAACATTCCTGAAAGCAGAACAATAGTAAAGGCAAGCAAAAACCAACCCAAACACCCTCAGTTCTATGATGGTATAACCTGATCCTATACTAAACACAATGTCAAGGATAATACCATCATAGAAATGAGGGTGTGAAGAGGCACAAACAAGAACCTTGGCATTGGCCTACCTATCATCTTGGTGGAATTGCTATCATATCCATCGACCATGTCCGTCTCTAGAGGAAGATCTGCAAGCCATGCAACGTAAAGATATCCGAAAGTGAGGAACAAGCATGCGCAAAGAAATACCACTATGTACATAGCAAGGGCCTAACTGAACATCACCACAGATACCTACAGTCCTGTTCGCTTCAGAGTGAGTGAGTGAGTGTTGTTTTATTCTGTAATCAGCAGCACGGCAGCTGTAGAGGTTGATCCATATCGACAGGGTAAGATGGCACACAATCAGCCACACTCGCCACCGATTCCCCAAGTCTGGGTCAATATACTAGTGGTCGACACCATGAGCAACAATGCACGCCATCAGGAATCCCTAAAGGGACTCTAATGACAAGCACGGGTAAGTGCTCATGGGGACCTTTTCTGTTCTTCAATCCCTACAATATTCATGTTTTAAGCATAGAACAGCTGTGACAAGTTGAACAGGAGTTACAACTCTGTATGTTTCTAAAGAAGTGCTTTAACACGTCACTATCAAGAAAGGCAAAACAGACAAACCCTTTACTTTTTTTCGAAAACAGAGAGATTTTGATAGGCTAAATAGTAGTTCAACTTATCGACATGGCTGTTTCAGTGATCAACCCAACACCACAAAACCTGAGAAGTTAGACACGTGCAATCACACGGAAGTTGACAGATGTAGGCAAAACCAACAGTTAGAACCGAAATTGTATGACAAGGGAGATAGCTCTGCCCATATGTCAGCTCCACTTTACATCAGTATTTGAAAGAGAGTCCATCCACCAGTCCAAGAATGACCATTCGTTGACAGGAAATGTTACTGTGTCTGAACATAAACCTCAGGAAACAGTTCAGACAAATAATAGTGGTGTCATGAACACTGCTTACATCAAGGTCATATTTTCTGCTACCATTTTTCAAAGGTGGCATTTGCATTTCAATGATAGCAAAATCCAAACTTTCACAAAGAAGATTACTAACACTGAACTAATCCCCCATTATAGTCTCATCATAAATTTTAGTGCAGTTTTCCAACATAACCTTTTTATTGACAAACAGTTGGAAAAAGTCAAAATAGCAAACTTGCCTTTTGACAGTTAGTTCCCTCAAATGCCAAATTGGTAGGAATTTGCTACCAAATGCTTTTAAGTTGATAAAAATGATTTTTATGTATTTACTACAACCTAAGACCCAGAGATAATAAATACCAAACCAAAAAGTTAGTCATGAATATTTTGAGGGATATTGGGGATATGTAGAGAAGATGGAGCACACACTTTCATAGTAATATCCCCCAAACTATTCATGAACCCTAGCTTTTCCTGTTCAGTATACATGTGTGTACCACTGACTTTAAGCCCTGTGAAATATTGGACTTGGTACTAGTGCTGTACAGGGTCTTCATGCACAGAGCCATTGTAGCGCTACACCTATCGTAAGTATGGGAGTTACGATAGACGTAGGGCTGAGACAGCTTTGTGCAACTGGGCCCTGATCGTACAGAAACTCACTCTTTTCGTTACAAGACTTGTTTCACACAGTGATGATATTCAGACAGGGTTTCCACAGATATCTGAATCTGCCAATATGGCCATCATAAAACCATCTATCTATGTAACAATTGGTGCTGTTAGTATAAGGTATGTTATAGGTTTATTGTGTTATGTATTGATGATGATGATGATGATGATGTTATAAAGGTGTACTTGGTAAAATATGAATGAAGAATGGTGAATTATTGGAGGAAATAATGATGCTGATTAAGGTGGTGATGATGATCAAAGATGGGTGTGTGAGGTAACACAAAGTGATACTTTGAGGACAATGAGTGGGGTCATGGTGGTGGTGATGGTAGTGATGACGATGATGGTGGTGATGATGGTGGTGATGGTGAAGCTTTTGATGATAATATGAGGGACACAACACAAAAGCAACACAAAAACATGAAACATTGAAAGCAATGAATCTACACATTCAGTAGCATCATGCATGTCTCTCTAAATATTTAAACTTATACCAAACCAAATTTATTAATTTATACAATTTTTCAAATAGAAATTAAAACAGTTTAACTGCTGAAACAGATTATCATCTTGTTGAGAGAGACACCCATGTTGAAGCATATGACAGTAGGATGAGGGTGAAAGTTGTCTAGTCAGCACATTGAGAAACTTCTGCACAGGTTGTTATTCACCAGGACTAGTTGTGATCAGTGCAGAGGCTGACACAACCCTCAAACCGTAACCACTCAATGTTATCATACATAATATAAGAACCACAGCATTGCTGGTGCCTTGAAATCAAGCAGAGCCTGGTTCAATGGTCATCAGAACAAAGGGTATTGTATAAAACATGATCAGTACCCATCCTCGAGCTCAAGATAAAAGTCCCACTCACAACAAAATACTAACAACTCTCCCACAATTCCTTCTGTTATTGTTTGGTCCCATTTTGCACACGAAAATTATTATATAACTGGCAAAAAATTACCAACAAAAGACATTCCTTAATTAGAACCCTCGATATCCTAACAAATTCAAACAGCATTATGTCATAATGAGAATCAGTATGCTTATTACATCATGAAATGACATTATAGTTGTGTCTGCCTCTGAAAGCACCATTAGCAAATGTCAGACCAAAACGATCGTGAATTATTAATCTGTGGTAAGCATCGTGTTAATAGGGCCATAAGCAAGCAACATACGAAGTGATTATCAGGAATGAGTGAAAAACTAAACCATTTTGATGATGGATGATTGACAACTGGGATGACATTTAGCATTGATACACAACAAGGGCAATGATATGACAGTGTTATGAGTGCATCACAGATCACAGAGGATAACATGATCAACAAGGGTGCTTCAGGTTGGATAAATCACTTATACAACAGGGAATGACAAATGAGCCTCATATCATACATCAAAGTGAGTAAAGGTTTGTGACATTTAAATTAACTACCACAAAAGTTAATTGATGAGGCCAGATCAACCTTTTAGTATTCAAACCTTTATGGCTTAAGTAATGATAAGGATGAAACTAAAAATAGTTATTTTCCATAAAACATTTTGATCACAGGATAATCACAATGTAGGGATTGACTACTTGATTAGCAGGAGAGAACATCTCAGCAAACATACCTAACTACGGAAGTCACACTTGACTATTGCTACCTGTAAACAACTGTTTATGAACAACAAAAGTCATGGCTGTATTTGTGTATAACTGCATGGTCATCGCTTTTCTCAGGCAATTCAGTATGGTGCTAGAGATAGTTATGCACTGATGTTCTCAAAGATAGCAAGCATGCCAAAAATAATCATAGTTTTCATTCAATTTTTTAATCTAAAATGACAAGTTTGTGGTACTTTCTTGCATATTTCAAATAAAAATATGAACTAAAATATAATATATATAATTTTTGTTTCAAATAAGAATGTCAGGCCAAAAGATTGCAAGATCCTTCAAAATTGTCCAATCTAGCTTAAAATACAGCAGGGCTCCAATCCTGAAACCATTAGCTGCACTACAACAGTCATAAGTCTATATCAAACTATAGAGTTACGATAGTCGTAGCACTATAAACATTTTCTGAACTGGGGCCCTGATAGACTCCTTCTCTTTGTACCAACACTGATGATAACATGCATTCATACATCAAACTGCAGCGCTGTCTGCCGTTTACAAGACCCCCGATCCCCCACTCACTCAGGAAGTCTGTGAAGGACTTCTTCTTGGTTGCTGATCCATCGACCGGTTCTAGAGGCAGCCCTTGGTTCTGTTCCGGAGTTGTCTGTCTCTCCCTCATGAACTGTCGCAGAGTCAGCCAGAAGAACAATGTGAAGAGCACCTGCGAAGCAGTTGGAAAGGCAATAACACCTACTGTGGCAAGAAATCTCCTTGAGGCATGGTTGAACTACTAGTCTACCAAAGAGGTTGCCTGTCACAGATATAATTCTGTCAGGACACCATTCTGACCATCGGATCACCATTCCTGTCATCTCATACAACAAGCATGTGTAAATCTAAAATGAATAATTGATATCAATCCAATGACAACATTGTGACACAGATTAAGGGAAAATATTCAATTCTTTTAATGCGAAGAATGACATTCCTAAGAGAACATTCAGATCAGCGTGTGCACCTTTCCTAAAAGAAATCGGATAAAAAATATTGGCCGGTCTTTGCGGAATATAATATCGAACAAAACTTTTTATCAAAGTATACTAGCTGCCACAAACTTGACCCTAAATTACTCCACAAATCAGCCATAATGACAACTTACCTGTGCGGCCAGATACAAGCATGGGATCTCGTATCTCTTGAGACCGATCTCGCTGTACGTGACGGGGCCTGCATCTGTAGGCAGCTCATTAGGCAGGTTCATGCCGTAGATGAACTGGATGATGAGGAGGGCCTCAGCGTAGAACACAATGACTGGTGACATGACGAGGCAGGCACGGCGGGACTTGGGGATCATCCACAGGATGCATGCAAGCAGGAGGAGTACGAACGTCAGCCAACTGTGGAAGGTGATGCTCCAGGCCTGGGGGCAGAGTACAGACAGCATGAGTGCTTCTAGCAGTCTTGCTAATCTTATTTCACTATATTGATAGTAGATAAGTAAAAGTGAGTAACAGTCAGCAAATACTAATTATTTGCACAACTTATTATGGATAGTTGACAGTGAAGAGGACTTCTGTTGAAAATCTGCAGATTTTACAGTGTGATGACAGCTGAAATACAGGATTTGGTATTCAACAGAATTTTTCTAATTAATAATTGATGCGGAGGCACGCACCACACAAGTTACTCATGTCTGTATTCAAACCTGGTCTCCTTGTGTGTGAAAAACCAACACATCAACCATGGTGCTATCATAAATTCAACTCGATAATTGTTAGTTTTGTGGAAATGTGAAATGTAAAATGTAAAACTTAAAAGTGCTATGTTTAATTGAATCTGACTTCAACAACGTCAGGAAAGGAAGAATCATTTCAAGACAAGTTTTGCTTTTGCTGAAGTACGAAAGAGGCCTTTCAGAGAACCTGCAAACACAGCAGTTACAGTCAGGTACAGTGAAAGAAGGGGGTTCAAATTTTTAATGAAATGTAGTTTAATATCACAAAGGTACTCTTTATTTGTTCATGTCTCTGGGGTTTGTATGTGATTGTCAAAAAAAGCCCCATGACACATTCACCCATTCCCTCCAAATCCACTCCTACAAAAACTTGTTGACTATACAAGACATCTTTCTGTCAGTTCCTACCATCATGGCAATGAGAGTAAGGACGTAGCTCTGCTTCATGATGTAGACAAACATGGACACCATGGCCGTCCTCTTCTGCTCCTTCTCCTTCCTCGGAGGATCTGCCACGGTCTCTTCATCCGTCTCCTCGTCCTCTCGGGACGTGGATGCCTTGGGTGTTCCATCAGCATTGATGGGTTCGATAGTGCTGTAGCCAGTATTTTCTGCATCGTCAACTAGAAGCTACAAGAGAACTCTTCCTATGTTAGTTCAAAATTAACGCCATAACAACTCTAAGCATTAAAGCAAAGACAGATCGGTCTGAGACACAGAGAGGCCTTTGTCTTGAACAGTAAGCAAAACATGTTGCATCCTCAAAATACCACAAGACTTTCAACCAACTTCTAGGTCACTATGACATTGAAGCAACTGTCATATTAATCTATTAATTTGTGCAAACTATGATCTAAAGGCAGCGCTTAATCTTCCAATCTCATTAAAATCAGAACTTTAACGTTGGTACAATACCTCTTGCATGAAGATTTGACAACACCTACACAAGAGTTCAGGGCAAATGAACTAAGGAGCAATTAAAACCATCATATCGTAATTTGACAATGGTGTAAGATTCTGCATCGAAACGTTGCTAAACATAAGAAACAAGAAGTTCTTATCCATATAGATGTGTGTTTTCTTATTTACTCACCTACTTCTCAAATACCAGTCAAGCAGATATCTAATATCATTACCTCAAAAACCAAATGAACCTGTAAGTTCCAAATGTAAATAATTAAGGCAACCACATTATCAAAGAAATATTTGAGTTTTCTTACACTGAAGTTTCTGAATCAAGGCGGTAAAGCTATGAAGCTGAACTGTCCAGAAAGGACATCTCATTGGCTTAAGAATCTATGAAGCTTTATTTCAACTGGGCAGTCGACGTTTGCTCAGGGTTCACCTGACACGACCTTCTATGGAGGTGCCAAGATCTTCATGCAGAGATATCATATTGGAGAAAACGATGTAAGTTTATTGAAATTGTCTCGTAGAAAATGTAATGCCAGTTCACATCACTGTAATACACATTTGCACATTTATTTAAAGGCTTTTTTCAAAAGAATGAGAATAACAACATTTTACTTTAAAATACACTTCCTTGAAAACAAAACCTTGAAAAAAGTGCTTAGCAACAAATTGTAGCAAGCAACATAGATGAAAGAAGAAATTAATAGTAAATTAGTTCCAGTGATAAATACAGTAAATATGTATAAGTAATTGTACATATTCCATATACATGAAGGCAATATATATTTTCAAATGATCTTTAATGGATATTATCTGTTATTTGGGTGTTAATAATATAAAAATAAAAGATATGTCATACAATATACTCTAATGATAGTTTTTCAAAACCTGTACTGATATATAATATGCAATAATAGGCCTGTTTCCTTCCATAAACCTTGGTTTACATATACGTCTAAAAACTCAGGACCACCTGCTTCTTTCATATACAAAAGTTAATCTGTCATGGCATGAGAGATTAACTACAGTAATATGAAAGAATCGGGTGCTCCTTCACAATTCTTTTTAGTATATATTTGAAAACCCCAAATTTCACAAATATGAAATCAATTAAAATTCAGAAAACAGCAAAGGGAGGTAACCCTTTGACTTGTTATTCAATAGAGATCAGACTTTGTGATCATTTTGGATGCTTTTTCTTTAATTTGCCTTAAAATTTCGTAAACCAAGTAAAAAATTGGAGAGGCCTAAAATATATAATGAAATAATCCCACATATCACATACATAGATATTGTTATGTAACATATGGACACTAAGGAATGGTGGAGCTATGGAGTAATGTGATGTTAATGACTTACATAGGTAACATAATTTCATTCATAATTTGGAAATAATTCAGTTAAATAAATACAAGTGAGTACATGTGGAACACATCTTGCACATTGTTCCTAAGTAAGTTGATAAACAGCCACGACAACCATTCAGTATATCTACCTTAAGTATAGTCTGAAAAAGATTATTGATATTTTACTTAAACTATTTGAATATGAAACTGAAAATACCAGACCAGGAATCTATAATTCAACATGGGTTGTCACAGAGTAAAGGATTTGTTGTAAATAAATTATGAGGAAAACAAGCTTCTATATATTTGCATCGTTTATTCTACTTTATTCTACGTTAAATTGTCATTACCGTATTTGATGTAATAAGCGCCCAGGGCGCTCTCAAAATTAGAAATAGGGGGCCCTTATTAGAATATTATAATATAGTTGAAAGATAAATTTCGTGGTTCATGCTGACAGCCTGAAATGTTTATGTACGAGAGATATATTTTTCCAGAATATAATTGCCCATAATTAAGGGTGCATATAACACATGAGTGCGTATTATATGCGAATAAATAAGTCTTGTGTACATTGATCACTTGGAAAGGGTGCTAATTGGGATTGTTCATTAGCTAATGTATTAGCAAATATCGCCGTGGGCGCTTATTACGTCGAATACGGTAATGTTGTACAGTAGGAAGATATTTAAGGTGAGGGGTATGTAAAATATGCACACAGGAAACCTCTCAGTATAAGGTCATATTGACCTCATTAACAGAGTTCCTGTGTGCACATTTTGGAGCAGACGTTGAAATTTGTTGATGAATATTCTATGAAATATTCTACCTTGATGATATGTGATCTCAAACAGAGTAGACCGATGAGATATTTATACACACTTGCTCCTATATGCCATTCTTCCTTGTCTATTAGACTTTTTACACCAATGGCAACTGTCTCAAGTCATCACTAAGAAGCGTGTGTTATTGCACAGGGAAGATTAACTCATCCTCGATATTCCAGTGTATTATATCTCCATTCTGTTATGAAAATACCCTAGACGTATTCGCTACCATAGATTCGTTTTGAGCCTGATTTGTATAACAGGATGTTAAAAATAGCAATCCAATAAAATTACACTCAAAATCAAGAGAAATATGGTGCAAAGTTAATGATTGGTTGGTTGGTTTGTTGTTTAACGCCGCACTCAGCAATATCCCAGCTATATGACGGCGGTCTGTACATAATCGAGTCTGGACCAGTCAATCCAGTGATTAATGTCATGAGCATCGATCCACGCAATTGAGATCGATGACATGGAGCAACCAAGTCAGCGAGCCTGACAACCCGATCCTGTTAGTTGCCTTTTATGACAAGCATAGACACCTTTTACAGCAAGCATGCAACGTTAATGATGAGAGCGATGGAGATGGTGACGTCACTCCAGAAATGAAGCTAGTGTGGCGAACAGGTCAAGGGTATTTATCCTAATAGAATGGAGACAAAATGTCTAGGATATTCAGTGATGACATTAACACTTTCCTAGGGGTAAGAAATACACTTACCACATGAACTGACCTTGAACAAACTGATCATATCAATATCATTACCTAAACACCTCCAAATTCACAAAATTATCTACACCTTTGATGAAATTTGACTGATTTTTTACTTGAAAAGCAACTAGCGGCATCCAAACCCAGGCTTAACCTAGTTGGACCCGAACTGCCATACATAAACAGAAATATACTACCTAATTTGATAGGGACGCATTTTTCATTTTCCACGCCCACAACGGAAATCCTTACATCACATTTCTTGTATACACTTCAGTATCAATTTGCCGATGTTGGGCAACTATTTGATTCTTAAATATGTCATATGTGTAATTACTACTTCAAAGGGGACTAAGTTACAAACAGAGTGGTGCTGTAACAACTTGAAGAAACTTGTTGGAACTGGTTCCCCTTTTAGGTCATGTGACATGACAACGACCCTAACCAGTCACTTGGACTCCTGCCCAGCATGGAGTACTCCCATGTCCAGAGTAAGACAGCTGCTTACTTAACCAACTAAACATTATACTGCCCACTCCAAGCTAGATCTTACGATATTTCAATAGCCCTATAAATTCCAAAGTATGTATTGGCCTACTGCTTTATACAATGTATAATAAGGATAGATTAAATTCAATGGAAAGTGGTAGACATGTACATGTATACTAGACAATGGGATATTTAACCAGCCTCAGGAAAGCGAAGGCGACCCGCCTTGCATATACTGTAAAGGATGAGTGAGTGAGTTGTGTTTTATGCCGATTTTAGCAATATTACGTCAGGGGACACCAGAATGGGCTTCACATGTTATACCCAAGTGGGAAATCAAACCCGGGTCTTCAACGTGACGAGTGAACGCTTTAACCACAAGGCTACCCCTACGCCCCCTGTGAAGGGTGACTAGTGGGTCGTATGATGTTGATACATATATACATGATACATGATACATGATACAGATGACATGCCATTCATGCTTGTCTAGTAGGAAACTACTGAATCACCATCATATGATTCGTCAGTACATCCATGACTAATTGAACCATTAGGAACCAAAATAGTGATGACCTTGATGCATGACCTTCACCTACCTTTTCATCAAGGTCGTCTGGTTCACCATAAGCCGACCCCGAAAACATAACACTGCCAGTCTGCATGGGAGGAAACGTAATCACAATACGATGATTGAACAAGTAACCATTAGCATCTCTATGAAACTGAATATTTCAATTCCTTCATGTGTATACCTTGCAATTTAAGTGTAAACACCAACATTTATCATCTAAAGAATTAACAATTTGTTACATAATATAAACTTTATTTACATATGTATCTTAAAACAATTTGACTTACAATTGCATACTTGAAATATAATTTATAGACATCTTAAAGGATCGCAATCAACTGCTCAAAGTTAATCGTATCAGAGCAATATTTACATTTAACGGAGGAACAGTGCTGACTACAATATCAATACTTCACAACATTCAGGAAACAACAGTTCGAACTCATCTACATGTAGGTTAGGTCTCAGTACAACTGAAATCATGCACTCGTTAGATGTTTCTATGGTAACCATGGACAGAAAGGATATCCCAGCAAAGAAAAAATGTCCACAACAGCTCCTTCCATGATGCTACAAAAGTCATGCTTATAAACAACTGAATACAATCTGTAAGTGATGACAATAGATTGTCCCTGTAATAAAACAGTTCCTACTGATGACTGATCATAAGATTACAATTTTCTTGGGTGTAATGGAGTTGCGTTTAACACTGAACAGTATTGCCACCCATCTTCCCTATGCAAGGGAGTTAACTGACTGTAAAAGTCCAGTTTCCATCCTTGCCGAACTAGGCAGGAATTTCTGGGTTCGATCGTAGCCCCACTAGTGGCTATTACGAGTTATGTCCCTTCTATGATCCACCTATTGACCAATCAGATTCCACCTGATATCACTTGAATTTGCTTCAAACAAATTTGCGGTGGCCAGTGATCAATATTGTAACAAAATGGGTTTTACTTCGTGAAGTGCATCAAATCGTTACACGATTTTGATTGGACTATGCTTAGACTCGTTAGTCCAGCCAAAATATAACTCCATAATTCCAGCCTAGTTCGGCAAGGGTGGAAACTGGACTTTTACAGTCAGTTAACTCCCTTGCCTTGGGATGATGCATGCCACCTTGATGTGGGAGGAAATCCAAGGTGGTGCAGATCTTGGACATTTACCACTTTGGTGAAACCCATGAGTTATAATTATGGCACTGACAAACTTGGAAACAATCAGGGCGAACCAGGATTCGAACCCAAGGTCATAGGTTTCTAGCACCGCCTAAAAGGGGAAATTCTGTACTACAAGTCTGTAGGGGACAGCATACAGAAAACTCAGTAGTCCTCTGCCCGGGTTGGTGCAGGTGTAAGAGTTCATCATAACAATGCCCCTTAAACAATGCTTTTCTTAAACACCCTTTGTTCGTATTATTGTTATAGCTTTTGTTTTCAAACCATCACATTTACAAACATTCTTAGTGTCTCCTGCATCCTGGAACATTGATTATAATAAAGGCCTGGTCTACTAATCTCTGTATGTTGGTCAAATGGTGTGAGTGCTATCAATGACGAGGTACATATTCTGTATGACATTTAACTCATTCATTATTAGGTATCGAGGCATTTTTAGCTGGATCCATGATTAGAAGGCCTATCTTCCCTCAGCAGACATTTGAATTTGAATATTATTGGCTGGACAGTAATCTGATGAATACCTGCCATAGCAGACATACATGATGCCTTTATCACCTGTCAAACATGTCTAACAGGAATGTATCAATATTTACTTTCACTTTCAATTCAGATGATCATGTCAAAATTATTACAAAAATGAAAAAAATAATTTTCTAAGCATTTTACCTTCATATACTATGACCTACATAGCTACTAATGATGTTTCACATGCCGAAAGATTACATCTTACAGATGGAAAGTGGTTAATTCTATCCTATGACTGACTTTCACATAGTTTTGATGAATATATAACAATGAATGTTGAAAATCGTAAACGTTTCGAAATAGAAATATTACAACAGTTAGTGATGTGAACAGCAACACACCAATCTAATGGAAAAAGCTGTGTATTAGAAGCCACCCAAAGTTGAGAGGGTTTCAGTAGGTTAGTAGGAAGCGTGTCGGTTAAAGTCAAAGGAAGCTATAGCGTTACAACTACAAACTGACATGTTACATTTCCTGTAACTATCCAAGGTATTGATCAACACTGGTGTCAATGAGCAGTGTTAATTGTTTGCTAATGAATACCCTTTTGCAGGATGATGACATTGAAGATTATTACGATGAAGGTTTGAGTAAGTGAGTATGGTCTGATGCTGTTTATGACAATATTCCAGCGATAAGGTGGCATGGGACACCAGAAATGGGCTTTAGTAGACCAGCGTTATAATCACAAGGCTATGCCGCTACTCCACTGCCCCCTTCTGACATAGAGAATCTCACCCATGTCTTCCAAGATAAAATGTATCAAGACGAGTTGATAAAAGTTACAAATATCCGAGGCTTGCTTAGGATAAGTTTACTTATATCAATGAGTCTGGATATATTTGAGCTTGGGAGACACGACAGGGACACTTTATCATTCAAAATAATTCTTCCAACTTTTTCTATTTCTACACAGTATTATCCAGTATCTGGATTGCAGATCGTACAGCTAGAACTCCATTAGTGAAGTCAGAAAATATTGATGTCATTTGATTGTGATGGCAAAATGGTCTGCAAAGCATAGTGACACGATTCCACTGAAATCACGTGACCCCATCCAATCGATGTCTCCAGTGGAAGCCAGTTCCGGATGATAAATCTTATAAACATCTAATAAAACTACCACACATTATAGGACAATATCCTGATTTGTCATGGCTCTATTCCAATCAGAATTATTACAAAAACAGATGCATTATCCGTTTACTCATGTCCCAGTCCTAGAACTACATTACTTGTGTTGTAGGATGTTATATACTCATTGCCAAAAGAAATGCAAACCATAGAAACATATCAAGAAGTATGTACGTTTAGAAGAGATGTATCCAAAGTGTACCAATTAATGACAAAACTAACAATCACTCGAGTGTTACCACAGAGTGTCTTTATTCTTATCACGATTTGCTGCATGTGATTCCAAACTTGACACACTAACCCATCACGAGACAAATGGTACATCTCGAGTCATGTCTCTACAACATCACACGTGATGTGTTCATGAGCGTAGATTCACACAACATACCAGTATGTTCGTTTGTGTGTCGAACCAATCTAATATCTCTTGAATATGAATAATTCTTCATTTATTAACAAAATGTATGGTATTCGCGTTTCTTTTGTCAGTGAGTATAGTTATCTTAGCGACATCTAACAGCAACAGTACACCATTTCAGACAAACTGGATAGTCACAGTAGCAAGGGGATGCACAATGACAGAACTGAAATGAAATCAAGTTAAGGGAGACAACGAAGTTCTAAAAATGCAAGCTCCTCACAGCGATAGCCCATTCGCAGAGCTCTCTATACTATCGCTGCCACCTATCAAAACTCCCCACTGTGATAGGTGGCCACAACCGAATGACCGTTGTGTTTACAAACAAGTGACGACTGTCATGACGCCAAATACACTTACCCCTGCTAAATTACTTTTTTTGTTTGTCAATTTGAATTTCTATTTCATTAAATCTATCATGTAATAGATACAGTAAGAATATAAGGGAGAAGTTGGTTGATTTCCGGTTAGTCTGCAATCTCGAACCAATCTGATTATACAAACAACAAAGTAAATTCATCTGGAAAACATGGTCCATTGTAAACCTTTTCAAAATGAACTGTGATGGCATTCCCAAAGACATAAACAAAAGTATGAACGTTACTACATTTGGGGTAAGAGGGCAAATTTCAAGATTCTTGTAATGGCCGCGCGCGCCCACTGGTGGCAGCAATGTTATCGAGAGTGTAATGAAGGTGTCGCGCGCTGGGGAGGAGCTTGCTGACAATGCTGTAAAGGGAGACAACTAAGTTCTGACACAATGCTGTGCATTACAGAGTGAAACAAGTTTTGTTTAGAAATACAGCTGACTGCAAGTGAGCTACACAGGTGACCGGGCTGATGACTGCAATGAAATTAGTGATGATGATGGTGATGATGGCAATGAAGACGATGATGATGATGATGATGATGATGATGATGGTGATGATGGATAACATCAAAGCCTAACATTATTGGAACAATGATGTTGTTAATGATGTTTTTTGTTAATAATTTTAAAAAAATATATGAACTTAGATGTTTGGAAAACTTTGAATTACCGGTAACACAAAATATGAAAGTTCTTAAGTTTTCAACAATTACTTCCTGAAAATCTGAAGGCGAATGCATATAAGTACTTTTTAAGTACATGGTCTATGAAATGAGTGATTGTGAGACTGACTAAGATGTTTAAAGTGTTATTTCCATAACAATTTGAGCCAGTTAACGTTTATGACATTTCAGCAGTATTGCAGCTACACTGCATCAGGCAACGCCTACCTGTTGACTGGGATTCAACCTACCAAACCTTCCATGACAAATAAATCTTGCTTGGAATCAAACACAATGGTATGCATAATGCGCAGGAAGAAATAGTGAAGGAAGTACTAAACACTCTCCTCTTAATACCCTAATTTTCTTTTTTTATTGTTATCAGGATTAATTTAATATATGTAGCTGATACAAAAGTTAGTTGGCAACAATATCATGTAGCAAAACCTTTGCTTTCAGTAAACCATGCTAAATGTCTAAAAACTCACAAACCAATGCAATTAGTTGAAGAAACCGTCACTTTCTTTAGCATTCCATTTCTTGAAAAGATCTTAGTGAAAAATATTCTCCTTAATGTTATAGAAGCAATGCCCTTCATTAAAACATATTTCTGATTTCAAGGTCAGATGGTAAAATTAACCCAAGTTTGAATTTCATAAAAATAATTCCCATGTTAGAGGTCCAGTATACCAGTACTGGACCAATACCTCAAAGAAAATAGTAACAAACCCTCAAACATCAACACCATCAGATTGTTTTAATTGTACCACTAAAAATTTGCAATGCATCACCAAGTCGAGTTCCACATGTACTTCTCATGCAAATAAGAATGTCTACCAAATGACTAAAACAAGCCATGCAAAGCTACAGCATGAATCACACTCAGCCACACTTCAACACCTTCAGGGAAACTGGACATGTTCGGTCAGCCTGTGTCTACAAGTAACTTTAGCTATATTATTGCTCATCTAGGATGTGTGTAAGTGTTCACCTGCATGTGTGCAAATGTGTGTCTACCAATCTACAGAATCTGTAGAATTCATTAGCAGCAGGATGGCTGTCACAAGGTCACTGTAGGTTTAATCAAAACCTCTACAGCCTGTGCCTATCTCTAATCTAGGTTCGAGATGTGATGACACACAATAGGCCGGGTTGTACACAATAACCTTCTCAATGCTAGTCGACTCAACAAGTTTGAGGTATTGGAGACCTATTTCTGGCCCGGAAGTCCCATTTGGAGATAAGCATGAGGCGCTGACAATCTGTTCTATTATGAGGAATGTTTTTAACTACCATATTTTCTTGTGTAAATTTCACACTTTTCACCCAGAAAAAAGCTGTGTAGAAGATGTGCATATTATACATGAATACAATAAAATTATTTCTGTACCCAATGCAAAAATGTCACAGCTCTAGCTAGCATGTTAAGACTGGAAATAAGGTCACGACATCTGTAGTATGCCAGTGGCTCTGTTGTTACAAGACTGTGTATCCAATAGTATTCAGTGTATCCAATAGTCCCAGCCTCCAATATGTAAGTCCCTACCTTAGCATATTCAGTGTATCAGATGGTTAAAACAACCTCCTAGGTATGTCATAAACCAAGAACCACCCTTATTTCTACAGAAGGACCTTTTTGTATGTAGAGGAAGACTGTTATCCATATGACTAATTAGGGTCGGATGACAGTGAAGAGGACTTGTGTTGAAATGTAACAAATTTTAAGTGTGATCAAAATACAGGATTATGGCAATGATGTAATAGATGTATTGTTTTGCAGGAATTGTTATATATACTAAAGATCCATCCTTATTTCAACCGACGAACCTATCTGTTTATCGTTTGATGTAAATTCCTGATACAGCAAATGTTTAAACTATATTGTTAAAAAAGCAATTTCTCCACTGAAGGCATTGTAGTATGGCGTATCTTGCCACAGAATGACAAACAACAGTCTAGAATCTATTGACAGAGAGCACATCACATGACTAGTTGTCCACCAAACCTCATCCTGTTCGCCAGCTACCTCCCGCTCGGTGCCAGTTCGTCTCTTGCCACGTCCTTTCTTCCCACGGCTAGGGGACAATGTACTCTCAATGTGTTTAACGTCCTGCAAGAAGAACACCAATGCAGAATATCATATAATTTCTTGTTTGCATTTCTAAATCTTAACTAAACTCATCAGTCATGTAAGGTATAGAACATCTGCCCAGAGACTGGAAGGTTGGTGGTTCAATACCTGGCTGTGTCATACCAAAAGATGTTAAAAGATGGTACTTGTTGTTACCCTGCCTGGCTTAACAAATACTGGTGGGTACAGAGTTGCTACGATGTGTCAGAGCGGGCATGATGTCATAGTGGGCGGGCACGATAAGACTGGTATAAGTCCAGATGAGTACAAATAGCCACACACACACATGCAGGCAGGTCCCATATAACTTAAGTGAAATAATCTTGAATGTGACGTTAACCTCACCTCAAATATATTATATACAGATTCATTTTATCTAATTTTGGTCCAACACTGCACAAATGTTTATTGGCTTTGTTTAAGATAAACTCCAAAGCTTTATAAGATAGTACAAACATTTGCACCCAAAATATTCATTCTTTCTTTTTCAAATAGAGAGAGAATTAATATTATTTTGTGTGTCTAACTTAACAATTAGATTCAGGGATTTATTGGGAAATCTTTTTAATTTGTTCCAATTTTTTATTTTTGTTTAGTTTGTATTTTCTCATATTCTGAGACATTTTAACATTATATTTTGAGAATATATTCAATGCTGTAATATAAAATTAAGCTTTAACACCTCTTCAGACTCGGGGATGAATATCGGCCTCCGAACAGGTCAAGATACATCCTTGAGATCTGTCAACCCAATAAACCAAACTATAGCTTAAGCATTTTAGCCGTTATTCATTAAGTTATTAATTACAAAATCACAAAGATCAACCTAATCATGGAGCCATGCAATCAAACTTGCATGGCCTGTATGGCCTCAGGTATCATTAACTATAGACATTATCATAGTGATTAGCATTATGTGGTACAAACCAGCGCCAAATTGACCATAACAACGCTAGTTCAACTCTGGTAATTCCTTTATGAGTACCCCAAAAGCCCATTCCTTGATATTTGATCGAACAACAGCAAATGTCAGTTTATAAAGACTGCTCTTGACATATACTTAACATTACTGAATGAAAGGAAGAAATAGTCACATAACAGCATGCATTTGTGACCAGCCATATTACCATAGGGCATTATATTACAGCAATTAATCAATCTGTAAATAAATGTCAAATGTACTAAGTTTATCTCCATTAATACACCTTATATACTTTTAATAAATGAAAGAAGTACCCCTAAAATATCAAATATCTTAATCCTGTCTGGCTATTAAGAATGTTTATTTTTAGACAAAGATGATACGTCTCCAGAAAATGGTTTCAGATCTTAAAGAGCTATGTGAAATACGGAAAAAAATAATTTCAGGTTCAGGACTTGTATTTTTTTGTTTTTAATTAAATATTCTTTAGTCCAACATTATAATCCCTGTTTACCACAACCACCTGTATAAACAATTAGCCAAAGTCTCATAATGATTATTTAGTCATAAAAGCTATGTTGAAAGCAATGAGTTTAAAAGAAAACACTTTTCTACTCTCAAACAATGTGCCATTGTTAATGCCAAGCTCTGTCAACAAACAAAATGGGTGGCATATTTCACTGCAAAAGGCAGGCATACACGCCAAGGCTTGTTTCTAAAAACATCAAATTCCTTTTAAAAATTATTTCTTTTAAAACAAAAAGAAATAATTCAGGTACATTATTATTTTTTGGTCACTTCTTTGGAAAGAAGCATGAACATACAAAACACTTATTTTCATGCCATAAAGTTGGAAATCATTTTTTAAATATTTTTCAGATGTTCAAATATTGTTAAAGTCTGGACTTTAAAAAATCGTGCATTTTAGAGGACACATTGCAAACAAAATAGGAACTTTCAATCATCATTATATATTTATTCTTTCATCAAGTGCCACCACACATATCCCCCCTGAGGCCCATTACAACTGATATAGAACGTGCACACACACTCACTATATGAGAATCAATACTTATACATACACTGCAGCTATCAAGATAAACTAATCGATCCACAGCCCTTATCAAAATTTAATAAAACTTTTTCAATATGCTTTGAAAAGATTAATGTTCTTAATAACACCATATAATCACGAGACTGCATGGTTTTGTCTCACTCACTCAAACATGTCCAAATTGGAACAAATGTAAAAAGACCGGCATATATCTTCATAGACCTTGTGGTTTCAGAGGACATGTAGCAAATGTAAAAGTAAACAATGGACAGACACCACAAGCTTGCTTGAACTTAAAGTTAAACCAAAACACAAACATGACAGGTTAGATAGCATCAGAAAGGTACACCCACTTTCTAACAAGTAGCAATTGTTCACGTTACTCTCTCATGGTTAGATAGGGAGTATCTGAATGCTATCGCAGCCAACTCTGTTTCAGTCCCTGTATTGTGGCCGTCTGATATACAGTGTTATCAGTCCTGGAGCAGACAAACCAGTGACACATCGTGTGATTACACGCCAGCAGTGACTTGAGGTAATATCCTGCACCATAGCAGTGGATTAAAGCCTAAAGGGCGTAGATGTTTACTTTTGTTGGAGGCCAACCACGATTAAGGATCATAATCAGGCAGGACATTTTTCTATTTCCAGGCTAAAAGATTTAATTATGAAAAATTAAGATCTGTAGGAGGGAGAGAATAAGATATAAAACAAATTTGAGATGTTTGTTCATCGTCTTCAAAAAGTCATATAGAACATGTTGCCATGTGTGCAGTGTTAGTTAGTTAGTTAGTAAGCTTGTCTCGCTGTTAAAGCTATTGTAACGAGCATCTTGCATGTTAAACCTATTGTACCTTATTGTCTTGCAGTTAAACCTATTGTACCCTATTGTCTTGCAGTTGAACCTATTGTACCCTATTGTCTTGCAGTTAAACCTATTGTCTTGCAGTTGAACCTATTGAACCCTATTGTCTTGCAGTTAAACCTATTGTCTTGCAGTTGAACCTATTGTACCCTATTGTCTTGCAGTTGAACCTTTTGTCTTGCAGTTGAACCTATTGTCTTGCAGTTGAACCTATTGTCTTGCAGTTGAACCTATTGTCTTGCAGTTGAACCTATTGAACCCTATTGTCTTGCAGTTTAACCTATTGTCTTGCAGTTGAACCTATTGTACCCTATTGTCTTGCAGTTGAACCTATTGTACCCTATTGTCTTGCAGTTGAACCTTTTGTCTTGCAGTTAATCCAATTGTACCCTATTGTCTTGCAGTTCAACCTATTGTCTTGCAGTTAAACCTATTGTCTTGCAGTTGAACCTATTGTCTTGCAGTTGAACCTATTGTCTTGCAGTTGAACCTATTGAACCCTTTTGTCTTGCAGTTTAACCTATTGTCTTGCAGTTGAACCTATTGTACCCTATTGTCTTGCAGTTGAACCTATTGTACCCTATTGTCTTGCAGTTGAACCTATTGTACCCTATTGTCTTGCAGTTGAACCTATTGTCTTGCAGTTGAACCTATTGTCTTGCAGTTGAACCTATTGTCTTGCAGTTGAACCTATTGTCTTGCAGTTAAACCTATTGTACCCTATTGTCTTGCAGTTGAACCTATTGTACCCTATTGTCTTGCAGTTAAACCTATTGTCTTGCAGTTGAACCTATTGAACCCTATTGTCTTGCAGTTAAACCTATTGTCTTGCAGTTGAACCTATTGTCTTGCAGTTGAACCTATTGTACCCTATTGTCTTGCAGTTAAATCAACTGTCTTGTGGTTAAACCTATTGTACCCTATAGTCTTGCAGATAAATCCAGTGTAACCTATGACCTTGCAGTGTAACCTATGACCTTGCAGTTTAACCTATTCAAATATTTGCGATAAATGTCTTGTTTGAATTTTTAAAACTAGAACTTTTCGAAATAAAATCTTTTTTACACCTCAATTTTCAGGCTAATCTGAATCTATAAATAGATTTAAAAAGTCCTGCCTTAGGATATGTCCAGCATCACAACAATCACCAAGCAGCCGCGAAGGGACACAACACTGCTACTGTGGCCACCCAATCACCATTTTAACAACTTCTTGTGACATGACAGAGTTGTGCTGCTCTAGCTGCCCCGGGATCAGATACTGAACAGCTGCTCCAAAACAACACTGGCTTGTTTTAAACATGAGAACTCACAGATGAATAATTCTGTATACATACACTTCATTACTCTTACTTTCTGGGGCTAAAATATTGTATTTTTGAATCACATGTTAAGTGTTTAGTCATCATTCGAGTGCAAAATACGACAGAAAAGTTTATGAATAATGAAAATTAGTGTTTTGATTGACAAAAAGTCAAATTCTGTGATTGCTCCTGCGATCATGCTGTCGAGTTACATTTTTGGCAAATCTTTAAAGCGATCATCGAATTGCAGATTTGGTCTGGGAATGTGGAAAAGGAAGATTACAAACATTCAATAAACCTTGCCCTCCTGATGTAACTGTCAACTACAAAGTTTGCTGACAACTTGGACCTATCAGAGAGCAACATGGTAATCACAACATGGTCTCACAAGACCAGCAGCTTTATGTTCTACAGAAAAAATCCCTTTGAATTTATACCTGCATGTTCCTATACAAGAAAGCAATTGATATAATATTCATAAATTTTTAGCAAATTTTGCTGAAATATCCCACAGTGGGACCCAAAAAGTGATTCAATGAAGATTGAGCTTCTTTCAACTAAGCGGGCTACCACTACCTCCCAAAGTACCAGAGCCATTCGGAATTCAAGCAACGGTTTATAGGCTCTAGTGGCTGAAGATGACCTTGACCTACCGTTCCATGGAAGTAGTGTCGTGTCTCGAAGGCGAGAACCCAGTACAAAAGCAGGAGGATTCCCGGGTTGACATAGTACGGCCACTTGACGTTGTCGTAGAATTGGATCATCCATGCAGTAGAGCAGTCGGTGTAGATTATACCAGTCAGGCCAAGAAGTCTGCAAAAGAACATACATATTAATCATGTGCCATGAAGATTTAAAGGAATTAAGCATTCAGTTTTATTCCCTGTGCATTTGCTAAAATGCTGCAGAAAGCAGCTCAAAACTTTACTCACTCACTCACTCACTCACTCACTCACTCACTCACTCACGAACTTTGTCAGCTTTGTTTAATGCTGATGTTAAGAATTTAATTTTCTGGGAATTGTCCTTCCAGGTTATCACACTTAGGCTAAGGGTATGTAATGATTGGCACAAACATTGATGGTTTGTTGTTTAACGCCGCACTCAGCAATATTCCAGCTATATGACAGCGGTCTGTAAATAATCGAGTCTGGACCAGACAATCCAGTGATTGATATCATGAGCATCGATCCACGCAATTGGGATCGATGACATGAATCAACCAAGGGTGAAGCAGCCGAACCAAGGGTGAGGCAGACAAACTTGGGGTGAGGCAGACAAACCCAGGGTGAAGCAGACAAACTCGGGGTGAGGCAGACAAACTCGGGGTGAGGCAGACAAGCCCAGGGTGAGGCAGACAAACTTGGGGTGTGGCAGACAAACTTGGGGTGAGGCAGACAAACCCTGGGGGAAGCAGACAAGCCCAGGGTGTGGCAGAAAAACTTGGGGTGAGGCAGGCAAACCCAGGGTGAAGCAGACAAACGGGGTGAGGCAGACAAACCCAGGGTGAGGCAGAAAAACTTGGGGTGAGGCAGACAAACCCAGGGTGTGGCAGACAAACTTGGGGTGAGGCAGACAAACTTGGGGTGAAGCAGACAAACCCAGGGTGCAGCAGACAAACCCCAGGTGAGGCAGACAAGCCCAGGGTGAGGCAGACAAACTTGGGGTGAGGTAGACAAACCCATGGTGTGGCAGACCAACTTGGGGTGAAGCAGACAAACCCAGGGTGCGGCAGACAAACCCAGGGTGAGGCAGACAAGCCCAGGGTGAGGCAGAAAAACTTGGGGTGAGGCAGACATACCCAGGGTGTGGCAGACAAACTTGGGGTGAGGCAGACAAACTTGGGGTGAAGCAGACAAACCCAGGGTGCAGCAGACAAACCCAGGGTGAGGCAGACAAGCCCAGGGTGAGGCAGACAAACTTGGGGTGAGGCAGACAAACCCATGGTGTCGCAGACCAACTTGGGGTGAAGCAGACAAACCCAGGGTGCGGCAGACAAACCCAGGGTGAGGCAGACAAACCCGGGGTGAGGCAGACAAACTTGGGGTGAGGCAGACAAACCCAGGGTGTGGCAGACAAACTTAGGGTGAGGCAGACAAACTTGGGGTGAAGCAGACAAACTTGGGGTGAGGCAGATAAACCCAGGGTATGGCAGACAAACCCAGGGTGAGGCAGACAAACACAGGGTATGGCAGACAAACCCAGGGTGAGGCAGACAAACCCAGGGTGAGGCAGACAAACCTGGGGTGAGACAGACAAACCCAGGGTGTGGCAGACAAACTTGGGGTGAGGCAGACAAACCTGGGGTGAGGCAGACAAACCTGGGGTGAGGCAGACAAACCTGGGGTGAGGCAGACAAACCCAGGGTGCGGCAGACAAACCCAGGGTGAGGCAGACAAACCTAGGGTGAGGCAGACAAACCTAGGAAGCAGACAAACCCAGGGTAAGACAGACAAACCCAGGGTGAGGCAGACAAACCCAGGGTGAGGCAGACAAACCCGGGGTGAGGCAGACAAACCTGGGGTGCCGCAGGAAAACCCAGGGTGAAGCAGACAAACTTGAGGAGAGGCAGACAAACCAAGGGTGAAGCAGACAAACCCAGGGGTTTGTATCTATATAACAGCTGGCACAGACAAACCAGGTTCTGTTGAGACACAGAGGCTCGAAAACCTGTTGGGATGATGTGTTGAGGTTGACAAAACTAGGGGTGGAACAGCAAACTCACTGATCATCTAACTACTCCAACTGAGGATCCATACACTCATCTCAAAATAGCTTTCATACACAATTCAATTAATTCATACCACTCAGAATTTAATCTGCCCTAATTATCTTTGTACATTGCTGGCTCCAAATGGCACATTTCAAAGACAAGCAATACACGTGAAAAAAATCAATAAGCTTGAATTATTGATACTTTGCCATTAATCTTTGCTCAGTTTTCACTTCTCCATTGAGCACAATCTACATCTAAATGAAAGTTCTGTAAACATCTTTCAGCGTGAAACAATGTCTGAAAGTTCAAATCACATGAGGACGCCACAGGAAATCTCAGATGCTAATAATTCTAAACATTAGAGTACACAACCACACTTCTGATCAGTTTTTATGCATTATTGACAAGACTGGCAAAATGTGCATAAATTAAGTCTCCTGGCCACAAGCAGGCTATGAATTTGAAATCAGCAAGTATTCAGCTGAATTCCCTAAACACACTACCAATTGAAATTGTCACGTCTGCTCTCCACAGTAATTCCAAAGAGACACTTCAAAAGAACAACAATAAAAATTCAAATACAAACTTGTTACACAGCCGTAACAGGAAGATATGTCGATAAGCGTCACAGGTTTCACTAATAACTTTCTTTGTTCAAATTTGGAAAAATATATTGTGACGGATATATCAAAAGAAAGATGTTGATCTGGAGTCACAGGTTTTGCTATCAATGGAATTTTGTCAATCATAGAAAGAAAATCATAAAAAAATCTCTACATTTTTTCATATCTGTATTGATCACCATGGACAGATGCTTTCAAAAGCAAGATGTGACTGTCGGGGTATCTCCAGCAGCTGCTGACGAAGGCATGAATAGATTAGCATCCTCCACACGGGACCAGCACCTGCCTTGATGGCAACAGCTGGACAGATTCCTCAGGTCACAGAGTTCTTGTGACTTCTTATTTCAAATCAATAAATGTAATTTTAACTTTTTATCTACAGTGGGACTATGAGAAACACAGAAGGTTCTGAAGTAAAAAATGTTTGAATTCAAACTATTATGTTGAACTGAGTTTGATACATAAAACACAGTGGGTGAGTTAGTGAGACTATTTCGAATCTTTCCATGTTTGTAACAGCTGTACCATGGACATAGAAACTAGCATAAAACCAGTGGTTAAAGCACCCGCCTGCCCGAGACAGCCTATTTTGCTGACGGACGGTCAGTTTTGAAAAGTTGCACGCCTGATGGCTGGGAGTTAAAGTTACTAAGTTGACAATCCACCAGTTTATTGTTATGTTCTGAGAACTACCTGGTAACATTAAACAGTCATATTTTCATGTTTACCCTTTTGTTACTCTTATTCGTTAATCTGGAAAATTCTGGACTGGCAACATTTAATCTGATCTGGTAACTCGACAAAGTTGCCAGTCCGGTTGTCCGACTAAAATTTGAGGATTTTTATACACTGATAAAACGTTACTTAATTTTATCTCGCTGCTCTGGGAATTGACAGTAATGATCGTGTGAATTAGACAATGCTTTTGAAACAAACCGATATCAAATGTCCTTTAAGATAAGTAAATACTCCAAGTTGACAGTATTTTTTATGATAGTAGTGGAAGAGTATGGTTTAATACAGCTTTCAGCAAGTTCCATTAATATCGATGAGGGATACACACAGGAGGAGCTTCATATTTGTACCATGGGGAGAACCAAGTAGGTTTGGGATGCACTGATGCACTGAACATCATTACCCTCCCACTAAAGCTTGTCATATTTACAGTGGTAGAAACTAACATGTTTAGTCCACTGGTCTTTATAATGATAACATATAGCAAAACCCTTAAAAATGGCAAATTTCTACTAGTCCTTATGATGCCTCAACTATTGGGGAGATTGACAAGGACAATGGGACTAGTGCCAATTTCTAACACTGATTTTTGGAAGTCCCTCCTGTGACCGTATACATTTTTTTTCATGACCTTCCCTGAGAAGACATAAATATAGAAGCCCTTCATATTTTATTATAAAACTTTTCATGAGCCTTACCAACTATGTGTATTGTATTGGTGACCCTCCCCTAGAGGCTGCCCTATGTCTTGGTGACCCTCCCCTAGAGGCTGCCCTGTGTCTTGGTGACCCTCCCCTAGAGGCTGCCCTGTGTCTTGGTGACCCTCCCCTAGAGGCTGCCCTGTGTCTTGTTGACCCTCCCCTAGAGGCTGCCCTGTGTCTTGGTAACCCTCCCCTAGAGGCTGCCCTGTGTCTTGTTGACCCTCCCCTAGAGGCTGCCCTGTCTTGGTGACCCTCCCCTAGAGGCTGCCCTGTGTCTTGGTGACCCTCCCCTAGAGGCTGCCCTGTGTCTTGGTGACCCTCCCCTAGAGGCTGCCCTATGTCTTGGTGACCCTCCCCTAGAGGCTGCCCTATGTCTTGGTGACCCTCCCCTAGAGGCTGCCCTGTGTCTTGGTGACCCTCCCCTAGAGGCTGCCCTGTGTCTTGGTGACCCTCCCCTAGAGGCTGCCCTATGTCTTGGTGACCCTCCCCTAGAGGCTGCCCTATGTCTTGGTGACCCTCCCCTAGAGGCTGCCCTGTGTCTTGGTGACCCTCCCCTAGAGGCTGCCCTGTGTCTTGATGACCCTCCCCTAGAGGCTGCCCTGTGTCTTGTTGACCCTCCCCTAGAGGCTGCCCTGTGTCTTGGTGACCCTCCCCTAGAGGCTGCCCTGTGTCTTGGTGACCCTCCCCTAGAGGCTGCCCTGTGTCTTGGTGACCCTCCCAAGAGTCCCCGACCCCGCCCACTCTGTAATAAATGAACACCTGCACCACTCGACTACCTCATCCCATCCTTTACAACAATAAGGAAGAAGATTCTGTTTTGTTCCGCTGTATCACTCTACATTACAAATGATGGACTATTTGCACTGAGCCTTATCAGTAATTGACCTGATCTGACAACAGTAGTAATGGCCCTTGGCCCTGGTGAGGACAAAGAAAATATTGACAGCTTACAAATACCATAGTGTTTCCATAACAATATTGACATAGGATCCTAGTTTAATATCGTGTACTGGTAACATGAATCTCCTTAGAGTCAGA